ATTCATTTATTTCTAGAGAAAAAGACATTCTAGTTATTCCAAGAAGCATTGCCTTAGAATTCATGGACCTATAAACATATTTAATGCTTTTGTTTGTCTTGACTTTTCTTGTCCCATACTTTTCCTTCTCTTTTCATCGTCAAGAAACAAATTTAAAAACACTAAACACTTTTTCTTGAGAAATTAAGGAGAAGAGAGTGAGTGACTTACACAATATGGTGGGAGTTCCAAATGAGGGTATAGTCGTGGAAAAATTGAGTTGGATCAAACCAGAAATAGAACTTCTCTTCTCTTCCCGTTCTCGAACTTCCATTTGCATACACGTTTGTTTGGATCACCCAATCGTCTCTCCTGCTTCTACCCAACAATTCTATGTCTATCTCATCATGGTTTTTTGGATAATTCTCTGCGTTTGACAACTGCATTTCGAAAACATAAGTTAGTATTATAGCACTTGTCATCCATAACTATAAATCCGGATATGAATGATATATTATTAGTTCGAGTATTGATACAGAAGACACTAATTATGATATACTCACATAGAAAGCGACCACAACACCAGAGGCAAATCCAGCCGGAAGCTTGAGTCTTGCACTGAAGAAACCATAGTGATAATTGTTCTTTGACACCAATCCAGCTCCTGCAAAGATTATGTAGATATTGGATCACATAAATATATTGGTTTGATGAATATTATGCAGAAATAAACATTGGTGTTATCATTAACAAAGATAATGTAAGTCCTTCCAACAGTTAAGGGTTATCAACTAAAAAAGAAAAAAAAAAATTTGAAATGTGAAAATTTTGGAGAATACGCGTCTAACTAGTAACTATTTATGATCTTTTTATTTTCTGCCGAACAAAAAAAATTGTACACATGTATTAAAGGATATGGGACAGTAATTTATTTCGCCTGCACTGTGACCCAAGACATCATTTAATGATTTTTTCATCTATACTGTTAGGAGTTTATCAAAGAAGAGAAGAGTGTGTATAGAGTTTTACTAATTACCAGAGGATTTATCGAGAGTGAGTTTGGCGAGAGAGCCATTGACGAGAATATTGGGAGCTCCGAAACGTTTTGAGAAACCATTTTCAATGGCGATCTTACTGAACTGATCTGTAAGGCGTGTCACGGTTGGTGTCGTGAATTTCCTGCTGTGTGAAGAAACCAAAGACAATGAACAGAGACAAAACACAACTGCTGTTTCCCACATAATCTTCATGTTGTAGTTCTTCAGAGAAGCCATTTTTTGCTTTCTCTTTGATACTTTGGTTACTGATTAGTGTGTGTGTTGTGTCTAATATGGGTCTCTGTATATATATAGAAAGGTATTGGTGGGACCGAAGGGATAAATTGGGTATTTGTGAGAATGAGTTGTACATAAGCTGGCTCTGATCTTCATTGGATTTTTTGTCTTGTTACCGAAGAATGTTCGTAAACAAATGTCTTAACCCTATATGAAACTCTAAAGAAAATATTATAAAAAATATCTCATGTGACGACTTTGGCACCGTTGATGAGTTCCCAGATGATTAGTAAATTTGGTGTCTCTACTTTATTTTATCTGGTCGATTATCATATTCACTTTTCGCGTTCAGAATCACACATTCACACGGATTGCAATGCAAACTTCTCTACAAATTTCCAATAAAATAATGTACTGTATTTATTTTATGTTATACTTTATCATTTTGAACATAAAACTTTTTCACTCCACCTTTCTGTAAAAGATTGAGGAAATGATCAATGGACTACGTTGACAAAAAATATATATATTGCACTGATCACTTGCATATATATTCATAATCCATATTATAGGATCATAATGACAAAAGGAAAAGACAGAGTAACGTATGCAATAATGCACAATGTCAAATTAGTAGACATTTTCTATCAGGTTTAAGACAGTTTGCGACATATGCATGTGGGCAATTCTGTTTCCCCTTTCATCGAATTATAATGCAGTTCTATTTGATTTGATACAATTAAGATTTTGCTTGGTAGAGTTTATTTGATTAAATATCACGATTATAAATATACGTACACACGCAGTAACGTGTACATATAACAACTTCAAGATGAAGTGGGCATGATAATGCTATACCATGCTTTGACTTCTCCTTTCCTCTTTTTGTCATTTTTGGCTTTATTTCCTTCTCAATAAAGAAAAAATATTTTGATACACTTTTGTCTTTCTTATTATCTTAAAGGAATTTTGCATATGACTGAGAAAGAAAAAGAGAGAGGAAAATTTGCATTAAACATCTTAACACCGAATATATTTTTGGAATTATTTGATAGAGCATTCTACACATCATGTGCAATCAAAAATTATATAAATACACGTCAACCAACAACTAAGGAGCCTGACTGGTTTAACCGCTGCGGTTGCGGTTGCGGGTGCGGGAGTTTGCGGAAGCGGGCGGTTGTGATTAGTAGCGTTATTAAGCGGTTTGTACGACTGGCATAACAATTGAAAATGGATGCGTTTGCGGGATACTTATGACTGGTTCACTTGCGGATGCAATAGCGGTTAAACAATAAATTAATAATATAAACACATTATATAATTATAAAAATATCAAAACTATATTATAATGAAAATTTTAAATTTATGGTTCAACATAATTAAAAATATTTTTTTATAAAGAATAATATGTGTATAATACTTACGTCTATTTTTTAATTTCTATAATTTAAATAAAAAATGTGATTTTATTTTCAAAATATATATTTAATGTGAAAATTAAATTTATATTACAATTTTATTTATTAGATATATATGTATTAGTATGAAAAGAATATTTATCAAGAGAATTTTGATTTGTAGAACTTATAAATATATAAGTATTATATGATTTTAATGAATATTGACTAAAAGTACTAATTTTTTATTTATATTGTGATTTTATTATCCAAATCTTATTTTTTAATAAATATTATTATTTATTTTCGGATTTTATATAAGTTTGTGTTTTTTTTTTTTTTTAATTATCCACCCGCAACCGCAAACGCTTGCGGGAAGGAGCTTTTGATTTTGAGGGTTGTTGAGGGATCTTGAGCGGTTTAAAGCGGTATAAAGCGTTTGTGGTGATTGTTGTCAAACGCCAATAACCGCTACTACCCGCAAACGCAGCGTTTGCGGGTAGCAGCGGGTGAACCAATCAGCACCTAAGTTCACAGTGATACTTAAATCCACCAACGTAACATATACATCGGCGATTTAAATAAGTTGCGTAAGTAAATCTATGGAGAATTGAATAATATAAACCTATTGAAGTAAATAACTGGTTTTTACTATACAAAAACTGGGAAAGAAATTCGTAATAAATGACTAGAAAGCGTTATAGTTTAACAGAAGAAAAACAAAAAATAGGGGGAGAAAAGACAAGAGATATGATGTAACCATCGTAAACAAGTTGATATGCTGCAATTCAATACAGCAACACTCAAGCTGGCAATTTACAGATGGTTCTTCATATCAAACCTTAACCAACCAACCAAATCTGCAATCTCAGTATTCATTTATAAATTTACATATATATTAATACTAGTGTCTTATTATTTTTGTTTTCTTCATGATTTTGTTCTTATTATCGTTGTTGCTTGGTATACGCAACATCACTATCCTCTCATCTTGATCATGTCACCCTAACTAACTTCACAAAATACAATCATACATTTATTAAAGATTACGAGATCCATACCATTATTTGAAAATAATTACTTGTATTTCTTAAAGATTCGAATAACTAGCTTATTTGGGTTGTTAAACCGAATCATTACCCAAATTAATGAATGGAGGGTAAAAAAAGCATGTGTATATTAAGAATGGAGATTGTGTATAAAATGGTTGTATATATCAGAAATAATATGACCCGTCGCATTGTCTTAGAAAGTTTTAGCGTGGCTCTAAAGTCTCTACTTCTTAATTGACATAACAAAAAACGAGTAGATTAGTTCGGAAGGTTAGTGCGGATAAAAGGCCGATAAACTAAATTTTGAGTGTAATGGAAGAAAAATCGTTCAAAATCGATAAGTTAATTTGCATTTGCCAGGACAAGTGATTCTGTGGGCTTATTTTCCAATAGTACGCGATGGGCCGAGAGAAGGATAAAGTCGAACATAGAGAGCTATTGGGATTGCAATAAGCTTCTGGTTTTTCAAGGAAAAGCAGCTGTTGTCATACTTCACAAGTTATTTCAAAGAAGCAAATAACCTATCTTTGTTTTTTTTTTTTTTTGATAAAGTATAACCTATCTTTGTTCCCAAGCTAAAACAAGAAAAACTGTAAAGCTGCATTTAACACAAATCGTTTGGAGAAATGCATGAAGCTATCCTACTACTATCTAAAATTAGTCAAGGGGAAAATAACATTACTCTAATTTCTAAAGTTCTAAACCATTCTTTATTTTTATTTTTCTTTTTAACCCTACATCATCCAACTCCCTAAATTTATTACTACAACAAAAATTCTGATAAATCAAAACTGCAAAAGAAACTATTGAATTATGGGAAGAGTTCACTTTATAACATCTCTGGGTTTCTACCGGACAGACCGTCGATAGGATCTATAAAAAAAAAATATACGTCATACTTATTAAAAGAAAAAATAGTATTAAACCTTTAATATGTTACACCTACGCAGCATTCAGGTATTCGTTCAACTTTGAATCAGTTTACTTTTAGATTCAAATATTGCGGTTTTAGGTATTTAAAATTTATTTAATGTTTTTTTTGATCGATTTAGTTTTCCAATTCTAAATTATTTATCTAGGCGTAGTAGAAAAGCCCATAAGTCCAAAAAGTTAAAATATGGGCTTTTCTACTAACCATTTATTTATTAATTTTGAAATTGAATGTATTTTTGCATTGTCGTGTCAAAACTATATAAATAAATTTACGAAAATAACGAGGAGGTTCTGGAAGGAAACCTAGCACTAATAATTCAAAGTCTTTTTTTGTTTGCTCTTGTTGTTTATTGGTGGGGGAGATGAAAAGGCAAAAAGTAATAGAGTTAGATTCTGTTGAGAAGACGAAGAGCTTCAACATCGATTGGGATGCTGTTCTGGGCGAAGAGGAAGAAGTGCCGGACCTCGAGATCATCGGCAGTGACTTCAAAAATCCGCCGCCTGACCATAATTCCGGCGATGATTTAGCCGACTGCGTGCGATCCCTCACTGACAGCCAACTCGACGAGCACCTAGAGCGTCAGAGATCGCTTCTCTCTGCTTTCAGTAACAGATTGCCCGACAAGGGCGCCAAGATCGGCACCAGAATCGGAAACATCGAGTACGAGAAGCAGCTCAGGATGCTCCGCCGCACCAAAACGGTTCGACTCTACTCTCAATTGCATATGTGTACAGTTGATTGTGCCTCAAAATTCAAAAATGAAAGCTTTTGAAATTGCCCACTTAACCATGAGAAAGTCCTTAGTTTTTCTTTTCACATTCATTGCTGAAGCTTATTGTGACTTTCCAATGATTTTGGCAGGATACCGGCGAATGTAAGATTGTCGTACATCCGAAAAGCTCAGGTACATTGTTGTGACTTGTGAGGTGGTCCCAGAATGTGAAGAGAGTTTAGAAAGCTGTCTCTAACATGTAAAGTTCTGCAGATGTGTTTAGGCAAGCGAATACATCCTCGAAAGACGTGTCTCGGTCAACATCTGCTGCACATTTTCCCAAAGTATGTTGCTTTCTTTTACATTCCCTGTTGTCTAAACCTCTTTGAGGTTGCTGTTTCAAGATGAAGCATTGATAATCCTTGTTCAACAGGTGGATTCTCTATCACAATCAGTGAAACTGTTTAATGAAGAACTGCAAGTTTTGGGACGTGAAAGCTTGAAACGTGAAAGCTTGAAAAGCAAGGCTGGTAGTGGTAGAGAGACAATAACAAAGCAAAACAATGGGTGGCGGTCGGTGCCAACGTTACGCAAGTCTTTCATCAGTGAAAATAACTTTTATTCTGGAGTTAAAGATCCAAAAGGGAATCGAAAATCCAACGAAGCCTCTGTAAAAAGCAGGGCAAAGGAATCTTCTCCTTATTTGCTTGTAGATGATGATGATGATGACGAAGAAGACGTCATTGGCTATGAAACTCCTAGGTCTATATATCTTCTCTCTGCTATGCTTCATTAACCGTTCAGAAGAAAATTTAATGTATTGACAAACTTTACTTTCTTTGACTCACAGGGAGTGGAGTTTGAAAGCATCAAGCTGCAGGAAGGTATGTTATCTTATGCCGTACAATTGTATTCTTGCACATAATTAATATAAAACGAGCTTAGCAATTGGTAACTTTTCTGACATTTTTGTTACAGAAATCAGATGCTAAAATAATTAATTTGGATGAAGAGGAACCTCATTCTCCAATGGAAGTAGAAGAATCATTTGAACTTCCTCAAGGGTAAAAAAAAAAGTGTTATTTCTGTTTACCTTCATCGAATAACTGCGACTCTTGTTGGAAATAACTCAGTTTTGGTGGAAATCTGCAGGTTACCGGAAGATATTTGCTACCCATCAAGGTAGATAAAAAAAATGCTTATCATGTAATTGGTGTAGGTTTCTTACTGTGATTGACCTGTGTTTTTTCTTCAATTCATCTGGTGGTAATCTAGGGATGACCCAGACCATGTTCAGTTATCTCTTAAAGATCTTAAATGCCTTTCACCTGGAGAATGTCTTACCTCGGCAGTTATAAATTTCTACATCAGGTATCTTTGAGTGACAGACTTGCGTATATACATTATGTATCTCGTGTCATGGCTTTTATATGATTGCTTCCGCTTCTGTTTTGGCTTAGGTTCTTGCAGCACCATGTGTTTTCAGCGAATCAGACAGCTGCTAATAGTCACTTCTTCAATACGTTTTTCTACAAGAAGCTCATAGAAGCTGTTTCATACAAGGTGATTATGTGTTCTAAGTTCTATGTGGTTTGCATTTTCTAATGACTGTTCTGTTATAGAGGTCGAATCAAAATATTGTTTTCATTAGTACCTCTTCTTTGAATCTTGTGATTCACATAATCTTATTATTGACTGACTACTCATGTGCTGATCGGTCTCTTCGTCTTATCATTTCAATACAATTAGGGTAACAACAAGGATGCATTTTTTGTGAAGTTCAGGCGGTGGTGGAAGGGTTTTGATCTATTCCGAAAATCATATATATTTATTCCAATACATGAAGAGTAAGTTTCTACTGAATCCTATGATTGCATCTTTATGACTTGAGCAGTAATTTAGGAAAAAATATGCATGTTTGATGGTTTATTCTCTTTGCATGTTTCAGTCTCCACTGGAGCTTGGTAATAATTTGCATCCCTGACAAGGAAGACGAATCAGGATTGACTATACTTCACTTGGATTCATTGGGACTTCACCCAAGAGATTTAATTTTCAACAATATCAAAAGGTGAGACACAATGAAACCTTACAAATGATTTGCATAAATTTCCTGTGTGTTCACTAGATTCTCATTTTTTCTTCATTTGTGGTTTTAATCAGGTTTCTGAGAGAGGAATGGAACTATCTGAATCAAGATGGTCCTTTGTTGGATTTACCAATCTCAGAAAAAAATTGGAATGATCTTCCAAATAGTATCAATGAAGCTGAAGTGCAGGCTAGACTTCTTTTCTTTTTGTGTTCCGCATTACAGTGTCTAAAGACAAAATTATAGAATTTTAATCTAAATGATTTCATCAACTTCTCAACAGGTTCCACAACAGAAGAATGATTTCGACTGTGGTTTGTTTGTGCTCTTCTTCATAACGCGGTTCATAGAAGAGGCTCCTCAAAGGCTGACATTGAAGGATTTGGGAATGGTCTGTGTTCTCTTCTATCTCCTCACCTTCTCTTTTAAACGCTTTATTGCTAACACAGTTTTTTTTTCTTGTCTCGTCTCCATCTCCAGATTCACAAGAAGTGGTTTAAACCCAATGAAGCCTCCGCTTTGAGGCACAAACTCTGGAACAAACTTGTTGATCTCTTCCGCAACAGTAACCAATCAGATTAAATCTGTATAGACAATCATTGGCCACTGCTCTAATTAAGTACTTCCTCACCGATCATTTTCCGGAAATCGTTCTTCAGAGGTGTAAGAACGCGTATTATTTGACCAAACGAGCCAATAATAATCATGAATCCTAATGAAATAACTCAGCTTTTGCAAATCTCCTAGTCTTTAAACATTCAAACAATGCTCTAACTAGAGTTATCCTCAGATCATTTTCTTGTCGTCTTCTCTCCAAAAGGCTGGAAAAAGCAAATAACAGATTTTAAGTTGTTTGCAAAATTGTTAAATACACCAATCATACACTTATATATAACACAGCTTTTGCGAATCTCCAAGTCTCAGAAGCTAAAGCTTTATAACGATATAGTCAAAACGTTTCTTTCAAGCATTTGAAATTGTTTTGGTCGTCCCTCTACATAATCCATTAAAACCGATATTGTTACAACACTGAAGAATCTAATAAAACAGAGGAAAGCGAAACTTTTTTTTTTTTTTGTGCAAAAGAAACTTAAAGGGACTTTGTATCCCAACGATGCATCATTATGTGCCTTCTACTACTCTCTCTACTACTCTGTTTCTGCGCCTTCTACTACTGTCTCTTTCTCCGTGATGCTCTCTGTCTTGTCCTAGTCCCTGCAAATGCGCAGCAAAACATTAGCATAAAACCGTATCGAGTTATTTAGCCACAAAGTGACATGGTTGCAGGAACTGTCAAAGATAGAGTAACTTCTTGGTGAATAGAAACCGTTAGAACCCTAGATAATGCAACATACAGAGACAATCTACATGGAAGGCTACTCGAAAGACAACTCTAACTTTGTTACAATTATATATACCAACAACTATTATGCATCTGCTAAGCAAAAGAAGGCACATTTTATGATAAGATTGTAAGATGGTTACTTACCAGTACTTAATCAGGCCGTCCCAACCACAAGTTGCGACTTTACTCTGTTCCAGAGGATGCCACTCAGCTCCAATGCAGACTCCATTGTGACATCTAAGAGTCCTAAACACTTTGCAGCTCTTCCAGTCCCAAAACCAGCACTTACCCTCACCATCCCCTGACATAACAAACCGTCCATCCGGCGAGAAATTAACCTGGCATGCGTAACCAGCAACAACGTGCCCTGCAAACCTCTTCTTCTTGTTCAGCTGAAACCTCTCTCTGGCACTGTAGATCAGAATCTGGTTATCCAAACTCTGAGCAGCAACCCACTTCCCATTCGGGTGAACAGAAACCGCTGGCATAGAGTGCATATGAGGCTCACTGATATACTTGATCACCACCGGGATCCCAAACTCCCACACACGGAGAGACTTATCATCGCTCGACGTCACAAACCTTCTGTTATTGTCCACAAACGTGATCGTATTAACCGCACCCAAATGCTGATCATACTCCTGCGTAATCTCCCCCGTATTGATATCCCACTGCACTATCTTCTTATCGCTCATACCAGCCAGCAAAATGTTCTGCTTGTCATCATCCGGATTCAGCTTCACCACATACGGAATCTTCCCGGTGGAGAAAGTCGATATAACTTGGCCAGTCTCTGTGTCCCAGTACTTAATGTTCTTATCATACCCAGCAGTAAGAACTTAGTCCCATCGTTAGAGAAGCAAATATCCCTCACAGCTTTGGCGTGACCCATGTAAGTCCTCATACATTTACCAGAGTTGTACACATCCCAAATCTTGACCTTGCAATCCATACCTGCAGAGAGAAGCAAATGCCCTGCTTTGGGAAGAAGCGAATAGCGGAAACGCCTTTCGTGTGACCACTCCATGTGTGAACCAGACGTTTGGGGATGTAGCAGTGATCGTTGTTGCCTTTGCGTCTTTAGGAGCCTCGATCCATGACCTCCCTTGGTAATCTTTCTCCTCCTTGCCATGGAAAGTGCTCTTATCCGCGTAATGCTCTCCTTTGGCTTCGCCTTGTTGATCCTTCTCTCCTTCTTCTTCGCGTGGTCCTCTGCGTACTTCTTCTGCTCCTCCGTCAACTCTCCCTGAACCACCTCCTTCTTCCTTCGACCATGGATTCTTCAAAGCCAAGCTTCTGTCGCCGGATTCTCAGCCTCCGGCTCAAGCTCCTTCTTTTTCTCTTCCCCTTCTGTATCCTCCTTCTTCATCTCAAGCTTCCTCCGCTTCTGCTCGCTCTGCGGGACATTGTAGACAGAACCACCGTCGTTCTGCTTCAACGCCTCCATATCGCCGACGTAATTCAACCCGGACGGATCTGCCGCGTAACCGTACGTCTGAAAAGTGTTGTACTGCTCGTCGAACCCCGAAGGAGCCAATCGACGCGTCCTCCACAAACCCTAGCTTGTGGTTCCGCATCCCCTGCGCGATCCCGTCTTTGGCGTACGGGTGCGCAGGGCCGTAAGATCGGAGCCCAGAGCTGTCGTAAGTAGGGTTAAACACTACGGCGTGTTGGGTGGGATTGATCGGCTGCGATTTCGATTGGTTCACGTTAGCCACCGTCAGAGCTAGTGCCGTATCGTCTACCTCCGGCGCCGATGATTTCGCCTTCAGCATACGAGGCGGCGAAGATTCCGGCGAGGAAGAAACGGCTTCTTCGTCGTAGGACTGAATTAGATCCATCTCTCGATTGCCAGATTCGCTCCACGACTGAGAGATTTATTGATAGATTTTGCCTCTTTTCTCTTCGACCAAGGCCCAAGGGTTTCAAATCTCCTAATTCCCACGAGAGTTGCAATTTGTACGAAACTTTAAAGTTGAAAAAGTTGAAAGACAAACCCTGACTTTTATTTTATTTTCACATTCACCCCGATATTATCTTTGTTTAACATTTACATCTTCTTGTCAACTAAATTTGTCCTGATAACAAAAAAAAAAGTTGAGAATAATTTCCAAATACATAATTTCTTCGAGAATTGCTTTTTGTGTGGTATACATGTTGCAACATTGATTACGTGTTTGGTTTTTCCTCTCCGAATGATAGTTGTGTGTCTATTAATTTGTTGTTGTATCTCAATGATATAATTTATTACATTGTACAAAGATCTAGAGCCTTTTTCATTGGTTAAGTACTTAAGTCACATGAAAGTTAAAACATGCATTGGGGTTTTACAGAGCAGTTAACAATTTACATTAATCATCTGCGTATGCAGGTTATTCATATCAAACCCAAAGTACAGCATTTAAATTAAATACTAGTCCCATGTTTAACGAACTAACCCATTTGATAAAAATATATGTAATAAAACACACCAAAATATTGCATAAACCAATGCTAGCGAAGACCAATTTGGAATTTATAATGCTTCAAATTTTTTATTAAAAGATGATATTCCTTATTCTCTTTTCTATCCTTGACGTATCAATGCCGATCCGAAATACGCTAGCCTGCAAATGTAGGACATAATCAAAATTAATTCAAAACTATAAACAGACATGAAACTGACACATGCATGTGCGCGCGTGGACATACAATGCGTGGATGTGGTCACTCATACATACCTGGGCTATGATTGTATAAGTGATCCTATCATTCAAGATGTGAATATTAGCAGTCATAACTTGAGCTCCTTCGTCTTGAAAAACACTTAAAAGCTCGTGTAGCATTACTCTTTTCATGTTCAGATCCATAACCACATTCATTTGTATGGTTGAATCTCGCGAGTGATAATTGAGTTTCGGCAGAGGATACGACCCTTCAGCGTTATTGCCGACTTCTCCTAACAATGCACTTTTCTTCTCCTTCAAACACTTTATCTTCTCTTTCAGTTGGATCATGTATGATTTCGCATGATCTATAAGTCTAGGCACCGGTAACTGTTAGAGCCATTAGAAAGAAAAAAACCATAGTTACTTTGATGTTTTTTTGCCCGTATGTTTGTTGCATATACACATTAGATAAATGAACGGACCCTTTGAGTGGGAGAAACATGAGAAGAGAGCATAAAGAAGAGATCTTTCATGTGCATTCGTCGCTCTTTCTCTCTGAGGTTTCGTTGTTCCTTGGACGACAATGAGCTTCCTTCTCCTATTTCTTTCTTCTGATCCCTCTCCATTCTTTTTCTTCTCTTTTAAGCTTTTAGGTTACTATATATATGTTTTCTTTCTTTTCAAATCCATCCCATCGATCAAACTCTCTATATATATATATAATAAAGCGGTAGAGAGGGAGAGACACAGAGTCACAAATTTCAATTTTGTCAGAAAGAGCTGTGAAATTTAAAGGAAAGTGATGCTTTTCGTAGAAAGTCATGGCTTTTGTGTTTGCGTCCGTGAGCTTACACACTACTTAAAAAAGAATGTGCATGTTTACTTACGCAAGTTTCACTCTTGGAAAAGCTTGAAAAAAAATTTAACAAAATCTTGAGAAAATTACAAAATTCATTTCTAGGACCTAGCTAGTGATCAGAGATTCTAATTTACATCGTATGGATTCCTTAATTACAAAATTCTGACTATCAAAACATATATATTCATTCATCGGACTATTTTAACTGCAAGGTTTTTGTAGAAAATTCTTATCAAAGACCATTTCAGTCGCTTCAGATACTATAGACAAAAGATAAAGATTCCTTACAAAAGTACTGATATTCAATTTTTACGAGATAAAAGAAAAGCTGTTTTGTAATACCGCTATACAAAGGGACCACGACAAACCAACTTCCATGTTCAATTAATTAGGTGCACATACTTATTATCCCCAAGTATAAATGTTACATAGTACAGGTCATAGTTAGCTAAGATTATTCAACGATTTAAAAGTTCACTGGACATAAAGCTAATAAACATGCTTAACTTGGGGTAGATTATCTAATTTTTCAGACAAGCTGTAAATATTCGACAAGTAATAATCGAACCGCCGCTGGTTGATCTGATAGGCCAAATCAACGTGTAGGGATGGAATAATGAGATAGTAAACAAATTATTTTTTAGTGAATCCAAACTGAAATGTGAATCCAAATTGGCTAATATCTCATTCAAGGTCAGGACTCAGGAGATTAGCAGTTATAACTTGAGCTCCTTCTTCTTTTAAAACTTGATCATAAGCTTGTATAACATTATTTTTTTCATGCTAACGAAGATAATCAGATATTCAGATTCATCAATGTGGTCGAGTCTCGTGAGTGAATGCTAAGTTTTGGCAGAAGAGACGACGACCCTTCTGAGCGTTTTCCGACTTTATGATCTCCTTCTAACAATGCCTTTTTCTTCTATTTCAAATACTTTTTATCTTCTCTTTCAATTGGATCTAGGCATGTAGCTTGATCTATAAGTTGAGGCACTGGTAACTGTTAGAGCCAATAAAAAAACTCAAGTTAGTTACTTTCATGTTTTTTTTACACGAATGTGTTTATCATCACTATATAACACAAACGTAATGTTCATCAATTTTTTTTTGGTAAAAGTGTAGGATTTTTTGTCAACTTTTATTTGTGAAAGGGAATGATTCAAAGAAATGTGTTTTGTTTTTATGTGTGTGGAATTCTTTTGAAGGTAAAAATCTAACAATTTTTGTACGTACTCGTATAATGTTACTTACAGAATAACAACTGTATATATATCGTCTAGCCGTTTTCTTTAGTGCATTTTTTCCACATGATATATATTTCTTCAAATGTTTGAATTCTTCCACTATGAAAAATCTAGTCATATATACAAGCTAGTCATTAGTTTGAATTTGAATTCTAGAAGCCATTAGTTTAATTTTCATGTCATTTGTAAAAGTGATGCAAAAAAAACTTAGTATCATTGATTTTAGTGTCATTTTCTCAAATGATGCAATAATTCTTGTATCATTTAAAAAGTGTTACTAAAGTTAAAAAAAAAATGACATTAAAAATTAAGTTTCTTGTAGTGTCTCCATCATGACAATTTGACTAGTTTGCCCGGACAATTTGAGTTCTCCTTCAAAACAGGCTGGATAGTATTTTAGCTAACAAAAACTCTAAAGGCGGACCCAAGTGTCCTTGAACATAATTTGAAGATCATCATCACACACATTTATGTATGAAATTATGAGAGTTTTGACAATAAAATTAATACATTTTTCAATTTTTATTGATGATTACATTTATAAAAAGTTATGATAAGATTATCAGTTATAGCTTGAGCTACTTCTTCAAAAACTCGATCATAAGCTATTAATTAGCTTGTGTAACATTACTTTTGTCATGCTAACATAGATAATCAGATTCATCTCTATGGTCGAATCTCGTGATCGAATGCTACGTTTTGGCAAAAGAGAGAGACGACGACCCTTCTAAGCATTTTCCGACTTAATCTCCATCTAACAAATAATGCTTTTTTCTTCTCCTTCAAATACTTTATCTTCTCTTTCAATTGGATCATGTTTGATGTAGCTTGATCTATAAGCTGAGGCACTGGTAACTGTTATGGCTAATTAAAAACCCAAGTTAATTACGTTCATGTTTTTTACATGAATGTGTTTATAATCATTATATAACACAAACGTAAAACCTAGCTATGTTCATCATTTTTGTTGTTGTTGTGTGTGTGTACGTCTGTATATTATTTATCGCATGATGTTACTTACAGAATAAACAACTGTATATTTAACGTCTAGTCGTCTTCTTAATTACTGCATTTTTTCACATGATATTTTGTTTCTTCAAATATTTGAATTCTTCCACTATGAAGAAACTAGTTATATATATACGAGTATTCTGAATTTGAGTTCTCCATCATGACAATTTGACTAGACAAAGCTCACTTATATCATCCGGAACGCAGATTACAAAACTTATATAATTGTTAACACAAAATTAAACATGAATAACACAATATTTTAGTTGGTCGTTAGAATCTTTAAATGAATAATAATAGATTTTCTTTATAAAAAAAAAATAATAATACATTCTAACCTCTTTTGATAAAAAAGATTGTAAATATTCCAAACCAAATAAAAAAATTGTATATATAAGAACAAATAACACTAGATTATAAACTCATTTAGTAAAGATATTTTCTTTTCTTTTTGGTCATCAGCTTCCTAGTAAATATGTTCTATATATAAAAGATTTTAAAAGGGTATTTAAAATCAACAATGGATTTTATAGAGAATTAAGCTATTATCTGTTGTGTGTATAAATTATAATTTACCGAAAAGAATGTGACATAAGAGGTAACATATTTGATTTGATTTTTTATTAATTAAAGCAATAGTAACAAGCACTTCACTTCAGATTTTCGCACTATAAATAATGTTCTCCATATGTCCACAATCTCATCATCCTCACACAAGTTTCAAACTATTATTTGTTGCCTCCTCTTTCTTAGATAAAAAAAAAGTTAAACTTTAAATTTTAACAAAAACAAATATGAAGTTCGTACAATTCTCCATAATCTTTTTTCTCCTCGCATCAATTTGTGTGCTTTCAACCGCTGATCGTAAGTTTATTTGATTTAGTTAATTGTTTCATGTAATTTATCATTTGGATCTAAATATCTAAAGCTTTGTTATTGTTTCACATGTGATGATGAACGGATTCGCAGCATGCAGTTCAAAATGCAATGTGAGATGCTCAAAGGCAAGTCAAGTTGACCTGTGCCTCAGAGATTGCAATATATGTTGTTGGAAGTGTAGCGTCTGTGTTCCATCGGGTACTTATGGAAACAGAGATGAATGCCCTTGCTATCGCGATCTCAAAAACTCTAACGGCGGACCCAAGTGTCCTTGATCACATTTGAACATCATCATCACATATCTATAATATTTATATGTATGAAACTACGAGAGATTTTTATAATAAAATTTAACAAAAAAATATTACGGTTGGAGTTTCATATACGTAGATATTATATATACCTAATACCTACTTGTATTAAAATGTGGGTACGTTGCTCATGAAAACTAGGATCGCTCACAAAAGCTACTACAATAGTTCATGGTAGATAAAAATTGCTAAAAGAAGCGAGAAACATCTAGAAGAGATACGATCATTTCAAAAGAGTGAAGTAGAATTATCATACAAAATATCAGTATCGAATAATTAAATTAATTAGTTAGCCTGTTTCATACGATCGTAAATGAAAATTTTATTTTTTTACCAAAAACAAAAAAGATAAGGATAATAGTCGCATAAAGTATCAATTATGATTTCTTTTAACTTCTCATGTAATTAAGCCTCTGGATACGCACGCTTGAAATCCGATTCTTGATTTTGTATTCTTCTTGCGACTCTTCGACAAAGAATTTGTTCCAAATTTCTAGATTTTACTTCGAATGCAGCCTCCTTTTTTTCTTTTCCATTGACAATAAATATGCTAAATTCATACTGAAATAAATGATGCATACATATATCATGAAAGCAAAACCATCAAGGAACCAACTGTAAGTATCATTAGTCAAATCAAATTGTTGATATACAGTATTCACCAACATATTCGACAAGTATACTATACTGACAGTACGATGAATATGAGAATCTACTACTCTGTCAATGTGTCATTTTCAAACTCTACTACATAAAGTGCTAAGCTAAACTGTTTATTGGTTAAGTCATGCTCAATTTCAAAGTAATTACTAGATTGTGCCAACTATCCTTGTTGTTTCGATGTTGGCGTGATGATACAACTTCAAAGGTAGAAAAACATAAACTTATTAAGACCAATTCTGTTCACGTCGTGATAGTCAATGTGTATGCCTTACAAGTTTCTTTTTTTGCTTTAACGTCCAAAGGAAAACACAAAGAAACGAAAACTAAAACAAGAGAATAATAGAGACCCAATCTACAAATAAAAAAACCGACAACCTGATTTTCAAAACGACTCAAACAAGCAACAAACCCACCTGCAAATTCTGATAAGCAAAAACTCAAAGCACAGAGAGAGAGGCTTTTGTTTCATCAACTAGAGAATGTGTTTTCTGAGTCACTCTGCTTTCTTTTGGGTGTCTGCACCAAATCAGGCTTCGACGCTCACAAGCTCATACTCAATGAGCGAAAGATTGTTATCTTCCTTGACGCTGATGTCCGTGGGCTCCTCCGCCACTTCAACACGTCCCCATCTGTCGACTGCAAGCCTCATAGATCCCTTGTACATGTCAATCTTGGCATTGCGCAGGGTCACTACCGTCCCTTCTTTCATCATATCCACTGATAACACAAAATGAATCAAAACATCAATCAGATATCTCTAAAATCACCTGAGAAAATACTAACGAATGTTTTTCAATATAACTGAGTATTCATTCTCACCTTGATCGTTTCTTGCGGTGAAGATGATGATCCCAGTCTCATCTCCGACTAGACATTCTGCAATCCGCATCTGACGAGCCTGAGGACCGCTGGGACGACCTCCTCCTTGTCTCTGCATCACCATCTTCGTGCTGACAACTTTCACGTTCAGTGAGTGACCATTGGTTCCTGGTCTCAGCTCATTCACCTTGGTGAACACTGGCTTCCTCAATGCAGGCGTTGCCTCTGCCATTTCTCTATATTATAAACCTATAAATTAGCCATATACAAGTAAAACATTCCTCAGATCAATTCAATTCAATTCGCAAGCAACAACTGCAATTTCGTATCTGTTAATCAAAAGCGATCCTGATCTCGCACGAGTTACAGTGATAGAAATGAATCAATCATAGGATTCGTAAAGCAGCAATATCGACGAACAGGTGACAAAAGACCGATAATGGAAGCTAATCACAGAAAAATAACATTTTGACCCCAGAGATTCATGGAATCACCGATCGAGCTGCTAAAATTCACCGCTAAGGAGATCGAAATGAAAACAGAAGGTAGGGTTTTTGAACTCACTTACGTTTTCGTTTGGGAGAAGAGACGATCGACGACGACGGCTTAGCGATTAGATCTGTTGAGGCGATAAAAACAAAGACGCGGCGGACTTATAATGTCTAAAACTCAGATATTAATATTAGCCGTAGATCCATGACCTGAACACGTGTCGCAATCCTACAGAACTCTTGAATAATTGCCATCCCTTTAATTTGCACAATTTGAGATTGGCGTTAAAACTTTTGACGAATACGAATTACACCCTACAAACCGATATAACTTGACCGGTCTATTTGAAACCGGTTCGCTGGTCAGCAAAGTTTTTGCTCTTCGGTGGTGGATTCGTCTTCCACTGATGGAGAGTAATCGTCATCCATTAGAGAGCCAATGCTTCTGCTTCCATGGTAACGCTCTCGTTTCCATCTCCCTCGCTCTCATGCGTAGAGAGCGGGTCATATAAATCGTCTCACGTTTCTCGGGTCCTAATCTCTGGTCCCGATGAGAATCACGCCGAATCGTCGGAACCCAATATACTCAGAGATGTTCATATAGTAAGAGTTAAAAATCGATTTTTATGTGATTTTATCGGATTGATTACTTATTTCGATTTGAGTGACTGTTTTTGTTTTTGTTCTGCTTAGTCGGAAAGGTTGATGGAGGATTTCACTGAGCTAGCGAGAGAGAACACTGAGAAAGACCTCGAGACTTGTGGAACTCTCGCTGCCTTTCTTGTAAGACTATTTTGCTTTCTTCACTTCCTGATATTGTAGATTTAGTCTCAATCTAAGTTCAAGTGGTGATATTGTTGATGATTCAAGCCTTAATTGAAGTTCATGATTCATGTTAATTTTGCTTTCCTGGCTCAGGATTGATTCTTCCTTTTTTAGGTATGCTAATCACTAATCTATTTGTGTTCATGATTTAGGAAAGAGGAATTTTTTATGTAACCACTCTGATAATACCAAAGCAAGAATCAACTGCTAATACTGTGAGTGTACTGGAAAACACTTTCTCAATCATTTCGTGGGGTTTTAACGTTGGAAATGGATGCTTAACTCTCAAGTACTGAAAAAATGGCAGTGTCAAGCTATGAATGAAGTGGATGTGTTTTCAATACAAAACGAAAGAGAACTTTATCCCGTAGGATGGATTCATGTACATATCTCTTCTCCATCTCCATGGTTTTAAGATAGATTTAGTGATGTTTTGTGATACTATAATAAGTTTATGCTTGCTTTACAGACTCATCCTTCTCAGGGTTGTTTCATGTCATCAGTAGATCTTCATACACATTTCTCGTATCAGGTACTCCAGTTTCTTAGTAATCAATTTCTTCAACTCTTGAAACTCCTCACATGACACGTCGGAGTTGTATCCAAATTCATCATCTGGCAGACAAATGCAAAAAATAAGTGATAAAGATTTGTCCTTTTAAGGTAATGGTGCCAGAGGCATTTGCAATCGTCGTGGCTCCAACTGATAGCTCTATGTATGTCTTTCCTAAGCCATCTTATCCACTTACCACTGAGTCAGTTTAACAGTCAGGCTATATCCTTTGATTGACTCTCAAATTGATTCTTTTGCAGGAGTTACGGAATATTTAAGCTAACAGACCCTGGAGGAATGGAGGTATTGAGAGGATGCTCGGAGACTGGATTCCACACGCACAAAGAACCAGAAGATGGGAACCCGGTTTATGAGCAGTGCTCAAACGTGTTCAGGAACTCGAACCTTAGGTTCGAGATTTTTGATCTCCGCTAAGGTAACGACACTTCCTTGGCATTGTCAGTAACAAGGTTCAAGCTTTATCCAATGTGGGCTTAGTCTGAGAAGGCTAATCGTCATCATAACCATAAACCTAACCGGAACTGTATACTTAGTCTGAGAAGGCTGTGGGTTATGAACACAATTCACCATTCATTAAAGCTTAGCAATGATAATACTTTAATGTAAGTGAATCATTTGGTACCATGCACTTAAACAATGACAATAGTGTACATACATGTATAATAGTATGCATGAATATCTTTCTCCTGTTTTTATTTTCCATAAATATTATACCATATTTCGCAATTTTCATCTGCCGACCTTGCCAGTAATGGCTGACTGATGAAGAAAAAGTTGTTAGCTTCTGAAAACGCAAGAAAATTTAAAAACTTCAGCTCCAGCATTTTCAAAAATGATGTATTCTCAATTTTTTCGCAATTTTCATTCTTCATTTTCTTTTGTTTTTCATTTGATTGATATATCAATAAATTCCAAATAGCCATAGAATTTCCCTGAAAAATACAAAAACGAAATCCTTAAAAGTCTGTTTTTTTTCTCTCTTTGTGAAGACATTTTCCATATACCCTTGTTCACATGAAACTAAAGTACAAAACGAAAAACAACAGAATCAAAAGGTCCGATCTTTTTGTTTTTTTCTTCAAGTAATAAAGCTCTCAAGCTCGTTCCTTCTTAAAGTAAATAGTACAGAGGATGATTTTATCAAGTGAAGTAACAAAAAGCTTGATCATTTCATATTGTTAAATGTTGCTATCAAAACCATACAGTCCTTTTTTTTTCTTTTCTCTTTTTGTTTGCTTCAAAAATCCTTTATGGCCGTTTTTGAGCACATGATAAGTCTCTCCGTACAGTCAGAGTAAAACCCTCTCTCTCTCTCTCTCTTTTCTCTCTTTTCTCAGTCGTCTTCTCTCTCTACAGATGTCAGCCATCACTGTCACGGATTTGGGTACAGACTCGCAGACGAACCACTCTTCTCTCTCTCTGGGTTTTTAATTCAAAAAGCGAAGTTGGTTACCATTGTCTTGTACGATCGTATATTCCTATTATGATTTGTTTTGACAGAGTAACTTGTGCCAAACATTTCTCTCTCCCCTTACATCAATTTATAAGTAAGAACAAAAGAGATCACAAAAGTTGAAGCTTTTTGTTTGGCTTTCCTTGCTGTGTTGCAGAGAAATGATGAGAGGTGGTGAGAGAGTGAAGGAGTTTCTTCGACCCTTTGTCGCTTCCAGGGCTTGGGACTTTTGCGTTATCTGGAAACTTGGTGATGATCCTTCTAGGTACACACACACACACTCTCGATTCTGGGTTATTTTTTGTTTTCTGTGGTGTTTCTTTGTTCGTTGTTCCATGTGAATCACTCAGCTATTTTGTTTCAGTAGCATTCTGATGGGTCTTCGGGTTTATCGTTATCCTTGCTTTCTGGATTTGGGATTTCTAAGCTCTGTTTTCAATTTTATCTGCCTCTTTCGTTTCCTGAATCGTTTTGGTCTCCAAGTTTCCAGTTTTAGACTAGTCCCTAATCATTTCTGGCTCTGTCCTTTACTAAAGTTCACTGTTTTATGAGTCTTTATCCCAAAAGAGTCGAAATTTCATTGTTTTCTTGGTGTTTTGCCTCATTTGGTTTCTGAGATTCAATGGTGACTAGTCTTTTCAGTATCACATGTTTGACAATACTGTCAAAGTTTCTAACTTTCTTGTTATTTCGTGGTAAATTCCTGGTTTACCATAATTTCCCTAGTTTTGATACATTTCTTCTTTGTCTGCTCTTGGTTTTGCCTTAAAAATCAGCCGTAATTGATCTTGATTCCATTTAATCGGCAGGTTTATCGAATGGGTGGGATGCTGCTGCAGTGGTAGTTACATTGAGAAGAACATTAAGCTCGAAAATGTGGAAGAAGCAACGGAGAGGAAAAAGATGAGTTCTGTATGCAGAGATGAACACAACAAGCATCATATAAAAACATTAGCTTGTGAAGCTCTCTCTCATTTCCCTCTCTCCATGCCTCTCTATCCAGGGTAAGCTTTTGTTTCACCTATTTAAACCTCAGAAACTTTTTATTTTCCCACCTTTTAAGTAAATTTGATATTGAAGCTTCCTTCTTAAATCACAGGATTCATGGAGAAGTAGTCATGTCAAAATCTCCCAGATGGTTGGTTAATTCATGTCCAGGATCTAAAAAGGTAAAAGCTCTTTACTTTCAGAATGTTAAATCATAAGAACAGTCTGATCCCGATGTCTTCTGGCAGGATATATTCAGCACAAGGGTTCTTGTTCCTGTGAGGGATGGTCTTATTGAGCTCTTCTCCTTCATAATGGTAATAAAACTATTTCAGATAAACAGATAGCAGTCACATTGTTTGGTGGTGGTAAACTTCATAAAAAGCTGTTCTCTTTTCTTGGTTTGTTTCAGAAACCGGTTGATGAAGGCATGGTTGATTTGATCATATCGCGTTGTAACGCCTTCTGCGAGCCATTCCCTGAACAGACATTGCTGCAACTCAGGATCTCTCCTACAGCAGAGGAATCTATGAGCAGCGGTTTGAATCTCAGCTTTGAGTGTGGAGGAGGCTCATCAAGCGTTTCCAATCCCTCCAGTGAAAATCAGACTCTTTTTGGAAACCCGAATGCTCGGTTTGGGGAACAAGGAGGACCGTGTTTGGTGATGAACAAGGAAGAAGAGGATGCCGTGATGCAAGACACCATTGAGTTAAAAGCTAATAAGAGGCTCCCAAAGGAAAACTTCAAGTCAAAGAATCTTCTTTCAGAGAGGAAAAGAAGAGACAGAATTAATCAGAGACTTTATGCTCTAAGATCCGTTGTCCCTAGAATTACAAAGGTTCTTCTTGAAAACTCATTTTCGGTTTCTGGTTACTCTTCTTTGTCATCAATAGCCATTTTGATTGGATTTACTTTATGCAGATGAACAAAAATGGAACTCTCAGTGATGCGGTTGATTACATCAAAGAACTGCAAGTGGAGAAGCAGAAACTTGAAGATGAGCTGAATGGAATCAACGAGATGGAATGCAGAGAAATCGCTGCTAAGGTAGAATCTGTAGTAGCTAGTCCAGAAGCTGAAAAAGTTTCAGCTAAACTCAACAATAAAGTGAACAACGAGGTAACGAATACAGAGACTCAAGATCATATCATTATGTGAACATGTTAAAAACAATCCCACAAACTCCTTTGTTTTCTGGTTGCTTTCAGGTGACTCTTGAAGTCCACGAGATTGGTGAGCGAGATTTCTTGATTAAGGTAGCGCAAGAGCATACACGAGATGGATTCAAGAGGTTGATAGAAGCTGCTGATTCTTGTGGACTTGAGATCGTCAACGTCAATTTCACCAGACTCAATCTCACAGCCATGACCCTTCTCAATGTCAAGGTACCTTAAATCACATCTCATTACCTGTTCTTAATCACAGATTTCAAACAAAAATTCTGATATAAGTTTGGACTTTTTTAGGCGAACAAAGATGTATTATCATCTAGAAATCTGAGAGATTTGCTGCTTGAGAAGATGGCAACTTCAGAGTCCGTAAAACATAGTACATAACCAGATAAAAAAGCGAGAAAGGTCAAATGTTTTGTTTGCTTCAGACACAAGTTACAGCTGAGATTTGATGATTCTCACAAGCTATTGGTGACAAATTTACATGTTGGAAACTATACATTCTAATGTGTATTGGATTTGAGTTGGTTAAGATCTTCACTAAAAATTAATCTAAAAGAGTTGGTTAATTTATTGATTCCGGCGAGTACTATTGTTGAAGGCTCGGCTCTCAGACTCACGGCTCGTGTAGTCTTGGCTAGGGTAATAGCTATTATTAGTACCAAAATCCGATGAATCTTCAGAGGCTCGTCTGAAAATACGAATCTCATTACTGTATTGACCAGAGTTGTAGACCGTACTTTGACCCACTTTGACTCCGTTTGTCAGATCCGACATGTCATCTCTCGTGTCCAAAGCTCTTACAACCTGAGAGACAGACACTCTGGATCGATCAGAGGGTGTCTCCTTACAGCTATTTTATGAAGGAGAGAGTGAAGTGAGTATAAATTCTGACCTGGACCATACGAGGTCGTTTTAGAGCTGAGTGCCGAACACAAGACGCAGCCGTTTCGATCATCCTAAAGACTTCGCCTTCAACGTAACGCTTCTCCAGCCGTGGGTCCACTACTTCGCTTATGTCACCTTTTTCAATGGCTTCGATTAGCCGCGGGCGTGCCTGCCATAATCCAACCCCTCAGATTTTTATTTAAATTTTAATTCATTTTGTAAAAGTTGGAAAAAAAAAGTTACCCATTCAACGAGACTTTCTTCACCCAGAGGTTGAGAGGTGTCAACAGGTTTACGACCGGTGATGAGTTCGAGAAGCACGACCCCAAATGAAAACACATCTGATCTGTCTGTAAGCTTTCCACTTGATGCGTATTCTGGTGCTAAATACCTGCATTCATATCATATTGGTAATGATTTTTATAATAAATGTAACAGATCTCAAGAAAAAAACATTAGTATATGATTCACATTATAAATTCGGTTTTAGTACTTGTTTTTTTTTTTGGGTCGGATTTAGTACTTGTTTAGATAGTCATAGAGCCAAAGCCACTAACTCAAAAGTCTTAAAGTTAAAAGGGGAATAACAGTACGGTCAGTACCCAAATGTGCCCATGACGCGTGTCGATATATGGGATTGTGCAGTATCGTTCAGTCTCGCGAGTCCGAAATCTGCAACCTGTACGGCACAAAAAAAATGCTAATAATGATTCTCATTTCTACGAATCTCTCAACTATTATTTATTAAATTTAAAATATTTAATATTGACTTTGCCTGAGCTTCGAATTCATCATCCAACAGAATATTTGACGATTTTATGTCCCTATGGATTATCTTCGGGTGACCTATAAAAATTATTGTTAAAAAGCCAAATCAGTAGTTTAGTACCAAGAAAATATATTGCATTTCATTTCGACGTATCACTTAAATAAAGACTACTCACAATCTTCGTGTAGATAAGCAAGTCCTTTGGCTGCGCCTATTGCAATCTTGACTCTTCTTGTCCATTCCAAAACCGGCAAGTCTTTGCCTGACAACAACACAATAAATTATCCACGTTTGTAATACACATGACCGGTGAATGGTAAAGTATGTTAGAAGAAGTACCATGTAAATGGTAGTCCAAAGTATTGTTGGGGACAAACTCATAAATGAGGAATCTATGTTGCTCAGAGATGCAATAACCAACAAGAGACACTAAGTGCCTATGATGCACTCTACTAATGATCTCTACTTCAGCTTTGAACTCTCTATATCCTTCTGCGCTAATCGACTTTAGCTGTTTGATCGCGATTGGCTTTCCTTCGCTAAGGACGCCCTTGTAGACGCACCCGAACCCGCCTTCTCCTATGATAAACCTCTTGCTAAACCCTTCTGTTATCTGGCTTAGCACCTCGTAGGTGAATAGGGTTTTTGCGGTTCCTATTACTGCCTGGTCAGGGGTTGCTCTACCGTGTCTTGGATTCCCCAAACTGTTGTTTGTATCCGGTGATGAGTTCTGCGCCGAGCTACGGGAGTTTCCTAGTTTTTGCCTGTAGTGAATGAATCCCTCTGCGCCAAGAACAAGGCCAGGGTTAAGAATATAAGAACCAAGAACAAATAATGAAGCTTCAAGAATAGGTTTAGAAAAAGAATTAGAACACAAAATCAAGAATCAAGAACAAAGTCACAAGGAAAAACAAGAATCAACATTCAAGAATTCAAGAATTCAAGTTAAAAACAAGAACATGGAATTAAGAACCTAGAGCAAGATACAAACCAAAAACTAAGAATCTATGACATAAAAGTAGAACAAGACATGATTTCGAGAACCATTTTAATATCACACCGAAAGTAAATGTAAAAAAAAAAACTTTTTACCTGTATTTACAGAGACAGTATCCGGTGGCAAATACGGCTGGTTAGACCGAGGCGAATCATATTTCTTGGGTTTCCTCCTAACGAAGAAAGCAGCAGCAACGAAGATAATGATCAAGACACCTGCGATCCCAATACCGATCATTGTCTTCTCGGTGTAACCAGACGCATTGTTATGTGGTGCATTACCACCATTTCCGTTGTTATTCGCATTATGTCTATTAGAACCTCCAGAATTGTTATCGGAACCGGAAATGGACGGAGGAGAAGACGACGACGAGGGCACACGATTTGATCCACCTGCCGGAGGTGAATCCAACGGCTGTGATTGTGAAGGGTTTCTTTCTAAATTAGGGCTTAGCGGGATGACCGGGAGTGATGGAAATGACGATGGAGGAGACCCTTGGCTACCAGAATTTTCCGGGGGCGGCGGAGAGAAAGGAGTAAAAGGCGGAGACGGAGGAGAAATAGGGTTATTTGGTTGCTGTTGGCCGTTTTCAACAGGTTTTGTCTCTGGTTGCTGAGTAACTAAGGTCGGAGGAGGAAGAGCAGGAAGAGGAAGTTGAGGCAGTGGAGAAGGAATCACCACCGGAGAATCTCCGGTTGGAATAGATGGAGGCGGAGGTTGAGGCTGAGGTGGTGAAGGAGGTGGAGTGGCAGAAGGTGGAGGGGAAGAAGGAGGCGTTGGAGGTGGAGTTGTATCAGGAGGAGGTTGGTTTGCAGGTGGCGGAGAAACCACTACCGGCGGTGGAGGTGATTGTGAGCCGCCTCCGCTACTGGCACTGTCCGGGGAAGGAGGAGAGGGAGGAGAAGTGGCTGGAGGCTGTGTTGTCTGGGAACCGCCGGTGATTTTCTGATCAGTTAATCCACCAACGTTTTCAGCAAACGGAGATATCTTCTTTTCGATTAAATCTGCTTGTTGCTGGACTTTGTCCATTTGTATTCACCTCTTCTTGCTTATCCTTTACATGTTTGAATTTACTCTTATAGGGTTGCCTTGTGAAACAAGAAACGAGTCCACCCAAAATAATGGGTTAAAATTCCGCAGGAATCCAGGAAATTTAAAATTTAAAACATATAGCGGGTTTCTTAAGATATGTGTTCATGGGATCATCAAGACTTTTGTGGAAGTTAACGAAAAATATATGAAAAAAAATCCAGGCCTATAGTGTTTCTTGCGACTTGATGAAGATTGGAAGAAGAGTTTTTGATCAGGTTGATCCAGATTTGTTGGTTGGAGATTTTTCTTTCCTTGGATTTTTTCTTCGTTACGTGTTTTTGTGTAAAAATAGAAAGTCTCCCAATTCTCAACAATTGAAATCTAAAAATTACTGAGCAAATAGGCTAAAAATTCACTTGATTGTTTTGTTTTAGAGTAAATAATTGTAGGAAAGAAGAGTACCAACATCTGGAAGATTCACCATTCAGCTTCATTGTCGGAATGCCGCATCAATTATTTTTTTTTGTTCTTTTATCGTGAAACTTCTAAAAAATAAATTAAAATTCACAATATCCGGTTACAGCATTTGACTTTAAGCTCTTTCCGTGATATAATTGTCTTTGTAATCGAGAGCTAGTTACTATTGATCATACAAATATTAGTCGGAGTTCATTAACTGGTACAGTAAAACTTTCATGCATTTAAACTCTAGACGTATTGAGTAGTGTAGGTATGAATTTCAAATCAACTGTTATGTCATATATTTTCAAAGAAATTTATCTTGATGATCTCAAGACATCCAACTCATTAAAAAGAGTAAAAGACACATTAAATCAACCAATCAGTCATATTTTGTATATGTTTTAAAGTTTTACTTTGTTTAGTGTATATGTAACACATAATTCTAATTATGTTGAATTCGCGCCAGAAACGGTTTTTAAAATATGATATGATAAGAATCCGAACATTCAAGAAGAATAAGCAAAAAATAAGAAATAGTGACCGTTCAACATGAAACAAATCATTTTTTCCCCCTTCAAGAAATGAAACAAACATATGACTCCAAGAAAAATGTCTTACAAAAATAAGTCTTAAACCACATGAAACAAAGTTGACTCCGAATAAGAAGCTTTGATCTGGCTAAGAATAACCTCAAGTACTCAAGCCTGCGAATCAAGTAAAAGAAAAAAACATAAATTACATCAACACACAAACATCATCCAGATGACAGAATCCTAAGATTGTAAGGCATGTCTATATAACAGTGTCACAAAATGTCCATAACCTGAAACCAAATATAAGCCTATCGAATCAGAAGTCTTACTTTGTTAGCAATGTTGTTGGAGAGCCAATCCAGACCTTCGTATAACCCTTCACCGGTGGTTGCGCATGTGCTTTGAATGTACCTGAAAAGAGATAGAGAGCAAGCACTGTGTTTTCAAGTATACAATAACCAAAACAAACAAATCCTGGCTGGGATATAAAATGATAAATCACCAGTGGCGTTGCCGGAGAGAGTGTAGGCCAAGCTTATCAGTTATCTCAGCAGCATTCATTGCGTTTGGAAGATCTTGCTTGTTGGCAAACACAAGCAACACTGCGTCACGAAGCTCATCCTGCAGTCACAAAGCACCAATAAGGATAAACTTCTTATGGTTTAATAAGAGAAAACAATGTAGCACCCAAAAAAAAACATACTTCATTCAACATCCTGTGAAGTTCGTCTCTGGCTTCAACAACTCGGTCTCTGTCGTTGCTATCCACCACGAATATCAGACCTTGAGTGTTTTGGAAGTAGTGCCTCCACAATGGACGGATCTGTAAGCAAGAGAATAAGCGGATAAATGTTTCCACTTTCTTCTTAATTTTCCTAAAGAGGTTTTTGAGAGAGTCATAATATAGTGCAAGTGCAAACCTTGTCCTGACCCCCAACATCCCAGACAGTGAAGCTGATGTTTTTGTACTCAACCGTCTCCACATTAAACCCTGAAACAACAATGTTTGTAATGTAGCCAATTGACATTAGTTTCATTCTAAGTCAACATAGAGTATCATCTAAAAGAAAGTTGAAAGCTTTTAACAGCCTAAGCTATTGAGCTGATCTGATAACTCTGATATACAAGTCATTAGGAGAGAGTCAAGAGGAGAGCTACAATGCGATGTGTTGAAAGACTTACCGATGGTGGGGATGGTGGTGACAATCTCCCCAAGCTTGAGCTTGTACAGAATGGTTGTCTTACCAGCAGCATCAAGACCAACCATAAGGATTCTCATCTCCTTCTTGGCGAAAAGCCTGCTGAATAGCTTTGCAAATGAAAGCCCCATTTTTCCTTTTTCAACTCTTGATCCTGAAATCACACACCATAAACAATTCGAATCACACCAAATCTTACAAAACTCACACCACACGAGAAGCATTCAAATATTGTCAATCCCAAAATCCAAGCTTTTTCACAATTGTTGTATATAAAAAAATCATGATTATTAGTCATTACAGAAAGAACAGAGCATCAAATGAAACAAAAAATAAGAATATTAAAAACAGAAAGATAAAGACGAAATCATCGATTTCGATTTCACATATTTCGTGATGAATTGTAACAGAAGATCAGGAAACAAAGTAAAATCTATACCCCAAGATACAAAAACGTTCAAAGAGAATGGCTTAGAATCAAGTGACCACTAAAACGAGATCACATTTCTCCGGAATTATCAAAATTCAGATACTTCGGATCAGGCTAATCAAGGAAATCATCATGGAATTAGAAATGCAGATCCAGAAAATCCAGACGAAGCAAGACGATCGTAAAGCTTCGAAGCTTACCTTTCGAAATTTGGAAGGGATCTGAAGCGAGCGAGCAGCTTCAAATCAGCACAAGACGTGATTTGTGAATTAACAAAGAAAAAACGTTACATTATTAATTCGTGAATGCAAAGTTTCACTAACACCCTCATACTATTGTATATTATGAAAAGAGTACCACTTTTCTCTTAAAAATGACCCCTTATATTTTAATTGTGCAAATCATGTCCTTCAATCAATCAACTCTCCTACAACTTATATTTTATAGACACACATTTATTAATTTGGTGTGATCCACAAGGTAATATCATCTTTGTAGTTTTTCACTTTTCACATTTATTAACTTCGTCTTTTCACTTTTCATGTTTGATCATTACTTGGTTGTAGTGAATAAAGTGACGCCATTCAAGTAGCAAGACAAGTATAGAAAAAGAGACACCAAATCGTAATTAGTATAAAGTAGTAGTAACTAGTAGTAATAGTAGTAGTAGGCTTATTATATAGGCTAAAGAAAGATATACAATCATCTACATTAAATTTTCACACTCTTTTAACATGCAAAGATCCATCAACATAGATCATGATCAGACTGGACTCTGTTTCTCGGAGGCTTCCCAATCTGTAAACAATCAATAGGAGGAAGAGTAGGAGTGTTGAGCTCACCAAACGTCTGCCAGCAAAAAGGATCATACATGTGATACCGTTCTTGGACCGGTTTAAGCTCAATCGAAGACAACTGAACATCAACGCAAGGGAAGTTATCGCTGCAAGCGAAATGCACAGGCTTCACTGTATAAGTGCCTTTGATCCTCTCGTAAGTCACTCCTTCCACTGCAACTGCTGATGTCTGGTTCTTGCATGTGCTGTGGTCACAGTAGAATTGGTCTATCACCATTGGAAGCTGGACTTCGTTTAGCTGAATGTTTGAGAAGAGTACCCCTTTCACCGATCCTACACCTCCTTGCCATGTCTTGATTCGCACGCCTGTCATCGTGTTGTGCATCGCCACGTCTCGCACGGTTATGTTCGAGACGCATGCTTTTGTGCTGTCTCTACCGAGACTGCCGATGCTGATGCCGTGTCCTGGTCCACAGTTTACGTTGTGTACGTATACGTTCGAGCAACCGGTTTGAATCGAGATACAATCATCTCCTGCATAGAGAGGAGAACACCATTACTCCAAAATACAAAAATTCAAGATCATTCAAGATTCAAGAATTCAAAATTTCAAAATTCAAGAATTCAAGATCATTCAAAATTCAAGAATTCAAGATTCGAGATTCAAGAATTCAAGATTCAAGATTCAAGATTCAAGAATCAAGAATTCAAAATTCAAAATTCAAGAATTCAAGAATTCGATATTTAATATTCAAGATTGGAGATTTTTATACCGCAAGCGAGAGTTGTGCTGTGAATGAGGACGTCTTTGGTGTTCTGAAGGTGAATACCATCGGTGTTTGGACTGTCACCTGGTGAAGAAACGGCCATGTCATGTACCACAACCCCTACGCAGTTGTCGAATTTAAGGTGACATTGAGGACTGTTCTGTATCGTTATACCAGTAACTTCCACGTCAAGACTCCCAGAGAACCGTAGTGCCTGAGACCATAAAAAACAGAGTAAACAAACCAAACCTCTACAATTATATAAAATCCAAAACTCTCTTGATTCTTTTTCTTACCGTTGGTTTGATGCTTGGCATTCTCCCATCAAGCTCACTTCTTATCTGTCATATATGCAAGAAAATTTGATCTTAGATGAATATTGTGCCAGTGAGACAATGAATGAAAAGAAAGAGAAGAAGACTGAGTTTTTTACCGGCATGAGAGGGGGTTCTTGAACAGAATTGTTCAGAGGGAGGATGAGTTTGGTTTCACCATCAATGAAAGGATAATCTTGTTGCCACCAACCAGAGCCTCTTCCATCAATCACACCTTTCCCTTGTACTTTGATTCCTTTCAGCTTTGTGAAATCAATCCACCACATTAACCCTTTTCCCCATGACTTTGAATCCGTTGGAGCTATGATTGTACCATCCAGCTACAAATTTACAAAAAAAATTCTCAAGAATTTTTACACTAAAAGAAAGATAGCAAGTTTTCAAGAACAATTCTCACCTGAAACACAATGTTAGGTTGACAATAAGGACCAGAGAATGTGATCGGACCAACAAGAAAAGTGTACTCGGACGGCACAATCATCATCGATGCCTCGATTTTGCAAGCCGATGCCCAAGCCGCTTCAAACGCCTGCAAACATTATGAAACTCTCTGTTAGCATTTCATTAACTAAACTCAAAATACTAGTTAATCACCAAATGTTTCTACAGAGCAATTATAATAATGGTTATTAAGGCTTGTGACTTCACGTGGTCCCTTTTGTAAACTGTTATTTCTGTTGTCACTTACATTATATTCGTTTGTCTTTTTTTTGCTCAATTTAACTTTTCAGAAAGAAAAAAGGTTTAAGTGACTTTACAGGCAGAGAAGCCTTTTTCTTAGCTCTGTTTTTTTTCTTGTTCCGTCTCGTGTTCTGTCTCAATGATCTCTCAACTGTAATTTGTCTTTTTGTAAATTCTCATGAAACGGTATATAAAATGCTCTCTAATTAAAACTGTACGGATGACGAAATTAATGAGCTTTTTCTAATTTATTACGTTTATTATTTTTACCTTAGTGTCATCACATTTTCCATCACCCTTTGCACCAAAATCCATCACATTGAAAACTTGAGTTCCCTTCGGCGGCGGAAGAGACGGTGGTTGGACTTTCGGTGGCCTTGGAACCACCGGAGAGTTATTGTCGTCAGCTTTTGGCGGCGTTTTCACCTTCGGCTTAGGTTTAGGTTTAGACTTGTGGTGATGGTTGTTGTTGTTGTTGTGAGAGCTGTGGTGACTGTGCCCATGGCTTTTCGGTTTCTTGCTTGAAGGGGAATCAGACACGTCAGATGAAGAGGGACTTCGGTGGTTATGTCTCCAATGTCTTCCTCTTCTAGCAATGCAGGTCTCTAGAGTTACAGACCAGACCAAAACCGCCATTAACATCATCATAGTGATGCTTCTCAGCCTTAGACTTCTTCTTATTGTCATGTTTTTTTATCTGTTTAAACGAAGAGTGTTGTGGTAGTTGAGAGACTCTGAGACTTGGGTTTTTGTTGTTGTTGGTTAAGTTAAAGAAAGAGAAGGTTTTAGTGGGGGATTTAAATAAGGAAGCAGTCCAAGAATGTAGAGACGCTCACGGGTTTTCAAAATGGAATTTATTTTTATATTCCAAAACGAAATTGAGTCAGTAATTTCCTTTATTTTCCATAATGTGATTGACAAACTTATTTTTATTTTTAACTTACTAGTTTACTAAGTAAATAAATGAAAAAGTACTCTAAGCTGCTTATTCTGTATAAGTCCTACATATGATAATAATACCATAATGTTTGATTTTAGTTGGACTTTTGTAAAAAATAATGATGATATTGACAGTGGTGTAAAGTAACTCGTGAATTATTTGGATGTTATGATACAATTCGAAACAGAACTTTTTTTTACCGAGGGTAAAAGTTGAAGTCTTACGCAAAGAGCAACAAAAAAAAAAAAATTGTTAAGTAACTTTATCAATATTTGGGGCGATTTTATGCCACGTGGAGAGAATTGGTTGGCTTATAGCTCATCTAATTTGGTTGCGAACATGGATATCCAAAAACTTCACATATACACAAGCACATGTATCTGCGCATCATGAAGTGGGGATACTTAAAATGAGGTGTATATTCAATTTAAGGCTCTTGCATTTTCGTTTTCTGGATATATATATACAATTAAATCGATACAATCATGTGTGTATGTAATGTAGGCATGTGTTGGATCTGTCGTATTGGCATGATAAGTGTGTCGTAGGGTTTTCATATTTACCGTGGTGTACAAATTCGAGAGGCCATAGCGAAAGCAGAAATGATTTTTTTTTTTAAAAATACATAGGAGTGTGGTTTGTAATAAACATTTCAATCATTATCAAGATTCAAGAACACCATTTTTGAGTCTAGAGATTATGGGTTATGGCACATAACATAGAAATTGCTAAAAGAAAAGAAAAATCCAAGTAAAACAAATTATTAATATTAAAACTGAAACGCAATAATTCATCTAGATTTTTCATTATTCATTTCGTATGTAACCTGTAATCTGGTCGAAACATCACATATTTGCCATTAGGATTCCAAGTGGACAACCATATTCTTTTTTTTTTCTTTTTGGTCAGAGACAACCAAGTTCTTTAACAAAACAAAAAAGTGGATAAAAGTTTGTTGAGAGATAATTTGTCTCATTATTTTCTTAAGAATTTAATTTATAAAACATATATACGTTACATATAAGAATATTATAAAACGAAAGAGACTCGTGAGTGGGTCTATATGTTGTCAATGGGGCACTGATTATAACATCTCTTTTAGTACTCACATGCACCACTTCACGGGCATTGCTTTTGTGTATTCACAAATCTTCCAATTATTATTTTATTTAATTTCATTATTTCTCTTGTTTCATTTTTTAAAATATATTTCATGACCCATTATAGATTAAGTTTCATTTATTATTCAAGAAAAAAGAGACTGCTTTTAAAGGAAAGAGCAGAAACAGAAAACCGAAAGTAACTGAAGCTTGTTTCTTTAGGTCCTCATATTTATCTCTTTCACTATTTTTTCTCATATTGTGCAAATTTGTATACACAGTAGCTATAATGAAAACTTTGAAACAAAATGTTGTCGGCATTGTTTTTCTTCACGAGTTGTCGGCATTGTTTGTGAATGATAAAACTGTTTTCTTTAGTATATCAAATCTCTTAAGACTTCGACCAGCAATATTTGTGATGTTACTGTATATGGTAATCGTGAAATATTTTGTTGGAATTGAGTGAAACATATTAACTTTATCAGATGACTAAAAGTCTAAAACTATTAAAATAAATTACACAAAAATAAAAACGTACGTAATAAGATGATTTTTGTGAAGTGGTGGAATTTGAATAACAAAGAAGAGGTATGAATTCAAAATCAAATATTACTAGAAACATCGTACATACTTTATTATCTATTATCTATATATTTTAACTTTAACAGTCTACTATGTTTTGGCAAAATATCTTAAATATGAATATAATGCATGGATTTTTATGAGAATACTCGAACCTGGTTACTAGTTAGTGGTCGGGTCGTCGTATGAAACCTCATGCAAATGGATCGGCGTGAAAACTGGTTTTATGTCGTTATATAAGCATTTTTTGAATTTCCACATAAGCTAAAGTAGTAGTACTACAACGCTTTTAAATTACATTAACTGCGTTCTATAGCTACTCCGATCGAGAATTGAGTATCTAATAAATATGTTATGCGCATTGATGAAGCTCGGATTGTACATTTACTGGATTTGTTGTCTAGCTAGCCAAAAGGATCGTATAATGCCACATGCTATTATTGTCTATTTTCACTGATGGAACTACATATCTTCAGTTGCATGTTTCAATTAAACCATATTTTTTTCTTGAACGGCTTTAGCTACATTGTTTTCTTCGAAACGACTGAATTTGCTTCCAAGACGAGATTAATGGGGGCCAGCTACTTAATAACACGTTACGAGCCAATGTTAGAAGAAAAAACAAGGACAGAATTCATATATATACACGCAATTGTGCAGTCATGTACGGATAAGCATAAACCATCTTTGGGATTCAGAAAAAGCTTTGTGCAGCTCATAGGTTTACTTTTACCCAATTTCTCTGTCAAATAAAACTAAAATTAAGGAATAAATACAAAAATGCTCACATCAACTGTTGTTAGCTTGAAAAAAGTAAGTTGTTGTTTTGTCCTAATAGAGGGAGCTCGGTCTATTCCCCCTCTATAGTAAAAACTAAATCGGAATCCACTCAGACTTTTCGTCCCTGTCTATTTCCACCCAATCTTTTTTTCTCCGTCGATTCCCACTTTTGCGTTTTGTTTAGCGAAATCCAGTTTTTGAAACCGTGATTGCCCGTTTACACACGAATAACCCGAGTTTTCGAAACCTAAACCCGAGATTTATTAGACAAACCCAAACCCGATTCCCCTTTAACTTAACCCGATACCACACTATATTAAATCAAAATCGATTTGGGGAAAATAGAAAGGGAATTAGGGTTCTTCGTTTGTGGGTTGAATTTGATTTCGAATTCAACGTTTTCCGTCGTCGTTCTCCTCTCCTCGGCGGCGTTCTCCTTGTTTCTTCGTCATTCTCCTCTCCATTAGGGCATTCTCCTTGTTTCGGTGTCGTTCTCCTCATTTCCTCGTTCTCCTCTTTTTGCATTTCCAATGAGGTATTGTTTATTCGTTTCTGCATTTCGTCGTTTAGCATTTAAATTCGTTTTTTCAGTCACTTAGAGTCTTCGTGTCATGGTTTTACATGTTTGGCAGTCATTGTGACACTTTCAAATTAAACTTGCATTATGGAGGAGTTATGGAGTTAAGCAGTGGTAGATTCAGTTATATTGGAGGAGCTTTGAAGCAGGGCATTGTTGTTGATCCTGATTTGATGACCTGGTCATGTTTTGATGGCTTCTGTGAGGAGTTTTTGATAGAAGGTGGTTTAGTGGAGCGAGTTTGGTGGAAGCTCAATCACGAGAACATGGAAACAGTGTTAATGTTTTGCTGTTTTGCTTGTCGTCGCTTATCTCCTGGTTTTTGCTTGTCTTTGTGTTTCGTGGTTTTTGCTTGTGTTTGTTTTTTCTGGTTTTTGGTTGTGGTTGTCTCTGATTTTGATTGTCTATATTTTGTTTTGCAGGCCAATCATTCGTGTCAAGGAGCTGAATATGGGGCTGTGAGGGAGTTTCAAGGTGCAGAAACAATCTCACTCACACAACCTTCTCAAATCTCAGAGTGAAAGTTGGAATTTCGAATCCTTGCTTTATGAATGTTCTTTTGTTGTCTCAGACTCAAGTTGTTTAAGAGTATTGAATGTTCTTTTGTTATCTCAGACTCAAGTTGTTTAAGAGTTATGGATGTTGTTTTATGTTCTTTTGGGATTATGAAAACCATTTTTATGGGATTATAAAGGATATTGCATTTTCAAAAGCTCACAAAATAGTAGAGAAAGTAGTAGAGATAACCATGTTTTACACCATTGTTTCGATCCAACTTCCTCAAAATGAAACAAACCAAGAAGCACATACTACTAGGCTTACCACAAATCTAGCTCATAATAAACTTAGCACAAATCCATCATACTGTTCCTAGAACCAACATTATGATCCCAAATTTTTGCAGACTCGTTTTAGGCATCTTGTCAGTCATCTTCTTCCCTGGTTCAGCAGCCACCATTATCTCTTCTTTCACTCTTTCTTCAAGCTTTGCCTTAAGCTCTTCGTCCATCTTCCGAATCATCCTCTCTTGAAGCTCCATTTTCACTTTCATTTCTTTCACCTCTTCAACAGGACTCAAATGCTTTGCCTCCACCATTCTAGTCTCATCTAGCAAGGCTTCATCCACCCACTTGAAAAGATGTTCTTCGGATTTTCTCTACACAAACAAAATACATATAACCACTATTCTAACCTTTCATATATTGTCTACCTTGTATCAATTGGATTTGATTGGTTTGTACCTGTAATGCGACCGAGCATCTGTAGAATCTGCGGAAAAGATTCTCTTTAGTCTGAGACCCATATGTCACAATGTTCCTACCAACATCTTAGTGGAACACCACTAACTGATCGCCTGTTTGTCAAACGAGATGAAGCAGAAGATGAAGTGCTCATTGTCATGTCACCAATCGTAAAAGAAATCATCATCAATGTCTACTTAAAGCAAAACAAATTCAGTAACGAACTAGAAAAAGTCAAAGCAGCCTCATTTCAACCAATTCAGAACCGTAGATAGCTTACCTTGTTGTGTAATGACGCCGAGGAGAGGAGAACGACGACGGAAACGACGGAAAATAACGACTTCGAAATCGAATTCAACCCAGAAACGAAGAACCCTAATTCCCTTTCTATTTCCCCAAATCGATTTTGATTTAGTACAGTGTGGTATCGGGTTAAGTTAAAGGGGAATCGGGTCTGGGTTTGTCTAATAAATCTCGGGTTTAGGTTTCGAAAACTCGGGTTATTCGTGTGTAAACGGGCAATCACGGTTTCAAAAACTGGATTTCGCTAAACAAAACGCAAAAGTGGGAATCGACGGAGAAAAAAAGATTGGGTGGAAGTAGACAGGGACGAAAAGTCTAGGTGGATTCCGATTTAGTCTTTACTATAGGGGGGAATAGACCGAGCTCCCCCTAATAGAAGAAAAAAATGAATAAGGAATTATTATTTAATTTCCATTTTTTTTTCTTTTCAGAATTATAATGATAAGTATTAAATATTTACTATTGTGCAAATAGTAAAGAATCATGTGATGAAGACATATATATGTGATTCGACAGAGTTCCCTTGTTGACATCCAAAAAGCTGTTGGCTATCTTGTATTTCTGATTCTTCAAATTAAAATCAACAAAAACAAAAAATAGAACATTTTGAGAAGAATATCTTCACATGAAACGTTAATGTTGATCAAATTTAACGGTGTTTTGGTTTATTTTCTGCAAACACTAGGGAAACTCTAAAATTCTACTCAGATGCGATCTTGCGTGCATGCACACATGATACCAAACATTGGCAATAATACTTATCTCAATAATATTATAATTATACTGTCACGGTACACGAAGACACATGAAAGTTAAAATTCGTTTTCGTTAAGTTTAATTAAATATACGAACATAGTCAGAGACCAGAGACTTGCTGGCTTCTGTACTGAGATTACAGTTAGTTCCAGTTTTCACTTACGCAGCAGATATATAGGTCCAAATAGATGCCTCTAAACGACCCTCTCTCTCGTTAAAATTATCGAAAATGCCAGTGTTCATTGTTGCACGAGACAAATAAGTACAAACTAAGCCTTATTTATTTCAATGCTTTTATTAAAACTAAGGAAAGAATCCTGAAGAATCAAGATATGTGTCAGACAAAACATTTATTAAAACTAAGCCTAAAGCTAACGTTGCATTTATCAAATCGAAGAGTTATAGGTGGACCAAACATGTTGCCTATCTTTGTTGTTGCTCTTAGTTACGGAGACGGTACAAAACTATCAACATTCAAAAACTCTTTACACATTAACCCAGCCGTTCTTATTTAGCGTCTAAAATGTTTAGACTGTAGACGGCTGTTTAGGCATAGATTACTGTCTGATTTTCGTTAATTATATTAGTCAATAGGGGTAGATTTTAAGAAATTGTGACTTACTGCGATTTTATAAGAAATGGTTTTTGATTAAGTAAAGAGGTCATCAAGAAATACAATATGCGCGGATGTCAATAAATCTTGTTATGTTGCATACTTTTACGTACACAACCACAACTCATACATCGAATAAGTCAAGAATCGATGCGACTGTTATATTTATCTATAACATAAACTATATAAAATCGACGAATCTGTAAGGTGCACGAGAGTTTTGTAATTATTGGATAAGTAATAATAATAACAAAATTGTATGCGCTTTGACTTCACAGCTCGACTCTTCATGATCTCGTGCCAATGTCTTTTTTCTGTTGTCGATAAAGGGAAACTCATATTTTGTGGACCGTACCGTTTCTGTGATACGCCAAAAATATATATCAAAGTTACCTGTCTTCTACGTTTTTTTATTAAATTCACGAGAAAAGAAAAAATCACGCACAATTATCTATTCATGTGTCTATAACACTATATATAGATAATCATTGTACGTAATACACGTAGTCACTAAGTGGGGATAAATTATAGTAGTATATTATCAACTAATCTTCAACTCATTTAAGTATATACTCATCTTTTTCTCTATGCTTAGACGCATAATTGATAAACCTAGACAAATTTTTGTTAATCCACGAGTTGATACAATTCTACATTCATATTAATTATATTTAATCTCCTTGGATTCTACACTCAAAAGAAAACCCGTTAATATTCTTTTTAGGCCGTGAGTATATATTTGTAACACGTTATTTAAGTCATGTGGCTATTGTTTCTTTGAAGATTTTGGATTAGTTCAGTTTTTGTTTTATCTTTTGACTTTTGGCATTACGAAATTTAAAGGCGAGTTCTATTCTTCGACATGCCGTCTTCAAGCGAAGAGACCCTCTCGTGAATCTGTTTCTCTTGTTGTTTGTATTTCTCGTTTATTGGCTCCCCCGTGAACTCCATGCAAACGGCCTTTCAAGTTGCCATTTACCTTAATGTCTTTTCCCTCCCATGATCTACTTTGCAATCTTTTTGTTTTTTACAATTGTGTGCATATCATCAGCACATACAATATATACACACGCAACAAACGCTGCATGTATTATAGAGGAAATTGTCACAATGATCAAAGATGTGATAAAGGATAAAGCGTTGGTAGATTCAATTATTGAGGTTGAATGATAAACATATGGAAACTTGAATGACAAGAATCACAAGATGCATCAAACGGAGAGGAGAGCAAAACTATAGCGAGACGAATGCAAAATAAATACTAACTAGAAAGGTTAATTAAGAGTAGTTTTTTACTTGTGTAAGTAGATGAACATAAATATTATTTCTTCAATTTCATAAGCTGTTTTAAATTTTCTACACATTTTTAATTAATATCTTTTATTATTAGTTATTTCATTTCTTTTTAAGTTTAAGCGAATCCAAAGTTGTGTTTTCTCAGCTGAAATAATTAGTCAATCTAATTTGTTTATATATGAAAACACTTTAAAAAATCGTCAATTTTGTGCCACTAGTTTTAATTTTAGGGTCAATGTTCCGTGAATGGCGACAAGCTGATTTTAATGTGGAAAGAAAAACAAATCTAATTTTCATGGATAGTAAAAAAATATACTCCTTTTATATTGAAAAAAAAAGGAGCCGACCTCGCCATACTTAGGATTCTATCAACCGAATAAGAACAAAGCTATATTTCATTTCTTTTTCATATTCATTTCTAGATGAGACGAATACAGGAAACGTTAAAAAGGAATCGTCATTACGAATTACGAATTCATTCCAACATGAATTGTGATAAATGTTAGAATGTTTTTGTGGGATTGATGACATAGCTGTGTTTGTTATGCATGCAAAATATCAACTTCGAAGATTTCGAGTTTTGGACTTGTGTTGTTATAGTTGAATACATGACGTCAGATATGATTCTACATATATGAGCAAATAGAGAGATCATGGGTATTTACTGTTATGTTGCTACATAAATTTATACAGACAAAATTTGTCGCTTTTCCCACTCTCTTGTCCACACCATTTTGTTCTTATTACACTAGACCATTTGTCCAATCATCGTTCAACATTTGGATGGTGTAAGTGCGTATGTGTGTGCACATCAGCACATGCATATATGTACATGTATATGATACGGTATATCAAATTAAATACAAATGTCAGTGAATGATGATGATCACATGTATATTATTTATGCTGAAATCATTGAAGCAGCCAATGATTCTAAACGATCTTCCAGTCCTACTCGCAAACTAGCCGTTTGTTACCAATCGCTCTTTACTCTGCTAGCGGTCTTGAAAATATGACGTTTCTAAGCAAAAAAAAAATTAATTTGGTCACTAATTGATTTTTCAAACAATGAAAACAAATGTTTTCATGTGTGAAAGTTGAATCCTCGCTACGTAAACTGCAGTATCAATGTATCATACGTGCCCTTACCAACTTGTAGCCCTAATGATGAATGTTTTTCTCATGTTTTCATGATATAATCAGTGGCCCTTATAAGTTAAAACTTAAAACTAACAAAACACATTAAAAGACGGAAGGCCCAAATATACCTTAAGAAACAAATATGGGCTTTTCTGAGCCCACTTGTATTAGAAAAAGTGGCGGGTAAATTAATAACAGAACTGTGTGATATATAAAAACAAATCGCATGATACGTGTTCCTGATATTTTTTTTTGTATGTAACATAGTTGATAATTCGTGAACTTTTATAGTACGTAACAAAATAGAGCGCATACGCTCCAGCATATATATATCATACGGTGAGATCTTTTAGTGTTCATCGTCAGACTCTCTCTCTCCCGTTTTTCTCGCTCTAGTTTTCTCGGAGAGAGTCTTTGTCTAATTACATCTTTCCGGGAAAAAGTTTCTCGGGAAAGAAAGAAAAGTCTCAAGAAAAGATCTATCTCCGTTGATCGCTGCGATGAGACGTTTCATTTGCTGTCTCGGAGGAGGAAGTTCAAGTAAAGTAATGCAAGATCCAGAGCAACTTCCGCAACCACCGCAACAACCGCAACTAACTGATTCATCGGACGACGAAGGTGAACTCCCTGACGATCGTGAATCCCTCGGTTTCATATTTCTTGCACCACAAGAAAATCTGATTTTAGATCTGCTTTTACAGTCACGTTACCTCATATTATGAAACAAGCTAGTCTTCTTGTGAAGTTGATTTATGGTTCTTGTTCTTGGTAATCTTTCTTTCTTAATCTTTAGTAATTCATTTACAGATTTGAATCATGGAGTTACATTTCGATGGAGCGAAATCGTAGACGGAACCGAAAACTTTCTGTCAACACGTCTTCTCGACGGAGGCAACTACGGCAAAGTCTATCGCTGCGATATCCCAAGAATCAATAAGGTATAGACCCTAAAAGCCTTGTCCTTTATGGTTAAGAAAAATCAAAATCCAACTGCTAAAATTAGCAACTTTTGATACATTAGGTTGGAGCTGCAAAGATTCACAATCATGAAAACCAGTTTGGTTATGGTGGGTTCTTGGCAGAGATAACAACGTTGAAAGAAGCAAATCACCCAAATGTGATTAAACTTCTCGGCAAAAGACTCGGCCAGCACAAAAGTGCCATAGTCTACGAATTCATGCGTAATGGCTCTCTCGACCACCACTTCTTTGGTAAACAAAAAAAAAAAACTCAATCAATTCAATTCAAACCTAATCAACTCTGTTTTACTTGTGAATCAAGTTTCTCTGTTTTTTATTTGTTTGAAGCACACGCGAGGCGAGGTCCAGGTCTACAGCAGGAAAGAAGGGTTTTGGACTGGGACACGAGGATGAGAATCGCTTTGGGTGTAGCAGAAGCTCTGGTTTATCTGCACACCGGGCTAGAGAAGATTCACCGAGATGTCAATGTCACAAACGTTTTACTTGATGATGATTTTACGCCGAAGCTGGCTGGTTTTGGATCGTCGAATCAAGTCTTTGTGAATGGAGACGGCGTTGAGAGGCAGCGCAAGATCAATCCGATCAAGGGAGCTCGAGGATATGTGGCACCGGAAACCGAGGAGTTAGGGTTGGTTTCGACCAAGTCCGATGTCTATAGCTATGGAGTTTTTCTGTTTGTGCTTTTCACCGGAAGGGAAGCTTATGACCTGAGGAGACCTGCTGGGAGAGTGAAACTCACTGATTGGGTAATTTGACTCAAACTAGGTTTTGCTTTTTATTTGTTTCGTGTTCCCTACGTAATATATCATTGGTTTTTTTTTTTTTTTTTTACAGTTAATACCAGTATGGAGTAGAGTGGAGTTTACGTCATTGCTAACTGATGTTACGCTCGGTGATAAGTTTTCGGTTGAAGGTTTAAACAGACTGTTTTTTACTGCGAAGATGTGCATAGACCCACAAGCTTTTTCACGGCCTGAAATGGTGATTGTGGAAGACATGGTTCGTCAAGCTTCAGCTTTCCCGGTGACACAGAGATCCAAAGAACCATCTTCTCCAAAAGCAGAGAGATCTAAAGAAATTTGATTAGGAGATTTCATGTAGGGGTTTTTTCAGAAACATTAATATATTTTGAGACAATGCCAACTGTAAATAAGTTGATAATCAACATTTGAGATCTTTTATCTTATCAAATTGAGTGATTTGTATAAAACTTTGGAATTGCAAAAATAATCAGCCTTTCCACAATTTTAAGGCTTGTTCAAGACTTCAAAAACATATGCAGCTGTATACAGATCTTTAAATAATATTAACAATAATAACTTTTGAAAGTTGAAAGACATTTTTTCAGACTTATGTATTTGGATTCTCTTTCTTTGTTCTTTTCTTCTGTGCCAATTTTTTTTGTCACACAAGATTCAAGAAAAGAAGACCTGAACGCTAGAAGTTTTCAAAGACTTGCATACAGGACAAACCCCAGTGAATACATCACATTCTTTACACAAACTCAAGTGCCTACACGGCACAAGCAACACCGACACTTCCTTGGCATTGCACATTTTGCATCTCATCCTCTGATTCCCCATGTTCTTGTTTGGATCAATGTATGACGAAGCTGCATCATCTATCTCGCTGTCTCCAAACCCTTCTCTGCCTTGATCTGCAGCAGCAGCAATCACATTGTGGTTGTTGTGTGATATTGCTTGCTGTAGACTCGTCTTCAAGGCATTCACCACAGACTCATTGTACTTTGCTCTGTAGTGCCAGTTCTGAGCTTCCACCGCCACTTGCTTTATCCGCTCCACAAGCTCCTTGTTCTTCTTGTTTATGGTATCGATCTCTAGATCTTTCTCTTGTAGCTTCTTGCTCACTCCCTTCTCTATTGTGTTGAGAAACGACCCAGTCTGTCTCTGTTTCATATCCCTCACTCCTTTCGCCATTTGAGCTGCCTGAAAACCAAACATATACAACATTACAAAACCGAAGAAGCTTAAAGAGCAGAACAAAAACAGAGCCAAATCAGTACCTGGATTTTCATAAACTGGTCAAGCTCATCTTTTTGTCTATGGAGGTCAAGCCTAAGACTATCATCGAGTGAGTGAAAGATTGGAGAAGCACCACTAGCAGAAGTCACTGAAGAGTTGCGTTCATCGTCATCATAAGATAGTCTAAGACCAGTTGAGACTAGATTCTCCTTAGGGACTTCTTCACGAACACTAGCGTTGTTTTGATTGTAGTTCAAAGAGATCTGAAGCTTCTGTTGTCTTTGGAGATTGTGAAAGTCTTCAGCTTCTCTTCCTCTTTTGTTAGGACGAATCATCAGATTCTCGTTAGCAAAGAAGTTTACTGGATCAACAGTACACCCACCTCCCACTGCACACAAAACAAGAACAGATGATTTAGTGATTCTTCTAAGTTTCTTTGAGTGAATGAGATGTTTTAGTTTGAGATTAGCTAGGAACTTACTGTTTCCGAGCAAGTGAAGCTGATTGGATTGTGTGTTTGTCTGGTATTGCAATTGGTTCTCGTTCATGAAAACCGGTGGTACGGTGTTTCCATTGTTACCACTTAGCATCTTCTTCTTTCAATGAATGTGTATGTAGCTAATTCGCTATGTAGACGGTAAAGTATTCGACTTTCTCAGGTAGAAACAGAGTACTAACAGAAGTATGAAGGCTGCAATAGAGGAAGAAGAAGAAGAAGAAGAAGAAGAAGTCAATATCAAGATTCAAACTTTCTTAAACAACTAATCTAATCAAAACATGAATCATAGTCTTATACAACTTTGAGAAATGTGAACGGACAATGCTGAATCATAGAACAGGTTCTTATGTTTAAAAATCTAAAATCAACCAAAATCGAAAGAAGAATCAAAACCTTTTTTTTCACCTAAACGATAAGATTTCTATGATTCTGTGTGATGCAAAAGAGAGACAGATTGATTGAATGGTTCAATAGTCAAAGTTCTATAAATACACATAAATATTTTTGACTTATTGATGTTAAAAGTAAATCTCTGGGAACATGGAAAGATGACAAAAAGTTGAAAGAACGAATCATAAACCCAGAAACAGAAATTGTAATTTTCCAAAAATGAGAACTTGAAGAAGAGGAAACAAAAAAAAATGATACCTTTTTCAGAAGTTTCTTGTCAGATTCATCCGATTTAACAAATTAAACCCCCCGTTTCCTTTCAGATCCTGCATAAGAAGAAAAAAAAGTCATCATCATCGATCGACTCATAAAAATCGAAAAAATAAAGTTTGAATCTTCTTAAATTTGTTGTTTGATCAAAAAAATTTTTTTTTAAAAAGGTTAAGAAATCGAGAGAGAGTGAGACGAACCGATGATTCAGGATCTTGGCAGAAAAAGAAGATGCATTTGTTGAGAGATGAAACGGCGATAGAAGAACACGACCCAATTAAACTAAGAGAATTAAAGCCACATATATTTTTTTATAGAGAAAACTGAAGGGAAGAAGACAAAAGAAAGAGGCAAAAGAAACGGAAGAAGAAGAAAGAAAGAAAATGAAGGAAGGATTTGTCGTCAGGAAATGAGAGAAAGCTGGAGAGTGGTGATGAAGTGGGGGAAGTTGGGTGCCAATTTCGATAATTACTTCAATCCAAACTTTTCAAAATTCAATTTTTTTTCTTTTCTTTAAAAAAAAAAGAAAATGGTTGATATAGTAAATGTAAACACGAAAGAAGAATCGGTGGTGCTGCTTTCTCGTCTTTTCTTTCGTCGTGAGTTGTGTTATCTCTCTCTGATTACGCCAACTTTTTCAGTTTTCATTATTCCTTTTTCTCGTTTCTTTCTTTTTGTTAAACCCGATAGTTAATAGCTTTGACTCTCTTTAACAATCCTATTAGTTACGACGGTAACTGTTAGTAGATCATACCGTACAATGAGATTAACGAATTAATTAAACGAGATAGAGAATCTTTCAAATATAATAGCAAGAAAGTTGTTTTAGTAGATTAGTAATGTCTCGTTTTTTTAATCAAAATTTCTTGGCATAAAGTATAATAATTTATCAAAATGTAAAATCATGTTGAATATATGAACCAAAAGTTTTAACAAAAACCTCATTTCATGATACACGCATCCGGTTTGAAGTTGAACCATGAAATATGAATAATATCAACTAATACGATTGAGATTTGTCGTTTTAAAAACGTATGGAAACATGAAATATATGGAATCATTGATGGTTATATCGACGATGATGTTACATGTGGAAGATTCAAGTGTACAATTCTTTCGAAGTCAGTACCACGAGGAGAGACGTTATATAGAATTCAAACTGTTCCACCAATTAATCAAATACCAAGCAAAACGTACACGGATACAGTATTTGTTACTTGTTTAAATATGAAAGGGAAACAAAAGTTATAGAAATAAAACTCTGTCAACCTTGGTTTATAATATAATCACAACTCAACGACCATCAACACTGTATTTATTTATACAAAATATAATTGTATATGCAGAGAGAAAAGAAATGATAATAGTTGTAGCAAGTAAGTAATGAATAATCGCTTCACGTCAAATTCAAAGTCAGGACACGGGTTCCAGAGTGGGGGAAATTATGATGGTCAACCAACTCTTATGGCTATTTTCGTCTTTTCGTAAATATTTTTAATTCATTACCCAAAAACTCACTCATGCGACAGTAACGGAGAAGAAGAAGTCATAAACGCAGAACGTGTTCGCCGTGATCTCAAAAAATGCGAGTGGGTCTGCGTGTGTGTGAGAAGAGCCCGTTATAATTGCGACTGGGACCCACGCGCCTGGTCGTTGGGCAAATATGGCGGGTAAGTTTTGGCGGGGAAAGAAAGAAGCAAGTAGAAGCCTTTTAGTAGTTACCATATGACTTTCTGGAAGCGTGGACCGGGCCCAAACCGTTGCACGCCAGCTTTGTCGGAGAATATTTTGTTTTCTATAGAATCGGTTGAGAAAAATAAATGTAGTAGACAGAGAGCCAGAGAGGCTTGTGATTATTTTGTTCGTCGATCCAAAAAATGAGTTGTTATCATTTTAGCTGAAACTGTAACACTCTCAATAGTTAACGTTCGTTAAACTGGAATATCATTCAAAATCAGAAGTGTATTTGAAAAAAAAAGAAGAAGAAAAAGAAAAAGAAAAAAAAGCAAAAGGTTTCTAGTGGTTGCAACCACACCGACGCAACCCAATATTTATTAGTATGTGTACTATTTGTTTGTAACGTTACACGATATCCAATTAATATTTGGTTGAAGATTTGTTATGTTTACACGATTTAGCTTTTGACTATGTCCACCGCATAACCTTTGCTTATTCTCTATGCAGTTCAGACTGAAAAGATCTCTCTACATTCATTTGTTGAACTTTCGTTGTAACCAATAAATTTGAACCAACCTAATTAAAGGAAGGTATGAAACCTTGAAGTTCTCAATATATATTACAATCTACTAAACTAGTTTGTATGAAATTCTTGGTAGCATGCAGATGACAAAAAATACGATGGTAATTTGTAACCATCGTAATTGAGTGAAATGTAGATGCAAATTTTAAATAAATAAACTATGATGTTTCTTATAGCTCTAGACCGAAATAAGTATCGTTCTTGCATGATGATACAGAAAAATGATAGTATTATTAAGTCTCCTTTTGCCCATCATCATGGAGTTTCATGTACGTATGATCTCCATATTTTTAGAACTACTAACAGAATATTTCGGAATTCCATATGTTTGATCTTTGCTCAGCTGATAACCATTAAAGATTTTAGCCCCTTTTGGTCCTTGTGATGGTAGTGTTTATTTTGCCTCTAGAATTTCTTCTTCCCATATTTTAACTATGTAAAACTGCAATTTTAATTGGATGTATGTACGTACTATGAAGAACAAAAAAGCTCGATATATATATCAGTCTAGTGGACCAATTTATCAATCAGGCAATAACATTAGAGAACTCAGACTTGGTAGCTAGGAAGACTTAAGGCCCATTGAATTCACACACACATACACACTCGTCAGTCACAAGACTCAGAACTCACAAGAACCAAATCACGAACACTAATCTTCTAAATTTGCGGAGAGCCTCATACTTTAACTTTCAAGTTGCCTCTCTATACACAAAACTTGTCGTGTATAGATGATTTAAGTGGCATTTGGTTAGCCACGCGATTCAAAAGGTAACGTTTACGAGGGGACCAGTGTCCCAGTCACTTTTGTGATATGTCTAAACCCAGATAGATACTACTGATATAGGGTTTTCGCAATATGTTCAACTAACATTTTTGGTTTTGCTGCTAACTAAGGCCTTTGGGATTGATAATTACTTCGGTTTTGTTTTGCTTGATTTCGGGTTTCTTACAGACCGACCTAAACAAATGAAAAATTGAAGTGTTATGTTGGGTTGTTCGAACTTAAATATCAGTTGTATTGGAATAGAAGAAGTTGAACCGCATTAAAGTTGCCGAAAGTCTTTCTTTCTTACGGAATTAGTCTTTAGTAAAATCCACTTAATCTGACAAAGAACTTCTAATTGAAGTTTCAGTTTTGGTTAATTATAATCTTTTTCCCTAGAACGCAAGAAAAAGACAAAGGTAAACTGTGAAGTCATAGTCAAAAGACAAGTTAGTTCCAACTAAAAAAATTAATATTATCAAGTAGAAAAAGTGACAGATAGAGAATCTATCCTTTGGATTCTCTCCTCTATTTTTAGCCCCTCAGTTGGATTTCTCTTGGATAACTCATTAAATGACACCATCCGATATACCCACATGTGTATCAGCTTATGTACATGCATCTGTATCTATAAAAAAATATCTTCATGTTTTGTTCCTTTCCGTTATAACTCAAAAATTCTCTTCCAACTTTCTTGGATTTGTCCCAAAACCATTTGGAGATCTAAGAAGAAGAAGAAGAAGAAGAAGAAGAAGAAGAAGAAGAAGAAGAACGATCGTCAAAAGAGAAGAAGAAAATGTGTACTCATCATGATGATGAATCACAACACAAACTCCCTTGTCTCCATTGCAACCCACATTCATACATACGCATGGTACATATACATACATCTATATCTGGTTTGTGCTTTTCTAGTTTGTGTAATAATCCTCACTATTAGTGAATTATTTTGTTAGGTTCAACACATGATAGAGAGATGCATTCTACTCCGAATGAGTCGTGACGATTGCGTCAAGGCGTTAGACCACCACGCAAGCATTCTACCACTTGTTACCCTCACCGGTTAGTCTTGAAATGCCACTGTCCATTAATCTATATATCAAAAGGTTTCGTTAAAAAAAGTCTTAAATTGAAATTTAGATATAGGTCGACTTCGCGACGTCAAATGATAAGAGAATTGAAGAAGTTGAGAGGAGTATTGTGAATATTCTTGTTGGATCATGTTTATGGGACTAAATAATGTCGTTTTTCTGCTATACATCTCGATATGCTACAAATAAATATATATTTTTTCTTCGCAGTTTGGAGAGGACTTCAAAGAGAAAATAAGGATTTCTTTGAGACTTATGGACATTTCGTCTCCTCTAGACCATTCTTAAGTAAGATTTTCTGGGATCAGATGTGTCTTTTAATTGTAAATAAACTTCAGTTTTATTCCTCAACCAACGTATCGACAAAACATATATCAAGATATTATTATGTCGTCCGAAACTATCTTAATGAAGAGAGTTTTTGTTTTGGTTTTCTTATTTTTGTCGTAAATGTTGATCAGGCGGATATGTTCGGAGATCGCCGAGGTTTGCGAGAAGGAAACAATGAAGACTTTTTGCTTTAGACTTCTAGATATATAGGAGAAAAAGCTTGGGACTTTATATATTGTAGACCTAGGCTATTGATAAATATTGCTTAGAATCTAAGATGAATCATTCTTCATTCATGCTGTTAGACTTTTTATGTCAAAAAGTTTCACTAAGTTTTTCTTAGGGTTGACCGCCAAAAACCCCCTCTAGAGTACCACTTCCGTTTGTACACACCCAAACTTTTCATATCTGTTGATTTCCACCCAATGTTTTCGATTTCTTTCTATTCCTTCAAATCGAATTAAAACCTGTAATCCACGTTTAAAACACTTAAATCACGTTTTATCAACAGCGATTCCCCAACATAAAACCCGATTAACCCCGACGTTTCATATGTAACCCGACCCAAAAACCTTTCTTTCTAAATCTCATAACCCGACACTTTCTCTCTCAAATCAAAAATCAAATTGGGGGAAAAGATTAGAGTTTGAGTTCTCAAATTCTGGGTTCTCAAATTGTGTACTGCTTTCAAACCTTAATTATGTAATGCTTTTGCTATTTAAAGTTCCATACGCAAGAGTTGTTTAGCTTTTGGTCTTACTAATCGTACAAACGAGCATTTGTTTATATAAGGTTTAATAAAAATCCTAAAACAAATAGCAAAGATAACATTCATAGATACCAATACAAATAGCATTCAAAGGTAGCATACAAAGTACCAAAACAAATAGCATTCAAAGAATGAACAAATAGCATTCAAATAACATTCAAGGATACTAAGAGGAACATGAAAGGAGGACACATTAACTCCAACTTTTACTCAGACATTTGAGAAGGTTGAGTGATTGAAACCGTTTCAAGTCCCTGAGATGAAGTTGTGGCCTGAAACATAGGTAGAAGCAATTAAGCAAAAAATCAATAAGAATGAGAGCAAGAGACAATTCGCAGCAACTTTAACCAAGAGAAACAAGTAAAAACAACTTGTAGCAACTATAACCGAGAGAAACATCAACGAACCTGTTCACTTGTCTCCTCAGTCATTCTCATCTTTTTTTTTGGGTGTATCTTACATCCAGAAGCATTGTGTCCAGCTTCACCACACTTTGAGCAGTGCATAACGCGACCTTGTCTCCCAAGCTTCTGAACTTCCTTCTTCTTCTTCTTCTTGTTCTTCTTTGGTGACTCAAACTTCCCTTTGATTCGTTTTTTTATTCCCTTTTTTTTCTTTCTTCCAGGTAAATCAGGTTCAGGAGGAGCTATTACCAGCCTATATGAACCATGCATCCAGAAATGTGGTCCTCTCATTGGCTTGATATTTTCACTGTAACAATCTTGCAACTTACTTGTTGAGAAGCAATCATAGATGTAATTGTCTGTATCCAAACCTGCGTCTAGCATAGCTCCATAGGCATGTTCACATGGAATTCCTGATATTTGCCACTTAAAACATGTGCATGTCTTCTTTGTAGTATTGACACTGTGTTTCTGCCCAAACAACTCCACCTCATAGCGTCCATGTGAGGCATGAGTTACTTCACATTTCTTGGCATTCTTCTCCTCTTCAGCAAGAACCAGCTTCACATATTTAGTGTATCTACCAGCCCATTTTTCAGATTTCTTGCTTCTCTTTGAATTCCGAGCCATTGCTTGTCTCCTAATAGTCTCAAGCATGGGAATGATAGCTTTACCTCTTGCCTTTGCAATACTGGCGTTGAAAGATTCTGTGGAATTGTTCTCCACATTATCGCAGAAGCTCCCAAGTTTATAAAATGCTAATGTCCAAGACCGTGGATCCTCATTCATCACAGCCTCAAACAGAGGAGCATCATACTCTCTCAGTTTTCTAAGATTCTCGCGGTAATCAGCCATGTTACAACTCCGAGCAATGTTCCAAACATGCATCTTTAAGAGATCTTTCTTCGCATGGTTCTTCTTCAAATTTTCAACAATGTGTTTCACACACATTCTATGCTCCGCTTTAGGTAGCTCAGCTTTAACTGCACTTAGTAGTCCCTTAAATTACAAAAAGTTTAGATGTTACTACGAGAACAAGAAATGAGAAAAGATAGTAGCCAAAGCGAGAAAAAAATAACAAAGAGATGTTACTTACTTTTGCTCTGTCAGAAATCATGACGTAGCCATCACCATCTTCAAGCCCCAAGTCAGCTTTAATCAGCTTGATAAACCATAACCAATTGTCTCCATTCTCAGCTTGTGCCACAGCCCAAGCAACTGGATATATCTGATTATTTGCGTCATGTCCAACCGCAGTGAGTAAAACTCCTTTCACTCCCACCTTTAAGAAAGTTCCATCAAGACCAATGATTGGCCGACAAGAACTCTTCCATCTTCTTCTCAGCCTATCGAAACACACATAAAACCGGTCAAAGACTTCCACTTTCTTGGCATTTCGATATGTTTCAACAATGGCTGTTGATCTCTTGTTTCTCTTGCGTATCTCTTCAACATATCCATGGATATGGGCAAACTGTTGATCATACTCTCTCTCAAGCCATTTCAGAGCTAGCAATCTTCCATTCTGACATTGATTGATTGTGCTCATAATTCCCCAATTTTCTTTGATAAGACCTTGAATATCTTTAGGCATTAGCTTAGGCTTTTGCCTCAGTTTATCTAAGAACAATCTTGCAATCACGTGACCTTTTAGCATAGTGCATTTCCCATTAGGTGTACAGCTGTGATATCCGCACTTTGTCTTCAGAACCCACTTCTCTATTTGCTTATCATAAGAGCAATAAAGCTTCCATTTGCACTTCCAATCGGCAGCACATTTATATCCTATTTTTGTCTTATCCCATCTATCTTGCTTGATGTCCATTGCTTTGTCCAAAGCATACTCTAAAACTGCTTCCTTAAACTCATAGCCCGTCCAGTAAGTACTTCCCAGAGCTAATCTCTCACTCTTTTTCTTTTTCATACGTCTCTTTCTTACAACTAAATCATCCTCTTGCTCGCTATCAGAAGACGTGTCAGGCATTATACTACACAAGACCACTTCCTCATCAACAAAATTCTCTACTCCATCCTCAATCTCTACCTCATATCGTTCACCTATATCCTCTTCATATTCTAAAATCTGAACCTTTTTACTCTTTCTAGTTTTCTTATCTTCCTCATTCTCTGCAGCATTCTTCTCACTTTCATATCCCATCTCTGTTTGGTTAACTCCAACCTCTGCAGCATCCTTCTCACTTTCTGTATCTCCTTCCTTCTCCTTCTCTTGTTCTTTCTCGCTTTCCTTCTCACTTTGCTTCTCACATTCGTTTTTGTGCTGAAGGAAGACATCAACATCACCTCCATACATGGCTTCTTCACACATTCGCATAAGTCCTGCATCAGAACTGAGATAAGCAATGCTCCTTATTGAATCCATGTCCTCATCTCGCAGCTTGTACCAGACCTGTTCCACAGAAGTGTCACCTAATCCATGCTTCTCACAAAATTCATCAAAAACACTCCAAGTCATGTAATCAGGATCGACAAGTATGTCTTGCTCAAAAGCTCCTCCATTGTAGGTGACCTCCTTATCCTTAAACTCCATATCTCCTCCATAATATATGTTGACATTGAAAGTGACACTGTGAACAAGAAATCAGAAAAAAATGAAAGAGCAATTGAGAATCACATAACACATATCGAGCAAACAGATTAAGAGTTAAACGAAACTATCATATAATCAAGCAATGTACTCAAATCAAGATGAAACCTACATATTACACTCTAAAGAGATGGATTTTCCAATCAAGCCAAGCTTTACAAACCCAGAAATTCAAATCACATACCTCATCGAAAACGAGATAGATGAACCCTTCTTCTACCTCTGATGAACACAGAAGGTCGACAAACCCAGGAATCAAAAATACAAGCCTCGATTTTGAAATTCGATTTCTGATTTGAGAGAAAAAAAGTGTCGGGTTATGGGTTTTAGAAAGAAAGGTTTTTGGGTCGGATTACATATGAAACATCGGAGTTAATCGGGTTTAAGTTGGGGAATCGCTCTTGATAAAACGTGATTTAAGTGTTTCAAACGTGGATTACAGGTTTTAATTCGATTTGGGGGAATAGAAAGAAATTGAAACATTGGGTGGGAATCGACAGATATGAAAAGTTTGGGTGTGTATAAGCGGAAGTGGTATTGTATGGGGGATCTTTGGCGGTCAACCCTTTTTCTTATGTAAACTATCTTCAAGATTGGTTGTTTAGATGTAGTCTGGTAATTGAAAACCCTAAGCTATAAGATTTTTATTTTATTTTTCACGATTCATGTGCTGTTATAAGCATTTAATGTATGTCAAAGAGTTTTTTTTTATCCAAACCATTTGATTTGCCATGATCTTATTTGAAACTATTTTGAGGTCATAATAAATCGAATCAAAACTACGAATAATGGTATAAAGTTTGCAACAAAAAGAAGTCAGAGATTGCTGTTAAAATAAAATAAAAAGTCAAAGATCTACTGACTGTTTTCATACGAAAACATGTTCTTGGAAATTCGGATACAAATCAGAAAGATCTACAAATTATAAGTGGGAGATACAAATTTAACTCCGTTATAGTATTCTTTTACATATTCGGAAAATATTGGATTTCTTAGCATATTTGATATAAAAACACACATTAAAGATTTAAAGCCCGGTTAAGGCCGATTTACGAGATGCAATGCTTTACTTGTTCGGTTATTTTTGGGGTTGGTGTGAGTAGGTTGAACCAACACAGGAAAAAAGGAGACAACTCCAATCTTAAACCGAACATAACCGGGCGTGTAAAGAATAATTTGCGATTTGTCTGGGCGATACGATTCCAAGATTCCCTTCAGATTGTATAAAAAATTGCGGTTGGATAGCACGACGACGACAAAAGTGTCGACCTTCCTCTTCCTCTGTCAACCAAACTAGTTATAGAATCATTTTCCTTTTCTTCTTTTCCTTCTTCTGGTTTCTTAGTGGTTCTCTGAAAGCTCTCAGCATCTTCAATTCGTTGAGAGAGGATGCTTTAGAGAGTCTGGCTCTGAATCTTCAGCACAAAAGGGTGTTCGAATCTCCAAGTAATATTTTTGTAGTCTTCTGTTTTTCGAATTCCCTTCTGTTATTAGCTATATGTAAAATCTGCTCAACATAATAGCTTGTGTGAAATTTGAAGTCTTTCCTTAGTTTATGGGCCGATGTTGATTTTGATAACTGAAGTGTGTTCTCTTGCAAATTCTTGTTCCAATTATACTGTGGTATTCTGATTTTTGTCCGTTAATGCAAAAAGGTGTCAACTTTTTCTCCATTTGATTGTCTTGTGAATAATTCAAATTCCAAAAGTCTTGAGATTCTTACAGAAACATTGTTCACTCAGAACATGAGAATGATTCTTAGTGATAATGTTCTTCTTTGCTTTTTTGGTGGAAATCTTAGGACTCTTTTTGACTTGGCGATGGCTACTGATACAACAGCTTCAAGTTACTGGTTGAATTGGAGGGTCTTCCTCTGTGCATTAATCCTCTTAGCTCCGTTGGTGCTAGCAGCAATTCTCATTTGGAGATACGAAGGCAAAAGAAGACGACGCGAGAGCCGGCGAGAATCCTCCGATACATTGTTCCAAGATGAAGCTTGGACCACATGTATTAAAAGAATCAAACCTCTTTGGTTGCTTGCCTTTAGAGTATTCTCATTTGTTGCAATGCTGACTCTACTCATTTCCAATGTTGTCCGCGATGGACGCGGCATATTCTACTTTTATACTCAGTGAGTTTCAACTTCTTCATCACATTTTTTCTGAATCTTTGAAATGAATGAATAAAGATCCAATCTTTTTTTGCTGAACACAGGTGGACATTTACACTTGTCACACTCTACTTTGCGGTAAGTATCTCTTGAAGATTCTCTAATGTTGAGGTTACTATCTTAGTTTGATGCACTAAAATCGTGATTCTGTTTCTTTTATCTGTAGTATGGGTCGTTGTTATCAGTTTATGGATGCTGCATTTACAATAAAGAAGCTGGTGGTAATGTAGAGAGTTATACAAGTATAGGTGATGCGGAACAAGGCACTTATAGACCACCTATCACTCCTGATGATGGAGCAGGAAATGCGCCAAAATCTCCCAGTACACATTCAGAAGCGCCCATCCGAGAAAGAGCAGGCTTTTGGGTTTACGTCTTTCAGGTCCTTTTCCAAGTAAGTGTCTTTTCTTTTCTCTTCTCTCTCAGAGATCATCTTGTTGAGGGTGATGAAGACTGTGGAGTGACAAAGTTTTGTGTTGTGGCAGACTTGTGCAGGTTCTGTTGTGCTAACAGATGTTGTGTTTTGGGGGTTACTCTACCCGTTTACCAAAGGTTACAAGCTGAGTTTTGTAAGTTCTCTTGCCTCTAATACTGTTTGATTCCTGTTCTTTGGAAAGATCTTGATATGATTAACTTTTCGCTGGAAATCTCTATATTTTGATTGATCCCTTACATGTGTTATATTTGGATTGCAGCTAGATGTTTGTATGCATTCTCTCAACGCTGTTTTTCTCCTCGGTGACACATGTCTCAATTCTTTGGTAAGAGTCTTCCAAACTCAAATCTCCCGCCTTTGTATTAGAGAACCTAACACTCAACGATCTTCTTTCTTCCTCATCCCAGCAATTCCCGCTGTTCCGGATCTCTTACTTTATACTCTGGAGCAGCATTTTTGTGTCTTACCAATGGATAATCCATGCTGTCAAGAACTTATGGTATGGTACACTCTTCTTCTGTTTTCTGATCTTCACAGAGGCTAAAGCTGCCATCTTTTTAACCACGACACACAAAGTCGTAATGTTGTTTAAAGGGATCTTGTTATCCATGTTTTGCAGGTGGCCATACCAATTTCTTGATCTCTCGTCACCGTACGCACCCTTATGGTACGTTCATAAACTACTCTTCAGCCTTCACAATTACTCTGTATTTGCGTTAAGTATCGAACGTAAATCAAATTCAACCATCCTCTGTTCTGATGTTTCACTAAATGTTATCTGCAGGTACTTGGGAGTGGCAGTGATGCATGTACCGTGCTTTGCCGTCTTTGCTTTGATCATAAAGCTGAAGACTTTCTTGCTACAGCGTCACAACTCGTAATTTAATTATCCTCTTCTATCTGTTGAGATTCTTGTTCTCATGAGTTAGAATAATACACACCAGGAGACGATGGTCATGGACTAATAATGGTGAAAGTCGAGCAAGAAAAGTCAGAGATAATCAAACCCTCTTCCTGGATAAGAGGCTAGCCTAGAAGAAAGACAAATATTTATTTTTTTTTCAGTTTTTTTTTTCTTTCCAATAATGATGTGTCAAGTTTCGTTGTTGTAAAGATGGAACACGATATTATTGTTGGAAACTAATTTGGTTATACAAACTTACAAATCAAACAGTTGGAGCTGAAACGTTGAGTTAGGTACTTAGGTGGGCATATAACTCTGAAATTGAACATCCTACCAGCTTCTTCAGGGAGGAGTAACTGCAAAGTCTTGCAAATATTAATGTAAAGATGAATAAAAAAATGTGACAATATATTTAATTTGGTGATTTATGAAGGGAAGTGATCATCTGTTAGTTGCAACTATAAATGGTAAAATACAGAGTCCTTTGAAGGAATACAAAGGAGTCGATTTTGTGAGCTAACTACCCTTCTCTCTCCTTCCTTCATTCCACCACTCTCAGCGGTAAAGATCCAACATTTCCAGGCATTTCTTCTTCTGTATGCAATCTGTGATTGTGAACATTCTCGTTTATATCGTTGGAATTTGGAAAACTTGTCTGTCTAATCATATCTCATTGCGTGATTAACGTGACGTTTATTGGAAGTTTAATCCGCCGTTTTAGTCGAATCCGTGAGGATCTCGCGGTGAAATGCCTTCTCTTTAGTTTTGGGTTTTTATCTGTTTGATTTGTGTTTTATCCGCCTCTGGATCTGTGAGATTTATATCAGTTTAGCTGTGGTTTGATTTCGTTCCTCTTGTTGGTTTTATTCAGTTTGGTTTGGAAAATGGCGAGGAAGAAGATCAGAGAGTACGACTCAAAGAGATTGGTGAAGGAACATTTCAAAAGGCTCTCTGGCAATGAGCTTCCTATCAGATCCGTTCAGGTTACTTCATTTTCCTTGCATCTTTGTCCTTTTTTATAGCTTCTTTGTTAGGGCATTGGTTTCTCCGACATTAAGTCAGGTTTTCAAAATTTAGTAAAGATGTTTACTTTGCATTGGTTTCTCCGACATGAGGCATATGATCGTTTTTGGTAACATTCCCCAAGCAAATATTGAGACTTGGGAGTTCTACGGTGAAACCTGATATGTTTGTTCTCATATGTGTAGATTAACGAAACAACTGATCTGAATGAGCTAGTTGAGAAAGAACCATGGCTCTCGTCCGAGAAGCTGGTGGTGAAACCTGACATGTTGTTTGGAAAGCGTGGCAAGAGTGGTTTGGTTGCCCTGAAACTAGATTTTGCTGAAGTTGCCACTTTTGTGAAAGAGCGTTTGGGCAATGAGGTAAATTTAAAAGTTTTGTGCTTGCAAAGCCACATCCTTGTGAGACCATCTTAGCTTAACTTTTCTTTCTGTTTATATCATCTGTAGGTAGAGATGAGTGGTTGCAAAGGACCCATAACAACATTCATAGTTGAACCATTTGTCCCACACAATGAAGAGTATTATCTCAATGTTGTCTCGGATCGCCTTGGCTGCACCATCAGCTTTTCAGAGTGTGGTGGGATTGATATCGAGGAGAACTGGGACAAGGTATTTTTGGAAGAGCTTCCAGAGAGATTTTTGTTCAAATGTCTTAGTGCCTAATTCTCAGTACCTTGCTCCAATTTCTACAGGTCAAGACAATATCTTTACCAACTGGTACTTCCTTGACATCTGAAATATCTGCACCTCTTGTGGCAACTCTTCCCTTGGAGGTAAATCAAACATTTTTTTATTTGATAAAAAGGATTGTGAACATGACATATAATCTGGACTTGTGACTTCATTTACAGATCAAAGCAGAAATTGAAGAATTTATCAAAGTCATTTTCACTCTCTTCCAAGGTCTGCCAAGGATTGCTGAATCAACACACAGATTAAAAAAATTTACTGTCATAAAACCTAAGCTGATAGTCTTGTTTCTTTTTTCGTGTGTCAGAACTTGATTTCACTTTCTTGGAGATGAATCCATTCACACTAGTTGATGGGAAGCCTTATCCTCTGGATATGAGGGGTGAGCTTGATGATACTGCCACCTTCAAAAACTTTAAAAAGTATGTTTGACTCCCTCATTTCCCAACCCTTTTGAGCTTTTTTTTTTTTTTTTTTTGAGAATGCGCACATGATTAACCCTTCAAACTTGCAGATGGGGGGAGATTGAGTTTCCATTGCCATTCGGAAGAGTAATGAGTCCCACGGAAAGCTTTATCCACGGACTAGATGAGAAGGTATCATGAAACGTCTCTCTGCTTCATTGTTCTGTGACTTGTAATGAGCTTTATTTCTTATTTATGCTGCTTTTGTGGTTACAGACAAGTGCGTCCTTGAAGTTTACCGTTCTTAATCCCGAGGGACGGATTTGGACAATGGTAGCTGGAGGAGGAGCAAGTGTCATCTATGCAGATACTGTATGTTACCCTAAAGAAACCATTACTGAGAATCTCTGCACATTTTCCATTAACAAGCTCATTTCAATTTCTTGTTTAGGTTGGAGATCTTGGGTATGCATCTGAACTTGGCAACTATGCTGAATACAGTGGAGCACCCAAAGAAGATGAGGTTTTGCAGTATGCCAGAGTCGTTATCGATGTAAAGATTCACTTTTTTTCCTCTTTCCACAATCCACAAGATGTTTCTTTCCTGTGACTGAATAACAATGAAAGTTTCAACACTGCAGTGTGCTACAGCAAACCCGGATGGACAAACGAGAGCTCTTGTGATCGGAGGTGGAATTGCCAACTTCACTGACGTTGCTGCTACGTTCAATGGCATAATCCGCGCTCTCAAAGAAAAGGTGAGTCAAGAAAACTTTGAGCTTCTCTTCTCACTGACTAAAAGCAAAGAATCTTTTTGTCATATTGTGTGATTATATTTTGTCAACAGGAAACAAAGCTGAAAGCAGCAAGGATGCATATATTTGTGAGGAGAGGAGGACCAAATTATCAAAAGGGACTTGCTAAAATGCGAGCCCTTGGAGATGACATCGGTGTCCCCATTGAGGTCTATGGCCCTGAAGCAACCATGACAGGGATCTGCAAGGAAGCTATCCAGTACATCACAGCCGCTGCATAGGCCTCTTTCTCTGTAAGTTCAGATCCTTTTGCATTACCCAAACTTGTGGTTTCCTCTCAGATTCAGTTATCAATCGTTGTTACTCTGTTATTTTGTTCCGTTTTAACAATGATAATAAAAGTTAAAACCATTTGCAATTAGTAGAACATCTTTCATTATTTGAATTGTAAAATCCCCCACAGCGTTAAAGAAAGATGAATAACATAATTAAATGTGACTAACCAAAAATTGAGTAAAAGTAGAACACAGACAAGAGTTTTGACGATGCAATTTATAATGATTAAGGATGTTGTTGTTGACGCTGCTGAAGATTGATAAGTCTAGAGTAAGGACCATTCTTGTTCTTAACGAGGCTATTGTGGCTGCCTTGCTCTATGATCTTACCTTCTTGTATCACACTTATCATGTCTGAGTTCTTGATCGTCGATAACCGGTGAGCCACCACCACCGTGGTCCGGTTCCTCATTAGCCGATCCAATGCTTGTTGTACCTAACAAATCATTAAGATAAGCCATAAAGATTCTATCTGGAAAATCTCAACCATAAAGTCTTTAGCAAAAAGACTTACCACACGCTCTGATTCAACGTCCAAGGCGCTTGTGGCTTCGTCAAGGAGCAGAATCTCTGGATTCTTGAGGACGGCTCTAGCGATAGCGATCCTCTGTCGCTGACCTCCCGACATCTGAACTCCGCGTTCACCGACTTTGGTTGAGTAACCTTGCGGGAGAGAGCTGATGAAGCTGTGAGCGTTTGCAAGCTTAGCTGCTTCCATGACTTCAGATTCAGATGCTCCTTCTCTACCGTACAAGATGTTCTCGTAGATCGTCGTTCCAAAAAGAGCAGGTTCTTGTTGAACCAAACCGATGTGTCTTCGCAGCGATTTCAGATTCATTTTCTTGATGTCTTGTCCTGTAATAATAAATAAAAACAGCTTACTCAAACCAAATATTTATCTCTTGTGACGCAAGAAACCTATGATCAGAGTTTCGTGTGACTGAAGTAAGTAAGTTAAGAGCTGACACTAACCGTCTATCAAGATTTTTCCGACTGTTGGATCGTAGAACCGGAGAATGAGTGAAAGGACCGAACTTTTCCCGGACCCGCTTTGTCCTACGAGGGCCATGCTTTTGCCAGAAGGAACTTTCAGATTGAAATCGCGGAAGATGGTCACATCAGGACGTGAAGGATAGCTGAAATTGACACCTTTGAGCTCAATTGTGCCTTCCACATCACTCAGCTCCTCGCCAACATCTCCAACGACCTGAGTTCTTCGGTCCAATAGCTCGAAAACCGAAGCAACCATCTGGTTTCCTTTAAGCAAATCTGGTGCTAGAGCCAACACTTCACCCATCACTAACGCAGTTACGATCAGAACCATGAATGTTTTCATCACCGACTCGAAAGTTGACAATCCTTGCCCCATCAAAACCGAACCGTACCTGTAAAAACATATTATAACGTTTCAATCTTCACTATCTTATATACTTTTTTTTGGTATGAATGTAACTGTTTAATCAATCATATACGTACCATAGGGCAAGGCCGTAGGAGGAGAAGATGAAGAACTGAGCGACACCATACAAAATCCCTGCAATCTGTCCACGCCTGAAAGATTGTTTGGAAGGTTCTAGAAGCTCTTTGGAATAAAGTTCTAGAATCTTCTCCTCAGCACAAAAGGCAGCCACCGTTCGAATGTTGCTAACAGCCTCCCCGGCCAACATGTTAGCCTTCAAATACGCTTTATTCAAGTTTCCTCCATAACCTTGCATGAAAAGTTTCTAACATATACAACAAACAAAAATAAGTAAAGTTCATAAACTCAAACGCTGAAATGTTTAATAGATAACGCGAAAAGTTGCGTTTTACCTCACTAATATGGCCGCTGATGATCAATGGATATGTTGCTATGACAACAAGAGTAAGACGCCAGTTGAGTATGAAAGAAATAATGAAAGAAGTCACAACAAGACCAAAGTTCTCCAGTAGAATCGTCGATCTATCGACCACGATCGTTTTCAGCAAAGTCGCATCGCTTTCGAGCCGCGACGCCAACATCGCGCTAGTGTTATCTACCTTATCAAACCACCCGATTTCATTCCTCAAGATCGCTAAAAAGAAAGAAAAAAAATTAGTTCAAAACCAATCTAAAGACAGTTAAATCAATTGTACTGGTTTAGACCGGGGCTTTGTGTAAGTGCATACCTGAAAAGAGCATTTGACGGACGCGGAGAGTGAGACGCTCTCCCATAATACCGAAAGTGGTATGCTCAATGGCGTGTGAAATGACGGTGATGACGGAGCCACAGCAGAAGAGGATAGAGATTTTCCTGACCTCGTGCTTAGTCGTTTCCCAGTCCATGTAAAAAGAAACTAAAGCCGTTGAGATCCCAAGAGCGAAAAGCGGCATTTGAGCTCCTGCGATTAACGCACCTAACGTCCCAAAAATTCCATATTTCCAGTCAGGTCGGATCATAGAGTAGAGACGTCCCAACGTTACTTTCCTCTGTTTGGTTGTCTCTGGTTGGTTTCCTGGTTGATGTTTTGCGCAAAAGCTCGTCGTCTTTGTTATCGGTTGTAACTGTATTTCCTGCAAGGAATCTGTACTGACTGGTAAGCTTGGAGTGTGGCTTAAGTTAGGGTTAGCAGCTTCTTGGATACGTAGGAGAGAAGTGTAAGCTCCATTCGGGTTAGAGATGAGATCGTCGTGGCTTCCGGATTCGATGATCTTTCCTCCTTCAACGACGGCTATGATGTCAGCGTTTCTTACGGTGGAGAGTCTATGAGCCACCACAACTGTCGTCCTCCCAACCATCACTCTGTCTAAAGCTTCTTGTACGCTTTTCTCTGACTCTGCGTCTAGAGCGCTTGTTGCCTCGTCGAGTAAGAGTATCGAAGGGTTCTTCACGATGGCTCTCGATATCGTGATCCTCTGCTTCTGCCCGCCGGATAGCTGAATACCTCTCTCACCTACCTGTAAAACCGAGCAACAAAGCAAAATTTAGGGCTTCTGCTATATAGTTGTTACTTGTGTTCTACGGTATCATATTTTTCAACAGACCTGGGTGTCAAATCCTTCAGGGAGGTTGTTGATAAATGAAATGGCTTCCGAGAGCTTTGCGGCACGGTTGATTTCCTCATCAGTCGCGTAGTCTTTACCATACAAAATGTTCTCGCGAATCGTGGTTGCAAACAAGGCAGGCTCTTGATTAACCAGACCGATATGTGATCTGAGCCACTTAAGATCAAGGTATCTGATATCGTTCCCGTCAAGCAACACGGCCCCTTCGGTAGGCTCGTAGAACCGCTCGATTAGAGATACAATCGTGCTTTTACCAGACCCGCTTCCTCCGACAAGAGCCACGACTTTCCCGGCAGGGATCTCGAGGTTAAGCTTTTCAAAGATCACCACGTCAGGTCGAGACGGGTAAGTGAAAGAAACCTCCTTGAAGATAATGTCTCCGTTTACTTTACCGAGTTTACGACCCGTTTTCACCTCCGTGGTCCGTTCGATCATCTGAAATATCGGATACGCTGCAGCTCTAGCTCGTATTAATGTGGAAATGTTTGGAGCTGCCTGACCAAGAGACCTACACAAAACCCCAAAGTAAAACAGAAAAATCATGGAACCGTGTAAGGCAAGAAATCGAACAAGTTGATTTTTTTTTTTTTTTTTTGTCTTACAAGCCAGCGATGACGACGTTGAGCATGGTCGTGAAAGCTTCGCCTCCGTTAGCGATTCCTTTGTGAACGACGATGCTTGTGAACCAAATGAGCAATGCCCAAGACAAAAACAGGGTACAATGCATCGAACCGAGTCCTAGTCCTTTGGCTAAACCGGCTTTTCTCCCGTACGTGTACGTGTTCTTCAGAGCATCTCCGTACGATCTCACTGCCTTTTCTTCACCCGTGAACGCTTGTACGGTCCTCACATTCCCAATAACCTAAATGTTTAGCGGAGAGATTCATGAAAATTAAAATACACAAGAAAAATCGTACTCAAGATGGTTTTCTTGTCGGAAAAGTTACTGACCTCTTGGGCAATATCGCCGGCTTTGACGTATGATTTCCGGACCCGAGCGATAAGCCCGGTGCTGACAAAAGCGTAGATGCCTCCGGCGAGAGCAATGAACGGGACTATAGACAGAGTGACGAGACTTATTTGCCATACGCTCGTGAATCCGATTACAAATCCGGCTACAAACCGGCTCATGCAGTGCAAGAAATTCCCAACCTGTAACAAAAATACCGGTAATTATTAGGTTATAGTATACCATAACCGAATTTGGGTGGTCACGTTTTTTCTTGTAACTATCCATGCATACATATATTTTAATATTGGACTAAGTCATGATTATTGACTTTCAAATTGATAGAATTAAACAACTTATGTATTTAAAAAAAATAAATAATAATATATGTGCTTATGGTAGTTGGCAAAAAAATATAGTATTTTATTTATTTAAGGAAATTTTGTGATTTATCCCAAGTTAAGTTCTGACAGCTTATGAACAGCATTGTATTTAAGAAAAATGCATGAATCAAATTACATAATAGATTCACTGTAAGAAAAGTAATAAATCATTTGTATCCATTATTTCTTTAAAAATTGAAAAGATTATATTGAAAAAATAATATATGTTATTCATTGTATCTATCGAATAAAAATCTAAAGAAACTTATTATGATTGAACTAAGTAGACAAATCAGATAACCTTTACCGGACAATAAGACATCCAAGTAAATGTTTGATTTCGATTGAGCGTACCTTCTCGGAGAGAGCGTCTTGGACGACAAGTATGTCGGAGGTGATGGCGGATATGACTTCTCCGGTGGAAGATTCTGTATCGAATAAGCTTATGTCTTGACTTAACATTGACTTGAGATATGCTTTTCTCATCTTCGCCGCTTGTCTCTCCGCCGTATGCATCCAACATGAGACCTCTGTTTCCATTCATCAGTTTATTTGATTAACTCATTTGTATCTTTAAAAAAAAATCATTAATTGTATATTGTCGTTTTTCTGTTATTTACCTAACCATGATGAGAAGAGCATCGCTATACTCAGATATACAAAATCCAACGAGTACTGCAAAACAAAATTGAACGTAGCAAACATAAGAACAATATGCATTATTATTTATTAGCATTTTACTTGGATTCTGTTTGGAATTGGAGTACATATGTGTATTTGATTTATATGTATTTTACCGAATTTTGACCTGATATTAATTGAGAATTCACGTGGAGATTGTATATCATTCACATTGAACCCAATAATGTCACATTTTTATTTCTAGAAATTTTTGATTTATTAGATCTTTACCTCTCTATTATTTGTGACTCAATCATGTTGATTCTAGACTTTAGTGCGTAATAAGATTTGAATCAAAACGTATTCCAAGTTCAAAACCTTTTCATGTTTACTCAGATGGAAAGGTTAAAACAAATCCTAAGAACTAAACAATTTCGATAAAGTTATTAAGAAGAATATGAACCTTGGCGACTTTGTGAGAAGCTTCTTGTGGGAAGAGGTAAGCAAGACCGATAATGTTGATGAGTTTGCCGAAGAAGATGAAGAAAACTGGAACGGCGGCTCCGTGAATGCACGCACCGATGGATCCAAGGGCCATCAGAACGCAATCGTAGAAATCAGCAAAGGAGAAGAGCTTTAACACTGAAACACTTGGACTTGGTCGGTCCTTCTTCTTCTGTTTCATCTTCTCGAATGGCTGCATTTTCACGTGAACCGGTGCGTTTCGATGGAGAGGAAATGAGGGAAGATCTATAAGTAGAGAGACAAAGATTGAGTTTGAGAGAGAGACTAGAAATGAGAAGGCATCGTATTTATATTGAAGAGGAAGTTGAAGGGAAGTGATTAGGTTTTAAGTTTGAAGTACGATGACATTGAAGAGACTAATTTGTCCTTGGTTCGAATGTTATGTGTTAAGACCTGAAATACTTTGGTTACATATGAAAAAGGAGTTTATTGGTAATACCACAAATGTGGCCGTAATTTAATCTCACTTTTTTTGTTGTACCGATTTTTTTTTAACTACAATATAAAAGTTCTGAGAAAAACATTAGGACAATGTTCCTCTAAAGTTATCTATGCCAATAAAATATAGTTAAATAGAATAAGTAAAATTTTATTTCTATTTTCATAGAAAGTGTAAAAAGCAAGTAAATAAGTTTTTTCTTAAAATATAGATATTTTGGAAAATATGCAAATATCTTTAGTTAGTAATTTTTTTTCATTTTACAAGCTGGATGTTCGTGAACAAGAAAAGCTGGATTTGTGTAAAACGATAATATTTAGGTGGCATTTCTATAATTGATTTGGTTTCTGTATAGATCAGGCATTAAAGGAAAAACATACTTACAAGTTACAATACTGAAAAATATAAGTACAATGACTGTATCATACAAACAATAATTTTACATAGAGAATTTAGATCCATTTCAAGTACACGCAATTCAATTTTAAATTGGGTCCATGAGTTATTGACGTAAAAAATCAAATATATATTTTGATGAAATAAAATCATTTGCATATTTTCGTTGACACACATAACGAGTTAACAGAAGTACAGAACCTAGAAAGAGAACACACCCATTCGATCAATTAAAGAAAGAATCAAAAGAGAATAAACAATCTATAGTGCCACTAGACTAAGAAAACATTGTCAATTGAAGGCCAAACTTCTTTAGAAAAATAAAGACCGCAAATATGGGCTTCTCGAGTTGGCTCAAAGGTATAAACTTTACATCGATTGAGAGAGTAAATTCAAGTTGAACATGGTGAGACAAACCGGGTGGAGTAAGAAGAAACAAGAAACTTTATAAAGACTAATGAGCAAACATTGTCCACTTTTTATTCCCCAAAAGCCGAAAGAAACACACATCACAAGACAATCTATATTACAATATTTTAAATTTTCTTACTGATATAAAGTATTAAAGATGATTTCGTAAGGTAGCAATTTGATCTTAAGCAATTCAAGATCACTTTTACCACCGATACCAAATCAATAGAACTCGATATATAACACGAGCCTGATGCCGATATATGACTTGCCGGTTTGCCATTACAATAAGACTTTTCCTTTTTTTTGTCTCCTCGCTTCTCATGGCCAAGCTAAACAAACTGTTGAGGAAATGGCTTCCTCCTCTGTCTCCTCCTTGAATGGCTTCTTCTGCATTATTTCTGGCGGTGCCTCCCCGGCTGAGGAAATTTTGTTCATTCCCTTGAAGATTTTCTTATAAATTATTTGTTTTGAGGTTTTCAGATTAAATATTTTCGGGTGAAGTCTCTATCTATATAGATAGAGAAATGAGTAGTGGAATTAAGGGTGGTGGGTTTATTTTATTTATGAAGGTGGAGCAGGATGTGATAATTATTGGATAATGATATCATATTTTATGTGTAGTACAAGTCATATTCCAACTAAGAGTTTCTCACTTTCTTCCTTCTTTTTTTTTTTTTTTTGAAAAAAGGTATTCAGTTTAGCCGTTTAAAGTTTGGTGCTGCATCATCGCATTCGTGGGAAATAAAGTTGCTAGATTCTCATGTTTGCTTTGAAATTTTTTTTCATCAAAGTAGTAAAAAATATATCATACTATATTGAAATAATGCAGAATGTTCTAATTAAAAGGAGTATGCATACAAAATTCCTTGTGTAACCTTTACTGTAAGTAGATTAGCAATTTTGTAGATATAAATTTGGTCAGACGTTTTTTTTTCACGTGGCTGTAGCTGTTTTTTTTTTTTTTTTTTTTTTTTTTTTTTTTTTTTTTTATTTACGAATACCTTTCCATTATCCATTAAACATTCTTCGTGCTAATCTTTGCATTCTCCATTTCGTCCAACATGAAATGAAGCCTTGAGTTCTTAATTTATGGATGAACCAAGTGTCTAGAAACACATACCAGGTGCCAATGCATTTGAAAACATGCATCGATTAATTTCCAGGATTTTTTTTTTATGGTCGGCAACTAAAACGAAATAATTTATTTCTTGCAGTTAGTATTTTATTTTTGTCGTCGTTTCTTGCATTATATTTAAAACACACCCTAAATACATTTGGATCTTGAAGGATAAGACTGAATTAAGTAGTATCGGCTCTTCCAAGTACAACGCACCGGGATCGCCAAATTATGTGATCTCTAACTAACCATGTGGAGTCCAATAAATCCTAAGAGCATCTCCAACAGGATATATTAGAGGTCTCATATCTTGGTATCATAGCATTAAAAAAAATAAAAACAAATAAAAAGAAAGAAAGAGGATGTGAAAAAGTGTAAGACGTTCCTCCTTTACCATACAGTATGAGAAAAAGAAGAGACTCTACAATGAAATGGCATCACATAAATAGTTGATTTCTTTTAGTTATTTAAATTTAATTAATCTTTATAATTATATTAATTTAATATTTATAACATACTGATACTATAGTTTCAGCGATAGAGATGCTCTAAAGCATTTTCGTAAACCTTAAGGTAACCTTCACACAATTGTTGTTCCTTAAACAACTATAACGAGGGGTACAAAAGAACAATATAGTGCTTGTACATCGTTATCCACTTGAGGCGAAAGTGTTAAGAGAAGTGGAAATTAAAATAGAAAACTTCAAAAATGTTGAAAACTTTATGAGTTGAGAAACAGAAGTAATACCTTTTTGGCGTATTCTTTTCTCGGATTCCAATTGCGTCGGTGGCTGTCAGTGATCATCGAATGATGTTGATGACTATTCAAATACTACCGATTTAGTTGCATATATTTTTGTGCATACTGCTGCTAGCTTAGAAATATAATTAAACAGCCCAAATAATTGTCCCTACAAATACTTAGTATTCTTATATATAACCAGCAAAATTCAGGAATGTGAGGTGCAAAAGAATGAATGAAAATAATTAGATCAAGAAATACTCAAAACAAATTTGCAGATTAAATTAAGCTAAAAATTACACATGTATATATTTTCGTTATGTCATATTTATAAATTCTACCGAAACAGGGAGAAATAAAATGTACATAAACATGACATAGTGTCCTAAGATTACGTTGTAAGTTCAGAATCTAAAGACTGATCCAGAGTCGAAAATTAAAAAAAAAGAAAAACTAAATGTAAAGCTATGAAGAAGGTTAGAAAGAGAGGAGAGAGTAAAGAGTTTAAAAAACAGAGTTAACTAGCTCTCTGAATGAAGACGGTTTCAAGGTCAGGCGGAGAGAAGAAATCTTTAGCGCCAGCCCCGTAGCTGCACGTCGACGAAGGCTTCCGCTTCTTTGGTGCGGCTGGGCAAGGCAGGACCCTTGGGATTCTGAAGGAAACCGCCGTAGGTGTCTTCGGACACTGATCTTGATCCTCTGTTTCAGTGACTGTGACGCCAGAGGTTGAGTTATTCGACTTGAGCGGCGAACGTGGAGGAAGTCCGGCGATGACCCATTTTTTGCCGTCGATGGTTTCTCGTATCTCGCCGTCGAGGTGGGAGTGAGGTTTGCCGGAATATCCCATAAGTTATCAAATGTGAATTAAGAGAAAACAGGGGAAATATCTCCAAATGAAAAACAGGGGAACTTTTTGTTGTTGTTGAAGATGAAAGAATCAAAGGTTTGCTTTGGGAATTTGGTATTTTTAAGGATTGATTTGTGTGCAATCGAATGATACCTTTTGTTCTCTTTCTCTCTCTATATTTTTCAAAGTTGATTTATTCTTTTAGTTAAGGGGACATTTTTTCGCAGAGGAAGGTTTTATAGTCAACCAGAATACTGAATGCATCAGATCGGTGTCGATTCAGTTCGGTCTGTTTCCTCTTCTTCTGAATTCTGATTAAACATAAAAGGTTTGTCTTTATATTTCAAATTTAAATATCGGACAGCAAAATTAAAATTATTTAAAGACAAGAGAAAATGAATTTTTTTAAATAGTACTCCATCTACATCACCATAAATGTCATTTTAACATTTTGCACATTAAGTAAAGAAACTATACTATGAGTCTATCATGTGTAAGGGTGTCAAAATGGTTAATCCAACTCATTTGACCCATCACCCATTTTATCCATGTATTTATGGGTCATAGATCAACCCAACCCATTTGATAAATGGGTTAGGTTGATCCATTACCCATTTAATTACATGGATAAAATGGGTCAATGAATAACCCATAACCAAATACTAATTTACTTAATACACTTGTTATATCAAATGGTTTAATGTTAGAGAGTACACAATAAATTGAAAAAAAATGCAAAAGTTTCACAAAATGCAAGATAACACAAAGAAGAGTAACTCAAGTTTACATCAAACTGATCTCATCATAAAATTTCTTGATCTGAGCTTCATCTCTCATAATATATCTTGCTTGAAACTTTGAAACCCCTGATAAGAAATAAGCTATTCATTAGCAAATCTAAACCATGAAATAAGCCGTTCTATCTATAAAGCAATGTCATAAGAGCAAATAACTACAAGTCTGCAGGTAACAGAGAAAAGCTAACGTTCTTCCATTTTTCTTGTGAACCAAACACAAAAGAAATTCAGATTCTTTGATTGTTTTGATTCAAATTTGGTGAAGAGACTTAAGCCAGCAACAAACCAGCAGAAACAACCGATTCATAACACAAATACAATCTCAGAGCAACAAATTTTCACCTCACAAAGACTACACCTTTATCAGCTTTTAAATTCTAGATATGAGAACAAACCTTAAATCTGCTGTTCCATTGAAGTTGGTGTTGCTGCTCGAATCGTAACCATTTCCCCTTGATCATTATCATCTACAATTCACAAGAGAAAATGTTAATAGAGGCATAAACTACATTTAAACAAGTCATCAAGTTTTGTACCTTCATCATCAATAACGTAGCCATACAACCAAGAGCGAGTAGACAACAACGCTTGTACATTGCTCGGTAGAAGCCGAGTCCGATATTTGTTTATGACATGAGCCCCAATACTAAAAGAAGATTCAGAAGCTACCGTGGTAATAGGAACACTGAGGACGTCCATTGCCATGTATGTTAACGCCCCAAACCGATGACTATTTTCTTTCCAATGCTGCAACACATTCAAATCAGGATGACTTCTCATATCTAATTTTGGCTCATCTAAGTACACATCCAATAACGATTTTCCTTCATCCATAACGTCTTGCATATCATCTAACTCGAACAAATCCTGTATCATTTGAAAATCAGGCAAGTTATAATCTAAAACGATAAAGAAAATTTAGATCATCAAGCTGTAATTTAAAAAACTTACATCTAAGACACCATAACTTTCTCTTCCTTGTCCAGAAACACGAGAGTTGAAACTTGTACGAACAACTGGAGTCAAAGGATACTTTTTCTTATATTCTTCAAAGATCTCATTAAGCTTACTCTCCAGATGATCTATCTTCTCCTGAGATGTGAATGGATCAAGCTCATCATAACATTTCTTCAAAAGTTTCAGTTTCATCCTTGGATCAAAAACAGCTCCCATTGCCAGAAGAACGCTATACTCTTCCCAGTACTTATCAAACTTTTCTCTCATCCTAGAAATCATCATTCTGATCACAGTATCTTCATGGCCTCTATTCACTTCCAACACACACTGGATCTTCCAAATATGAGCAAAATATAAGTTGGAAGTAGAATAACTTCTCCCTGACATCAAAGTCGTTATACTATAGAAAGGCTTCAAGATCTCAAAGATAATATTGGCTCTTTTCCATTCTTCACTTGAGGGACAATGCCTATAGTTTTTGTCAACTACTTTGAACCTGTTCAAAGCACGCTGATACTTCAAAGCTTTCTCAAGCATCACATACGTTGAATTCCACCTATTCTGAACATCTAGAGACAGAACAACTTCACCCGCAATATCTACACAATCTGCCAGTGCAATCCTTCTAGATGTTGAAGCTTTGATGTACTTCACAGTGTCTCTGATTTTAGCCAACGCATCACTAATAACATCTAAACCATCCTGCACAATGAGGTTTAAGATGTGTGCACAACACCGAACATGAAAATAATCTCCTTCACACACCAAATTCTTATCTAAATTCAGCCGATCCTTCAATATTTCTTGCATGCTATCATTAGCAGTAGCATTATCCACAGTCAAAGTAAAGACTTTTCTTTCGATTCCCCACTCCTTCAAACATTCATGGATCCTACTAGCTAGAGCATCACCAGTGTGAGGAGGAAGGATATCACAGAATGACAAAATCTTGCTATTTAACACCCACTTGGAATCAACATAATGAGCAGTCAAAACCAAATATCCATCTCCAGAAAGTGCACTCCAACAATCAGTAGTCAAACACACTCTACTCGGTATCTTTTCTAACTCAACCTTCAATTTCTGTTTTTCCTTCTCCCAAGTTTTAATAACATCAGCAGCAGCAGTGTTTCTAGTGTAGCACTTATAATCCGGGTTCAAATAACTAAGATAATCCCTAAGCTCCTCATATTCAACACAAAGGAAAGGAAGATTGTGCCTAATGATCACTCGACTGAATTTTTCCCTAGCAACTTTTTCATCGATATGCACTACTCTTCTTTCATCACTACATATACTGAGATGACGTTTCAGATTTGATGTTCCACTAGTTCCTGTATGCACATAACTTTTTGAGCATTTCACACAGTGTGCTTTTTCTTCACCATTGTCATCTGTGTCTAACCTAAAGTAATTCCAGACACTAGATGTCTTACTCCTTTTCGCAGAACCAGAGGGTTGTGATGTACCGGTTGATGATTGCACAGACCAACATGAAGATTGTTTTCTTCATTCTCCATGGGTATAGATTCCTCCATGGATCAGAATACGGGAAATCCTAAACCACAAACAAAGCACAAAAACATGTAAGGAGAAGTCAATAGTTGTAGAAAAAGCATGCATGAAGAATAGCAAAAAAACATTTAGCATTGGTGAAACAAGACTAATTTGACAACAACGTTAAGCAGGATCAGGTTAAGTATCAATAAACCAATATTTAAGTAAAACGTGTAAATTTTTAAAACATTCTGAAAGATTGTGCATAAACCAGACCATTTCACTCATACTCGACAATAATAATAGCTCATTTCAATAAACCATATCCAGATAGAGAGAGAGAGAGAGAGAGAGAGAGAGAGAGAGAGAGAGAGAGAGAGAGAGAGAGACTAAAGAAGATACACAATTCAACAGGTTTTAAGATTCTGCCAATATCAACTACTTAAGCCAGGTGGTCATAAGAAGGCAAATCAAAACTACAAACTGTACGAGTTCACTAGCAATAAGAAAAGCTCATGTAAGAGCCAATGAATAAAGCTACCAAAGGATGGAAAGGTATATAACCTTTTTTCTTGCAGATGCCGAGGATGTTCAAACGATACAAGAATAAAGCTACCAATACATGGATCTTTTCCAAGAAGATAGTAGAAGCTCGTTGAAACCTCTTTGAAACTAGAATGTCCAAATATAAGGCTGTATGGTCCAGAGGTCAGTAGATTTGCAGTGGTATCTGCACAAACAAACAAAAAACAGATTACCTTACTAAATAGTTACAAGGTCCAAGTTATGTTAATCAAATTCGAAAAGCTTTGAGAAACACTATGCAGTCACTAAGCAAGCAACTTGAGCAATTCACACAACATATTATTATAGAAGAAAAAGCATGAATCACTACTGATTCAAGAGCAATGTATGTTAACGCAGTCACAACTGATTCAAGAGCAAAGAGACTTTCAACTTTAAAAAAGGGAAAACGAACAAGTCACACAACACCAAACGAACAAGTCTCTACACATATGAGGATTCACACTAATCATGACTTCCGAAGCAAATAATTAGTCATTCATGGCGGAAAACGAAAACCAGGAGCGATCAATGTTAATGTAGTGATTCTAAATCAGGCTCAGGGATGCTACTAAACACTCTACAAGCAGAAGCTATGCAAAACCCACAAAATCCATATCCATAAACCCACAAAATCCATATCGATACCTTCTTCCCAAAACGCACAAAATCAATATCCAGAAACCCACAAATCAGAAAACAGTGATGAACACCATAGTACCCATAAACTTCAATTAGATAATCCCCAATTCTAGAGAAACAATCACACCCGAAACCATTAAACATACTAATGCTTAGTATAATCAAAAACCCATTATCACCGTACCTGTGAAAGCATCAAAAACTCCGGCGAGAATACCGACGACAACTTCCGGTTTGAGAGTGAATGTGAGAGCGATAGAGATACAAGGAGAAAGAGATGGAGAACCCGAGAGAGTCCTAGAGATATAGAGATTTGCGAGATCGAAAGGGAGAGATCGTGTTCTGCGAAGGAGAAAGAGATCGAAGAAGAAATCTGATTTTGGTAAAGTAACAATTAAAATTGGTTAACCATTGAGATCCATCAACCCATTATAATTTTAACCATTTCAACCCAACCCAATTAATCCATCAACCCAATTGACCCATGAATCCATTTGCATTCAATTTCTGAACCCATTTAATCTAATGGATTGGATGGGTTGAATGATCCATTAACTTTTATCCATTTTGACACCCCTAATGATGTGCATACAAAGCATGCAAATTTTTAAATTCTCCTATTTCATTGATTTTGATTAGCGTTCAAATAAACACATGACAAAAAGTTACTATTAAAGTTTTAAATCTACACTACTGATTTGTATCGAAAGTTTTCATGCTATATAACCAACAACAACATTAATGCTAGTAAGAATTTGTAAGTAATCGAATTAACATTGAAAAGTGCCAAATGTGTATAAAGTGGCCTTCTAGTATACAAATATTTTTAACTCATGACCTCGTGAACATTGGTAACCGACATATTCATTCAAAGGGAACTGGAGTATCTGTGACTGAGAGAAGAGTTCATATGAACAGAGAGAGAGATAGAGAGCCCGTGACACCTGAGCAAAACAGAAAATACAAAAATGAGATTTAAATGAGAATAGGGAACCCGAGGAAACGCGTGACCTAAGCTATGTGAATTTAAATAACTCTTGTAAGTTATAAATACCAACTCTTATCCTTTAGAAGATGCAAGTAGTAAGTAAATGGAGTAACGAAATGGAAAGAGTTGCTGAGACTTGAGAGTCAAGTCAAGACTTGTTCAGTTTACAATTACATTGCTCACATCTATTGGCGGTCATATGTTTCACTTTCTAATAATCACCGGTCTAATAAATCAAAGCTCGGACTCGGACGTTTAAGTTCTTGCCCCAACAAAAAAATGATAGTTGGGAATGAAATTTACATGTGTTTTACCGGTGGATTACTAATCAAGAACAATTCAATTGTCATTAGTTTGAAACTTTTAATATTATTTTGTTTCTTTACCAAAAAATTGTTTCAGGTAGGTCAACTAACACATATTTTCTGTATAAGTTAAAACGATTCCAGGCGCGTGCACCTTCCCAAGTTTATCTGAGCTCTCCTTGTCCTCTTGAACTGAGAACTAACCGAATCTCCCTATCGACATTCTAATCAAACCGAGAAAACCTGTTCGGTTCGGTTTCGGGTGATATTGTAAAGTTCAGGTCTGATCAGCCTAACTTTGACCGAAGGTTAGCTAAATAAGTCTGACCAAACCGGAACATATCCAACATGTTCATAAACGTGTCTCATTTGACAGATAGGGGCATATGTGTCAATTTACAGTCTTCGCCACATGGCAGATCGATTTAAAGCGCAATTTTTTTTTTAATTTATATAATTTGAAGATATCCGCCGGAAAATTTGTAATTTTGACCCTTCGTCTTCGGAAATGGCGGCTGTTACTCCGGCGTCTGCAACTACCTCTGCTTCTCTGCCTCTGACTCAATTTAGCTCTTCTTATTCGTCGTCGTTATCGTCTACTTCCTCTCCATTCCATCTGAAACTCAAAACTGCTACACTCGGTAATCGCTGCGTGAGGTGCGGAGTCAGAAGCTTAGAGAACCAGTCGGGTCACCGGAGCCTCGATTTCTTGTCCAATGGAGATCCAATCAGCTTAATTAATCCGAATTTATCGTCGTCTCCGATATCCATGGCCGCCGCCTCGTCGGAATCCGGTGCGAAATGCTCGAAACGCGTCTGCCTCTTCTACAGCGACGAGACTAGAGATCTCGCCGAGAGCATCGTCTCGCAATCTGATTGCATCGAGCTACGAAGCATCAATTGGAAGTAAAAGAACCTCGTCTCTCTTTATCTCCTCGATGACTTTTCTTAACATTCCTCTATCATTTCGCGTGATGATCTTAGTTGAAAATGAAGAGAGCTATCGAATTATTCTCTTGATTGATTTGAGATTCCTGGGTTTTGACTTTTCTTAAAATTGATAGTTTTTGTTTTGTCTTGCTTCTTAAAAATTTGAACTTTCAAATGTATTTTGGTCAATGGTCTAACTTGAGACTTCGATATCAGAAAGCTTTGTAAAAGCTTTGATTTTGCATTAGGATTTTTAGGTGAAGAGAATTGGGTATTTGATGTGACAAAGTAAGTAATCAAAATCTTTGTTCTTGTTTAGGAAATTTGACGATGGATTCCCAAACTTGTTCATACAAAACGCTCAAGGCATTCGTGGCCAGCATGTTGCCTTCTTGGCTTCATTCAGCTCACCGGCTGTGATCTTCGAGCAGCTCTCGGTCATTTATGCTCTGCCTAAGCTTTTCGTTTCTTCATTCACGCTTGTTCTTCCCTTCTTCCCTACCGGAACTTCTGAGAGAATGGAAGACGAAGGAGACGTTGCCACTGCTTTCACTCTCGCTAGGATACTCTCCAACATACCTACTTCGAGAGGAGGACCAACTAGCTTAGTGACCTTCGATATACACGCCTTGCAGGTCTTCATCAATGCTGATGACTCGTTTCTTTTGGTTCTCTGAGTCTATGGTTTGGTCTTGATTTTCGTTTGGATTGTAGGAAAGATTCTACTTTGGTGATACTATACTTCCATGCTTTGAAAGTGGTATCCCATTGCTCAAGAGCAGACTCCAGGCTTTACCTGATTCCGATAACGTCAGTTTTCTTTTCCTCTGTTTGTCACATTTCTATCATGAAGCGGTCAACAAATTTTAAAGGACTTTTTTTTTTGTTCTTCATTTGTTTCAGATATCTATTGCATTCCCGGATGATGGAGCATGGAAACGCTTCCACAAACAACTCCAACATTATCCAACGGTATTATACTTACTAAGAAGCGTATCTCCCCTATTTTTATCTTATAGTGAACCCATTTGGACCGTTCTAGTAAATAGCAACCTGGATTTATCATCAGGAGCTCATTACCACATTAACCTTTTATCGTTCAGATTGTTTGCAACAAAGTAAGAATGGGAGACAAACGAATAGTACGTATCAAAGAGGGAGATGCTGAAGGAAGGCACGTCGTGATTGTTGATGATTTGGTTCAGTCTGGTGGCACACTAATCGAATGCCAGGTTGTATACTTAGATTCAGTCTATTGCCACTTTCTTATTACTCAACACTAACTCTTGTGCGCCTTCAGAAAGTCTTAGCTGCACATGGAGCAGCGAAAATAAGCGCATATGTAACACACGGGATATTCCCTAAGAGTTCATGGAAACGTTTCAAGCTTGACACCAAAGGTTACAACCATTATACAAAAATGTTTTGACTCTGAGCTATGTCCGTTTCTTTGTGGCATTGCCAAACTTAAAATGTTTTGTGTTGCAGGTGATCCAGCTGAAGGTCTGAGCTATTTCTGGATCACAGACTCGTGTGGAACGACTGTGAAAGAGGTGATGAATAAACCTCCTTTTGAAGTTCTTAGCCTCGCTGGCACCATAGCTTCTGCTCTTCAAGTTTAAGACCAGCCGCAAGTAATTTTTGGGGTTTTGGACAATCTGATTTCTGTGTATAGTTTCGATCCAAACATTTTCCTTTTAGGAAAAATCCAATAATGTAATAATGTTTCATCTTCTTTGTACTTGATAGACTGAAATTCTTTTGGAAATAAAGTTTTTCCTTTTTAATTTGCAAACTTGAATCAAAACTCTGGAAAAACAGAGCGACTGTGGAAGAGTAGGAAACATGCAGCACAACGTAACCGGATTCTTAACTTTCGAACTACGGACATATTATTGGGCCTTTGGGCCCATATCTAATTTTGAATTTTCAATAGAGCGACAGTGGGAAGATAAATGCTGTATAGTACTAAGCTAAGCTTTTCAAATTCCGTTTCGTGATGGAAAATAGAAAAAGAAAATTCAAAAACGGAGGAAATATCTCTAGGAAGATGGCGGGATCTCTAACAGCATCAACCCACCAGCAGCACCACCGAGGAAACGCGGAGGCTTCAGAAATTTCCCGATGGGTGATCGGCTTTGCTCGTTTCGTTCCGTATCCCTCTGTTCCCTCTCCGTATCCAGGACTGGTTCATCTCGGGAAAAGAGAGCTGAAGCCGTCGCCCGATGGGACGTGGTTGTCGACGTCTTCTTCGACGGTGTCTCTCCAGTTGGCGGACGATGTTAACAGATCCGATGTGATTCTCTCCGTCGACCTCGGCGGTGTCGTCCTTGTGAGTTGATTTTCCCCCTCTCTCTAAATCGGATTCGCTACTCCTGGTATTTGCTGAGATTGGTGTTCGCGATGGTTTTAAGCTTAATCGGATTCGTAAATCGGGATCTATCCATGCTTGATTATAGTGCTATGGACTAATTTGACTTCCCTGGGCTTTGATTGTTCTTCGAATGTTGGGGAATTCTCGAATTCTACAGGAAGAACACTACATTTCAAAGCTGAATTTCTCATGGCCTCAGATGTCGTGCGTTTCTGGGTTTCCACCTCGCGGTAGCCGAGCGATTTTCGTTAGCTATACGGATTCTGAAAACGAGGTAACATCCTAACACTCGAATCTCTTTTGGATTTTCCCGGAATAAATGGATATTCAGAAAATAGTGTAGGCCTAAGAAGGATTTGATAGATGTTTATGAGCTAGATCACCGAAATCGTATCGTTTAATGTGGTGGTTGTTCTTCTCCAGATTCAAAAATTCGCTTTAAGGTTTTCCACATGTGATGCAGCTGTGACCTTTGTGGCAGCTCTTAAGGTTAGCCATTAAAAGCTGAATTTCTCATGGCCTCAGATGTCGTGCGTTTCTGGGTTTCCACCTCGCGGTAGCCGAGCGATTTTCGTTAGCTATACGGATTCTGAAAACGAGGTAACATCCTAACACTCGAATCTCTTTTGGATTTTCCCGGAATAAATGGATATTCAGAAAATAGTGTAGGCCTAAGAAGGATTTGATAGATGTTTATGAGCTAGATCACCGAAATCGTATCGTTTAATGTGGTGGTTGTTCTTCTCCAGATTCAAAAATTCGCTTTAAGGTTTTCCACATGTGATGCAGCTGTGACCTTTGTGGCAGCTCTTAAGGTTAGCCATTACTGCAAACTTCCATACATTTTGATCAGATATATGTCGATATTCCTGCTTATGAGCTATTTTCTTCGAATCAGATCCAATGATTCCTGTTTTATTGTTCTATTTGCAGGAGAAACTCAAAGGTTCAGAGGAAGCTGGGAACCAGAAAAGTGATACTAGGTCCGAGATTTCATTCCAGTCAAATGAAATTGTCTGCAGGTTAGATCAACATTACAGTGTTGTGAATATGTGCAAGTGCTTTAACCAAGCCAACAATTTTAGATATGGTAATCCTTTTTGCAGAGCCACTGAGGAAGAGCCAAACATGGTAAGGACTCTTGAGTAGCTATGCTCCTGAAATGCTACCAAGGCTTGAGTATCAAACTGGTCAAACTTTATACACACCACAACCCGCCACTGAGGAAGAGCGAAACATTGTTCAACCTCTTGATTGTTATGTTCCTGAGATGCTGCCAAGGCTTGAGTATCAAACTGGACAGACCTTATACTCACCACAGTCAGCGATTAGTCAAATCTCTAACGAGAGTTCCATTAACCTCCCTCCGAGCTTCACCACCTTACTCTCTGGTTGCTACCCCAACTCCACTCTAGGTAACATTCATATTGATCTTGCTTGTTCTAGTTTTGTGATGTATAACTACTTTCATAGATTTTAACAAGTTTCCTTCCCATGAAGCCAATGCAGGACAAACAACTATAAAGCAGGATCCTGATCTAAAGTCACAGATACTGGTACAGCATTAACAAAAACTCTTTCAACACAAGAACATACAAGTTCCAAATGATTTCTAATGCTTTTGGTATTCCACTTTTTGTTTTGGCAGAAGTACATGGAAGATTCTGCATTTCAAGGTGAGCTTTCTCTCCAATCCTCTCACAGACAGACCATTTGTTAGACTCAAACTATACATTGCTTCAGCCTCACTTGATAGATTTCAAAAATCTACATCTATGTAACAATTTGTTTCCTCATTTATCCAGATATGCTGCAGAAAGTAGAGAGAATTATGGACGAAATCGGAGGTAACTGGATCCTCTGAGTTTCATCATCCCTTATATATACTATCTCAGTCTAATTCCAGTTCCAGTCTTTTGTTCATTGATTCAGCATATATTGTTTGTTCTGAACACATATTCGACATTGTTATTTTCTGTTTTGGAATAGTGGCTGAACCATCATGTTAGTAAATTTGTTCAATCTGTATTGAAAAGTTACATATATGTGTTATCTTAAACCTATCCTTACAGTTGGAGAAGAAAGGATTCACAAATCCTAATCTTCAAATTTTCACATTATCTCAAACACAACGTAACAAATTAACAATATATCCATATCCATCAGAAAATCTAATAAAAGAGCAATCAACTCAAAGGTTGACAATATCTGTTTTTACCGCAATACTCAAAAGTCACAGTTGGCGAACAAATGATTCCGATGGCTCCACTTTATGGAATTTAAAATTACATAATTTGAATGGGGTCTGTTGGGCAAAAATAAAAAGTTTGTACTATGTGTTTAATTTTGACTCTACCCTAAGTAATAGTCTAATGAATACAATCAGAGAGAAAAGGAAAAAGGAATTCAATCATAATGTTTTCGAATTTTTTGGAAAGCTTATACGAGGGGATCGGAGACGATGACGCCGACGACGACGACAACCGCCACACCCCGAAACCTTCAACGGAAAGACAAAATTCTGAGAGAAACGCGGATCGTTTGTCTTCGATGTCACCGGAAGAGGAGGCTCAAGCGCGTGGGGTTAAAGATGACCTGACGGAATTCGGCCATAGCCTCAGCCGTCAATTTCGGGGCGTGGCTAACTTTCTCGCTCCACTAACGGATGGATCTCCCTCCGATCTGTCGAATCCGAGATTGAAGCGATCGCAGTCTTCAGATCCCGGTTTGAATCAAACGCGGTCTTCGGATCCCAGGCTCAATCAATCGCGGTCTTCGAATCCCAGACACAATCAATCGCGCTCTGAATCGTTTGCCGGAAGTGATACGCCGGAGACCGGAATTAGTTTTAGGAGCTGGAATTCGGATTCCGTGGCTTCGGGAGAGAAAGGGGTAGAAAATGTGTCCAATGATGTGGAGGAGGAGGGAGAAGAAGAAGAAGAAGAAGAGGAAACGGATGAAGAGGAAGAAATCGATGCGGTAGCTCTTACGGACGAAGTGCTTGCGTTTGCGAGGAACATAGCAATGCATCCAGAAACTTGGTTGGATTTTCCTCTCGATCCGGACGAAGATCTTGATGGTAACGTTTCATTTGAGTCATTTTTAATTGGTGAATAAGATCAAGTCAAGTTTTGGCCTGTAGTCTTCATCGATTGACTTATGCATATCAAAGATTTTGAAAATGTCTGGTTTTTTCATATAAAAAATGTAGATTTGGAAATGTCTGATGCTCAAAGAGGCCATGCTTTAGCTATAGAACGTCTTGCTCCGAGGTTAGGTGCACTGAGAATAGAGCTTTGTCCATGCCATATGACTGTTGGTTACTTCTGGAAAGTCTATTTTGTTCTTCTCCATTCAAGGCTCAATAAACACGATGCTCAGCTTTTGTCTTCGCCACAGGTAAACCTCTCAATCTTCATGATTGCACACAAACGAAAACGATTGTTGTTATGTTACTCAGCGAAACCCCATTTTGGTTTGCAGGTGATGGAAGCAAGAGCATTGTGGATGAAGGAGCTTCATAATCAAAACCATCCCTCAAAAGAAGGTAGAGATATTCTCGAGGATGACATTACAACACCGTCAACTTCAAAGTACTTTCACCATGCTCCTCCTGAGTTTCTTTCTCCGAGAATATATGCCTTTGAACCTCCTTCAATCATTTATCGCGATTTTGAAACGGAAAATCGTGTGTCTGATAACACGCACTTCATCGATAAAGCTGTTATTGAGGAAAAAACAATCCAGAAGAATGACACAAAGAGTGCAAGCCTTAGCCAAATTCCTAAAGAAGATGATGATGATGATTGGCCAGAGGAAGAAGATTCTGCTAATTCGTGGTCGCCAATGTTCACAGTGAATGAGGATGATGTTTCTTTCAGTGATCTCGAAGGAGACGATGATATAAGTAGCTTAGCACTCAAGTCTAAGATTACATCAAAGGGCACAGACAAAAAAGGAACATGAAACATCATCTGGAGTCATAATGAAGCTGGATTGTTGCTTTGCCCTGCCTCGAGATCGAATCAACAGAACTGAACATAAGGATTTGTGCCGAGTCAAAGCGTGAAGTCTGAGTTTTGGGGTGAGTTTTGATTGTTTGTCAAAGAAGAAGGTTTTGAAACTTGTACAGAAGATTGATTACTTTTGATCACTTCAATTTCATTGTATTGCTCTCTCTCGCCAATGTAATGGAATATTGGAAAGCACCAAGCGATAAACTAGGTGAAAATGTGTTAAATATATGATCATAGTGCTTAATTACATCTCAAATTGTGTCAAAGATCTTAGTTGCATTTTTTGACATTGTACATACAAATCAAGGAAAATCAAAGTAAGACTGCAAACACGATGCCGTTTCGGTGTTGTAAAATGTTTTTGCCAATAGAGTAATGCGAAGCTCTTTTACTACCATCGGTTTTTAATTTATGTCTATTATGAATCCACCCACGAACCAGAACGAAATCGTCAGATCGTGAATAAGACTTTATTGACGACACTCAAGCTACAGATGATCTTAGCTCATTCCTCTCTCTGACGTTGCTCTTCTTCTCCGGTGAAGCATAAAATTCTTCAGATCTCGTGGATTAATCCGTCTGTTTGATCGGATCTGATTCGGAATCCTTGAGAAACAGGGAGGAAGAAGAAACATGGCAGGGGCGGCCTCCGCGCTGTTTCTGCTCGATATCAAGGGCCGTGTTCTAGTGTGGCGCGATTACCGTGGAGATGTCACAGCTGCTCAAGCCGAGCGTTTCTTCACCAAACTCATCGAGAAAGAGGTTTCTCTGCGATTTCTCAATCTGATCTTTATTCCTAGATGTGCGATTCGGTGTTTATTTTGGTGGAACTTATTCTGTTTTCAATGCTTGATTTGAAGTGGAATAATAATTCACTAATTCGATGCACTGAACGGAAAATCATTCTACCGTTATTAATTTCAATCTCTGAGAGATTCGACAATAGAATTTGGGAACAAGCAACACGCATTTTGAAGTTGCAATTTTGTTTGTTTCCTCGTGACTTGCAAAATAAAATTCTACGATAGTGATGACTTGGTATCTGTATCCACGATCTGATGTCCTTTTGAGATTCTCGTGATTTGCAAAACTGAAGTTTGAACATTTGGAACTGATGGATTAGCTTGATCAGTGGATTAGGACTTACATATGAGTATATTTTCTTTGTGGGTTTGCTTATTTTTTTTCTAAATCTTTCAGGGCGATTCACAGTCAAATGATCCGGTTGCTTACGATAATGGAGTGACCTACATGTTTGTACAGCATAGTAACATTTACCTGATGATAGCGTCCAGACAGAACTGTAATGCTGCCAGTCTTCTCTTCTTCTTGCATCGTGTAGTCGATGTAAGCATCCTTAGTGATTCACTTTTTGCAACTCTATCGTTTTCCCAGTTTCTATGAATAGAAACCATAATACTGATCATTTACGTGTTTATTTTACTGACTGTAGGTCTTCAAGCATTACTTTGAGGAGTTAGAGGAGGAATCTTTGAGGGATAACTTTGTGGTAGTGGTATGTTAATGCTTCTCCCATCAGTCTTATAACAATTCTTTAATGCTAGATGTTTTTATTTCTTTTGCATGAGCTGTGGATTTATGTGGGTGTAAAAACATTCTAATGGTAGATGCTGAAATTGACTTTTGTTTCTGGCAGTATGAGTTACTTGACGAGATGATGGACTTTGGTTACCCTCAGTATACCGAAGCAAGGATCCTTAGTGAATTCATTAAGACCGATGCCTACAGAATGGAAGTTACACAGAGACCTCCAATGGCTGTCACTAATGCTGTCTCGTGGAGGAGTGAGGGGTTACAGTTTAAGAAAAACGAAGTAGGTGCTTAGTTTACAAGCAGCAGGGAACATTTCTATTATCTGTATTGCTTAGGTTTCCGAATGTGTTGAACAGACTGCCTTTTATTTTCCAGGTTTTCTTGGATGTAATAGAGAGTGTAAATATCCTTGTCAACAGTAATGGGCAAATTGTGAGGTCTGATGTCGTTGGAGCATTGAAGATGCGAACATACTTGAGGTGCGTTGTCTTGTGTACCTAATCAACCAAAGCATGTTAGATCAAAAGTTTATCCTCTTTGACTCTCTGCTGCTAAATCCATGTTATTACAGTGGAATGCCAGAGTGTAAGTTAGGCCTGAATGATAGAGTACTGTTGGAGGCACAGGGACGGGCAACAAAAGGGAAAGCCATTGATTTGGAGGACATCAAATTTCATCAGTACGTTATTCTCTTCCAACTCTGAGCATTCTCTGACAATCACTTATCCAGACCACTTCTTCAGTACTTGAATTTTACAGTCTTTTTCTTCAAAATGTAGGTGTGTTCGATTGGCTCGTTTTGAAAACGATAGGACGATATCTTTCATACCACCTGATGGAGCTTTTGATCTAATGACATATAGACTCAGTACCCAGGTGTGAAATGTGGAATTTTGCACGGATGGTTTTTATCCCTTCTTATACGAATTAAATCTCATGAAATTTCATTTTCTGTACATAATACTTGTTCAGGTAAAGCCTCTTATATGGGTGGAAGCTCAGATAGAGAGGCATTCCAGAAGTCGTGTTGAGATGCTTGTAAAAGCTAGAAGCCAGTTCAAGGAAAGAAGGTAATACTCCTTTGTGTGACTTGCTTAATTATACTCTTTACCATTACTTAAAATCCTTTCAAAAGGTTACAATAAGATTTCCTTTTTTGCAGCACTGCAACAAATGTTGAAATCGAATTGCCTGTACCAACTGATGCATCCAACCCCACCGTAAGAACATCACTCGGGTCTGCCGCATATGCTCCTGAAAAAGATGCACTGGTCTGGAAAATCAAATCTTTCCCTGGGAACAAGGTAAGTGCTTATAGCTTAATGTAACGCTTGAGTCTTGGCCATACAAAGCTGAATGCTTACATTAGAGTTCTGAAACAATGTAGGAGTATATGTTGAGAGCAGAGTTCCACCTTCCGAGTATAACTGCAGAGGAAGCAACGCCTGAGCGAAAAGCTCCAATCCGTGTCAAATTCGAGATCCCTTACTTCACGGTTTCAGGAATACAGGTCAGAATTCCCAACATTGATCAACTTCTTTTTATCATATGGTTCAATATTCTACACTTAATATCTGAAGGAAAAATCATAAAGTTGAAGAATCCTGATGTGTGTTACTTATGTTGGTAATGCAGGTTCGATACCTGAAGATCATTGAGAAGAGTGGGTACCAAGCTCTTCCATGGGTGAGATATATAACCATGGCTGGTGAGTATGAACTCAGGCTCATGTAACATGGGATCTTTTTATTTTGTCTTTATTTAAGCTACTGCCAACGAAACAAACCAGAGGAAGATCGACGATGAAAAGGAAAAAAGTTCTAAATATTTTAGCTAATGAAATTTGTGGTGAAGGTTGTTTTAGAAGCCATATTCTTGTGAATTGTTTCATGGTGTTCTCTTCTTCTTCTTCTTTACTTTTCTGTAAGCTCTTTTACGACACTTTAATATTTGTTACAATTGTTGTTTAAACATGGAGTTTTTTTGGATCCTCGTTGTTCGTTTAACTACATGTATGATTGAACACGAAAGAAAACAACCGGTACTTTGGGTCTATACGACGAATGACATGCAGTTTTGCTACCCTCTTCCTTATATTCTGGAAATGTGTACTGATTATTTTAGCTTTTTTGTGTTTCTGTTAGTAGTATCATCACATTCACATCAATGGCTAAAAAAAGAGAGTTTTATATAAAATGCTATCTGAAGTTTTTTTTATATAAAATGCTATCTGAAGTTCCGAATCAGAAAATCGTTTTCTTTATGGGGATAGTGACGTATATGTCATTGTATTCATTTGACACGACTAAGATACGGTAGATAGAATCTGACTTGTATCCTTCCTACCTATAATGCGATTTATTAGATTAGACAGTACACCAACATGGACAAAAGTATAACAAATACATTATATAACTTTTTAAGTGAAAGGAGGATGTTTATAGTACAACAAATCAAGAGAGAATCAGAAGAACATATGAATTACCCCTGTATTAATAAATAGCCTACAAAAATAAGCGCCCAACCCTAAACATTTGAAAAAGAAAAAAAATGATCAAAATGTACAATGCTCTGCTTGTTTTGGGGGTTATCACTTATCAGCGAGGAGAACGAGGAGAAGGAGATTGGTTGGGGAGAGTCTGAGGAATCTTCCTAAAAACATGTTTCCTGCAACGTTGGAAGATACTGTCGTATATTAGATCAAACTGTACTCCTGCTCTCTCCCGATTCACTATGAACGTTATGTGATCTGCTTCGACTATCTTATAATACCTGCAACACCAACAACAACAACAAAGAACCATTTTCAGTTTCCACTCTATGAAAGTTGTTCAAATATGAGCCTCATTGATTTCACTCACCAGATCCCTGGCTGTAACGTTTGACACTCCGAATCACTCGTTATAAACTGGCTCGGATGCTCCACCGGTAGCCTCGGATGCGTCATTGATATCGTGTTCAATGCCCCATCATTCTCTTGCCATTCATCATCCCTTCATTTAGATCAATGCAGTGTTTACACGGAGCTTCAAGAATGAATGTTATTAAAGTTTAAATCTTTTTAAGTGTGTGTGTGTTAACCTGTAGCCTTTATAGGGAGGAGATACATCTTGAGGGAACCGCCATTGGCTCATCTGAAAGACGCGGAGGAAGAGCATCGGGTGGATACCAAGAACACCTGAAGGGATTGTCATGCCCATGATTCTGCGTGTGCGTTTAGTCGCGTAGCTGAAGTAGAAAGTGCTTGGGAACGTCTGGAGATTGGAGTTGAGACTTGTGGAGCCTTGGATCGTTAGATCAGGTAAGATCCAATCCCCTGTAGCAAAAGGACCTGTGTTCCCCATCAGGCAATCAACCAGACCTCTCACTCCGGTTTTCTTCCAAGAAATGTTGAAATGGTCGAACCCGAAGTTGTAATAAGCCTTTAGCCATGAAATGTCCATCCAGTCATACATTATCACGCCTATACGACATAGCTGCAACAGACATATCGGTTTCATGCTTATTCCATCGTCTGTCCTGTATTAGCAAACAGTAAAATGAGAACAAAATCTTGTTGGTTCTAAGATCCATTAAATACCCAAAACTAACCTCATGCCATCTAAGTAAGTCCTTGTAGTACCATTGAATGCTCCGGACAAAGATGTCACACTTAGAACCCAATTCTCATTAGTTTCTTCAAATCCTTCAAATGCCTAAAACATCACAAGGTTTTGAGACATATATGTGAGCATCATTCATCAAACAAAAAGAGATTTTGAACGAGAAGAAGGATGCAAACTCAAACCTTATCTGCAAGCATTTGCTGCAACACACGAACAACTTGCGCTCCTGCTGAATGCCCCACAAAATGAATTGGATGATCCTCATCCCATTCAGGGTATTCCCCTAAACACACACACACCAAAGTCAGATTTGGATACATTATTGGTCTTTCCAATGAGAAGTTTCAGATCAAAAGCTAACCTTTTCCGTAATCTCTTCCAAACCGAGAATGTCCACAAGCCTCACTATGCTCTTCACCGAAATCAACTCTCCCTCCTTTTAAGTAATAGAACAATTCCCTTGCCCTGTCAACCATTCTTATCATTAGCACAATAGATCAAAATGTGCATCAAAATCTCAAACTGGTTTTGTTGAATCCAATACCTATCATAGATGCTTGTTAAGGATCCCAAATCAGGAACAAGAACCCTCTCATCTTTCTTCTCAGCACCACCAAAGTATGATAAGCCTCCTAATCTCTGATCAATCAATGGTGATAACAAAACAATTAATATCATCCAAACCTCAAAATCAAAACCAGAATCTGATTAATAAACAGGAAAAATAAAAACCAAATTTTGAGTTTTGCTTCTTTACCCCTTTGCCAAATCCAAAGATGCCATGAACCAATACAATTGGATGAAGACCCTCAACATTGCTTTGATTTTGATCGGTTTCGTTGATATCGGCATTGGACTTGAACAAGTAATCATTCAGTTTCTGAGAGATATCTCCGGCGACGGCAGAGCTGAATATATAAAACCCATATAGCAAATGCACCAAAGAGCTCACGAACAGCTCAGCGAGTTGGAGACAAGTCACCATCCACAACTTTATCATTTTCTTCATCTTCATCTTCTTCTTCCCTCCAGATAAAAAATTAAACCAGAAGACCCGGAGAAGCCAAAATCGAGAAGAAAAAGGAATCTCTTTTATCCTTTAAAATGAGATAATCAAAACTCCCCGGAACAGGGGAGAAACAGAGAAAAGAGAGACCCTCGTGAGCCTTCTTTCAAAAGAACATTAAAGGATGCTCCTTTGGCGAAAACCCAGCAGAATGAGAGAAAAAGGTTTGAAATTTCCCGAGAAAGTGGCGTCGTCTCTCTCTCTTATTATCCAAGTTTCTGTAAAATTTTGTGTGACATCCACTTGTACCTGCCCACCTCTCACCAAACAACTATTTTTTAATAATACAAAAACTTAAAAAAGATTAATTTCAAAATTACAAACTTTTTAGCTCAATCACGCCATGTGTATGAGTCCTGACCTCTCTTATACATTCCGAGTTTCCGCAATATTCTAATTTCAATGCCCACTAAATGTTTTGGGGATATAAAACAACTTCGATTATTATTTTGTTTTTGGTGAATTGTGATTGGTTAAGAGAAACGGCGAAGTTCGCTGGATCGGCGCTGGAAGGGTGGTGGTTCATGATTCTGAACTGTGTCTTCTGCTTCTCTGTAACCTTATCCGTTTAATCATACTTACAACGTACTTTCCGCTTAAGCAGTAATTTAGTTTGAGTTTTAACTTTTAAGTTGTTGAATGTAAATGAACACGCTCCTGTCTACATAATTAATCTCTTAAATAAATGGAAAAAAAAAATAATAAAGGGTGAGCAAATTATCACATTTGATCCCATATCCAGAAGTTTAAGTATGGAAATAAATTACAGGGATGTTAAATGTAAATTTTGATTTGTTTTAGAGTAGTATTCATTTTTTTTAATAACGATATAGTAAAACAAAATCTAATAAATATATGGTTTTAAAGTAGTACTCAAAGTAAAATAAAATCTAGTAAATATATGGTTTTAAAGTATATGGTATTCAAAGTAAAAACATAATCTAAGAAAGATGGTTGTAATACGGTTTTGATTTGGATTACCTGATTTTAGATAAAAAAAAAAAAAAAATCTTCTACGTTTTCGGTGTCGTACGTAAGGTGTAAAAGCTTTTAATAGAGAAACGTAGCCTCGTATGGAGGTCAAGTATAATCTGAACTCTGTCGGCGGAAGATGAGATTTTGTTGTGTATTGAGTGAATTGATTGAGGAACTAAATGCACATGGCTTGCAGGTTCTTTTCGAAAGCAATATTCGCAAACCTTTTTTAGTTGTTCCACTGGCAAGAAATGATATTTGGTAATATCCAAAACTTTAGTTTCCTTTTTTGGCAAGAAACAACTATCGTGCAAGAAAGTTATGAGATTCAGAATAACGTGATGCAAACGTGGACTATACCACTTGATATTAAATTTCTTCTGCTTCTTCTAACATGAGAATGAGATACTGTGCAATACCGGTGATCGAAGAGCATTAAATTTTAGTTTTGTGGATTCCACTACACTGCCTATGGATGTGTTCAGTTCCATCATCTCCAATTCCCAAGAGCGAAATAGAAAAACGTGAACCCTTAAATGGGTCTCAATAAAATACGGAGAAGTATCCTAGTGGCTAGCTATAACCATACGATTCATATTCATTGAAATTGGTCTTGAACTTGAGCTCAACTAACAAGCAAAAATCAGTTACACTGTACTACGTAATTAGTTAATCTAATATTGATATTCCCATGTAAACATTATTTGGAAAATCCAGAGTTGTTGACTAGACTAATTGGCAAGTAATAAGGAAAGTTAATCCTGAAAGTCAAACTAAAGATTTATTACTTTTGACTCTCTGATTATAGGAACCCAAAAATTGGATCATCTACTATGGATTACCATCCCTACTAACTTAACAGTCAGCATGACATAGACGTAATTTTCAACAAATTTAGGGCTAAACAATAAAAAAAAATCTCAATTAATATACAATTATCTATACTTTCTTATACTGAATATCTTAATATGAAGTATGTAATTATCTAGAAGACTAGAAGTGTTGAAGGTGTTTGGGTTGAACTCTAAAATCTTTCTATAGGAAACTCTAAAAAATGGGAATAATTTTGGGGTGCGGTGCAAATGGTGGAGCATATGAAGAATAGTTGGATTATTGACTAATTAAAACATGAACCATAAAAGTCGATTTATAATATCTAATAATGAATTATTGCTTAATAGAGATATGGCAAGATTGACCGGAATATCTCGAATTGTTGTCTTTAATTCCTATAGTTCTTTATACGATATATATTCTCTGCAAACTACGCACTCAATAAGACAACAAACATCAGTATACGGTCCTTTTGAGATATCCAAACCATGAAATCATCACATATAGCTCTGATCTGCATAGCATTGCTTTCCCTCTTCGATCTGCATGAGTGTACGTACAAGTTTTTCTCACGTACATTTACATATGCACATATATCAATATATCTGTTGTTTTTTCATCGTCAAAGTATGGTTTTTGTGTTTCAAATCGTTTGCGTAGGTGGGAAGATGGAAGTTGGAGAGATGGAGAGATCCAAGTACAATCTCAATGTAGCAACGTGTTACCATGGCCCGTGCCATGCTTTGGTACCTAATTGTTGGTGTTGCGAACATTTACATCACTGTTGGTCAGGAAAGAATGGTCAAAGCTATTGCAACGACCAATGCAAACTAACGTCCTCCTTGAAATTAAGCCGCTTGTAATACGACTATTTTACTGAATATTTTGTTTAATAAAAAAAACTGCCCGACGAACAGACGTCTTTAAAATTATAAACTACTTCGGATTATTAAAGTAATTGAAAAATATTAGTGATGATACTTTACCTCTTTAAGATGAAACGAGATATGGCACAATATATGTAAGAATTGTTTTAAATTTAATATTATACATCTATATATACATAAAAATCAATCAAACAACAATATTTGTTAATGAATTGCTTATGATTTACTACCAAAATAATATTAGTGACAGTATATATACTTTACCTCTTTAAGGCGAAATGAGATATGTAAGAATAGTTTCCAATTTAATATTACAATACATATATATTTCTATACATAAAAATCAATCAATGATATTTGTTAATGAATTGCTTATTATTGACTAATTAAGAAATATTAGGGACAATACCTCTCTTTAAGGGGGAAATGAGATACGCATGGCACAATATATTTAAGAATATATTTGAATTTATATATATATATATATATATATATATATATATATATACATGACAATAAAACATACATCACATACTATATTGAAATAAGATAACTGAACAAGAGAAACCCATCATAAGATCGTTTGAGACGAACAAAATATGATTTCACGTGCTTTCATATGCATATTTCTGCTTTCTCTCTTTGCTCTGCATCAATGTATGTGTAGGTTTCTTCTTCACATATAGTATAACAACGGTCTTTTTGTTTTTGTCATTATCAATGTTTGGTTAATGATATGATGTGCGGTTTCAAATGTGCAGGCAGGCAGATGGATGATGTTAGAGAAAGTGAGAGTTCGAGCAAGTTCTTCATGCCAGTTTGTATCCATGTCCGATATTTCGTAAAAATACCTCGTTGGTGCTGTCAGACAGCATTAAATATTTGTTGGGATAACCAACAAGATTGCAATTCCAGTCCCCTTTGTCCTCCTCTAAAACCTCCTACCAAGGTTTAATTTTATAGAAAACTAATGAACCGGTATGACAATTCCTATTTTATAATATTACTAGATTAAGCCCCGCGTATACGCGGGTTTATTTTAATATAATTGAAATAAATCATAGGAAAATACTAAACAAAAATCTGGTCACTTTTAAAAATAAGTAGAATAATATTCAAAAGATTATTTTGATTATTATAATTATAATATTTAATTATAATTGATTATTCTAATTTAAAAGATTTCGATTGATGAAATCTTTTTCATAATATTGTTTTACCTACCAAAAAATAGAAAATTAATCTATTTAGATATATCTTATTATGTTATAATTATTTTGTTAATTTTCTATTTATCATAATTTTTTGTTCAATTTTGTTTTGCCTCAGACCATTATAAATTTTCTTATTCATAATTAGTTAGTTGTTTTAAAATTATTTTGTTAGTTTTTTTATTTATCTTATTACATTTTTCTAATTTTCTTTTGTTAACACATGTTATCACATGATCATATATTAGAAAAAATTTGCGACAAAATTTTCAATTTCTACCCAACTTATCTAAAGTTAAATATTTTCATTGATATCTTGAACTTTAAAGTACATGATTTTTATTTTGTAATAAAAGAGAAAGTTTAAACAAAAGATAGAATCACAGATATAAATCATGAAAGCTATAACTTATTATATATTGTTTTTTTTTCTTTTCTTAATGGGAATATGTTTTTTCTCCTTTTCTTAACGATGTAACATTTTTTCTTTTATTATTTGTTTCATGTTTTTCTGAATATCGATTATTTTTCCTTTTCGTATTGGGAGTATGTTTTTTTCCTTTTCTTGATGGATATAACATTTTTTAAAAAAATTGCTATTTGTTTCCTATTTTTTTCTTGAATTGTGTTTTCCTATTTTTAAAAAATGTAAAAATTTAATGTTATCTATTTATAATTATATATATATATTTAATGTTATATGTTAAAATTTCTTTTTTTTAATTTTCGTTTTTCTAATATTTAAGTAAAATAAATAAAAATTTTTTTTTAAAAATACGTGTCACGATCTTAACGGTCTTAACATTAAAAGTGACACATGTCACGATCCTATAATTTATAAAAATCCTACGTGTCGCAACCACGTCGCGCGCATCCAACTTTATATAATAAGATTCTATTTTTTATTCACAACACCAATTTAAGAACGATATATATACAACTTTATGTTTATATATTGTATTCGCTAGTATTATACTACTATTTAATACATATTCTATATTTTTGTTCCTGTTACGAACATTTACTCTACCAAAATCATGTCCAATATTTTTGCAATAAAAACTAGAGACTACAAGATGGGAAACATGAACAGAATGCGTATAATAATGGATATAAAAGGGAAATCAACCGAAATATTTCGAAATTGACCGAAGGCTCAATGATCGTGATCGAACAAAACTATATATTTATCGTACGCAAATACTGTTTTAGACTTTTAGCTAGTGTAAGCTTCTCTATTTCCTATATATATACACGTATTGGTTAAGCCTTGGATTTACAACAATTTTTAAAAGATAACTAAAAAAGCACATTAACGTATCCTTTAAGATTCTCAAACCATGAATTCATCACACGCATCTCTCATCTGCATTCTCTTGCTCTCTCTTTTTGCTCTCCATCAATGTATGTATAATCTGTCTCATGTGATATCTATTTTATATATTTTTAATTAAGATATTCTCTTTGTTTTAGAATCATCAAAGTTGGGTTTTTGCGTGTTTCAAACTAATGTGTAGGTGTGAGGATCAATAGATCGAAGAAAATAGAGATATCTAAGACAACATGCGTCCTTAGCGATTGCGGCCAGGCTGCTTTTCCAGGAGACTGTTATTGTTGCCCTAACACGCCTCTTTGCTATGGAGACCCACAATTTTGCAACACCTATTGTTCTACTCAAAACTAAAACCTTTTATCTAATATAAACTGATGATGATGTACGTAACACATCTCTTAATGGCACTCACATTCTGATTTATAAAGAAAGATAGAAAGAATTGTTGTCGATATAATTCTACGTTTCCTCCAATATACTTTTTTGACATTTACACATAAATGAACATAATCAAAACCATAAAAAATTGTTGAATGCAACCCTTGTAACCAGAGATATAACCTAAAAACACCATTTAAATTTTCACTTTTTTCACGAATATTGTAAATTCCTAAACCCTAATTATTTTTTTTATTTTTTTCAGGGGCATTTAGGATTTTTTCCTGGTCCTCCGTAGTAAAAATAATTCCCCCAAGCACGATTAGAGCCGCCTTGAATATCGTAACAGTTTGGATGATCCGCAAGTACTTTGAGGTTTGGAGAAGGGACCAAATTGTTATCCCAGTCAACTACTTGGATGTTTCTGAAATAAGAAGATTTTGTGAACCCTTGTTCTGCAAAATGTCCACTCCCCATTTGTGTCGAAGTGTGGGCTCCAAATGGACTCGAATTTACGACTTCACCACCATATTGGACCATGCTCGCGTGCTCCCTCAGGTGCGTGAACAAGAACGATGGCCAATACCCGACTAGAACGCCCGACCCGAATTCGAGCCACCAATTTCCATGTTTCGGATCCTGAAATTATTTTCACAACTAATTAAACACACATAAATTTAGAAAAATGTATGCCTTTAATTATGACCATGTGAGGCTACACAAAAAAATAGTGCTATTAATTTGATAACTCATGACCCATGCTCCTAGCATTGCTTTGAGAGTTGGTATGTTTAGCTATTTGGGGACAAATGTATCAAAGAAATGAAAAAGAGGAATAACTTGGAACAAAAGTAAAGAGTCTGTAATAAGTGGTATGATACTCAAGTATACCTCCCTTTTTTGCTCTAGAAAATGATAAAAAGAGAAAAGAAAGAGCATCTCCTAAATTAAAGCATGCAATAGACTGTTTTTTTTTATAAAAAAAAAAGGTATGCTATTCAAAGATCAACAAATGAACGAATATTGTAATCAAAGCGTGTAGTGTTTCAATTGTACCTTCCAAATAAGCAGAGTAACATCAAACTGACCACCCTTGTATGAAGACGAGGGAGAGATTGCAGCACCAATCGCAATCTGATTGTTGGTTTGCACAAAACCGGAACACAAGAGATTGTAGCATCCTGTTGCTTGATATGCATCGTTCTGTCTCCAAAGCATAAGAGCTAATTAGTTGTAGAATTAAAACTAGTATATACAATACAAATACAAAAGGCATATCATGTATAATATGTGTTTATTTGGCTTAGCAATGGAGTTACTTACGGTCCAGTAAGTAAAGAATCTTGGGTAATTGTCTCCATATAGCTCCGGACTCACCTAATGGTAGATAAGTTATCCACAATTAGCAATTGACAACTTGAAACTTAACCTATTGGTCTATTATTAGCATGATATTTGGAAAAAAAATAGTAATTACCTGCCAACCAGCTTCAATGGTGTTGAGGTCATTACCAAAGGAACCAGAGATGATCCAAATCTGAGATAAACTAAACTCGTATTGGCTCTGCACCTTTGGGGCCCACACATTGATGCTTGCTTTTGCTCCATAGTATTTCTCTCCGCTCACGTATCCCACCGCGTGCTATTAAACAAGTCATTACCGCAAATCAACCACATTAGTGATCATTAACTAGAGTAATCTGTCAATAACTAAACTAAAACGATTATAGTAGAAGCTTGGCAGAGCTTTAACTTTGTGAGAGTTTGTGTTTCCCAAAATCTTGATAACTAAAGGGTTTTACTAAAATTTAAATTACGGGACTATTATCTGGAAAAGGATAAATTTGCTGACAGAATGTAGAAGAGGTTTAATCATTAATCAAAAGAAGTTTTTTTGTAGTGTAACACAACTCTCTCTCATCTTTCTTTCTTTATTTGTTTTTTTTTACCGACAAGCTTGTCTATCTTTTTCTCCCCCTACATTTCTCAAAAGATGAAATTTCAAAGAATAACTAAAAATGAATTTGAAAACACTTGCCAATTTGTTTGACTACTTTTTTTTTTCTTATCTTCCAAAGATAGCAAGGAAATATAAATTCCATCGTTTTCAAAATCTTACATTTCCAAACCAAGAATTCGGATTTTTGAATTTATAAAAAAACCGGACCAATAACATTTTCTATAGAATTTGCTACTTATAGTTATAGCTAGTTGGACCAAAAATCTATCTAAAATTTAATTTTCTAGACAAAGATAAAAACATATGACTAATGTTCTTTGATTTTATAAAGACAACAAAGGAAAAAGAGAAAATCTTACTTCATGGCCATTGCTGCTGGTATCTCTCTTGAAATGTCTCAATTTCTTGCCAAAGCTAGAAACAGAGTTTGCTCTGAGAATGTCTTCTTCTTTTGTTCTTCTGATAGGGACTGTTCCTTCAGGACATGTCTCTCCCTCCATACTCCATAACTGGAAGCTCTTTGGTCTCAATCCTCTCCTCTTCTTATGCCCTCTTGGCCTCTCAGGGGGATCCTTCAGCAATTAAACTCATAGATTAATTGGTTTATCATTAACGGGTCTAATGACTTTGTAATTAAGACTAACACAGGTTTGTAAGTAAAAGTGTACCAGTGGCCTCTGTCCTCTTAATCTGGGATGATCAAATGCTGGTTGGTGGTGTGATACAACACAGTCTATGATGTCACCATCAGGGCTCTGCAACAATAAGGGGACCATTAAAGTCAGAAATCATAGGAAGATGAAGAAGAGTGTGATTTGTAATGACGAAAGAAGAGAAAAGCATGTGCGTGTTTCTTGAAACAGAGCATAAAGAGTCAGAAACAGAGTAAGAAGAGTGTTTGTTTTCTTGTGTAACAGAGGACAAAGAATCAAAAACAGAGTAAAAAGAGGTTTCTTTTGTTTTCTGAAACAGAGGAGGAAGAAGAAGATTAGCGTTTGATAAGTCTCACTTACATGAATAGTCTTGACGGAAGGTTTATTGATCTTCCTGAAATGTTGATTAATGGCTTTGAGCTTATTAAGCTCCTCGAGTGGCCGGAGGGTTTGGTTTCTAGGTGAGAGATTCTTGGTTTCAGACGACAAGACGGAGGAAGGATAAGAAGACAAGAGAAGAATAGAGAGGAGGAGAATGTTGGAGAAACAAGGACGAAACAAAAAGATCATATCTAAGAAGAAGCTTCCTCTTCTTCTCCCTCGTCTTCTTGCTCTTGTTCTCATTCTTGTTTCTTCTGAGAAAAACTCTGTTTCCGTTTGTCTCATTGTATTGCATCGATCGAAACGACGGCATTTAATGCCGTTTCTGGGTTTCCTCAACACGAACACAGCTCCCATCAAAACCCAAACAGTTTTCTTGATATAAAAGAATGAGTAAGTGAGCAAAAGAAGACAAAATCCCTTGAATTTTTAAATTCGTCTCAAGGTCTCTCACCATTCCCAAAGCTATTCAAGCTAAATGTATTCATCTCAAACCCAAATAAAGAAGCAAGAACAATCCTATTGTCTTCTTGGGGTCTTATCAAGAAAGAAAGGGAGAGAGAACAGAAAGAGAGAGAGAGAGTCTTGAAACAGGTTTATGGAATTGTGGTGTCTTAAAGTAATAGTCTCAGTGTGTATATGTGTTTTATTATGTTGGTGTTATAAGTACTTGGGTAGTGATGAAATCATTCATGCCTATGTTTCTTTGTTTTCTTTAACCTCTAAGAATATAAAGGAACAAAAATAAAATAAAAAGAAGACAAAATCATAAAAGCCCACTGACATAAAGTGACTAAGCAAAATCTAACTATAGTGCCTTTTTTGGCTGAAGAAAATGAGTATGTACACTTCCTCCTTAAATCACCTACTCCAAAGTATTTAGATCAGTATATAGAAGGTAGCTAAATGGCTACAAAATATTTAGCTGAAAGCTCTGAATGTCTCATGGTTAGTTAATGACAGAGCTTAATGGTGATAATTTTTTTTCCTTCTTCTAAACATTGCTATTTTAAATTTATGTATTTTGTTATAGGATTTTCTGGACTATGTAATTCAACTCTATATCCTTTTATCTGTCAAGATGTCAAGTTTTATGACAAGTAAAATAATAAGTGTAGATGGACCATACCCTAGTATTAGACCTTAGAATTGGTGCTATCTTTTTTTTTGTCACCGTAGTATTTTGTTTCGTAAATATTATAAAAACAAAATGAAAAAAAAAAAACACATCGTCGGTCTATATACTCCAAAAAATTGAAAATATTCAACTATAGTAATAAGTGAAATCAAATTGATAGAAGTTGGTCAAAAGATAAAAAAGTTGGGGGAGACTGGAGAGGAAGTGTTCCCAAGCAGCAATACAAAGCCTGAAACATTGTATGTTTTGTGTGTGTGTGTGTGTGAAAATATGTATATAGCCAAAAATAAAGGGAAGTCTTGTGTTGGCTATGTTCCTTGTGATAATGACAGTCAAATTATATGTTCTTCTTCTTGTTTTATCGTCTGTTAGTTTGTGTTCTCTATTTGTTTAATATTTTTTTTTTTTGTAGCTTTTAAGAGACAAATAGAGGAAATTGCTGATTTATTATTTTTGTGATGGTTGATTCCTGAAGTTCTCTTTTTCTCTTTGCTCTCTTCCCTATATGTTCCTTCTGTCAGCTACTCTCTCCTCTTTTTCTTTTATAAAACAAAATGTTTGAGAACACGCTACGGATAAATGAATAAATATATATGTGCCGACAAATAAATGAACTATCTTTTTTTTGTTAACTCAAATTGTGGCGTTGATGTAGCAAGGATACGTACGTTGCTAAATACATTTAAAGTCATATAACAGAGTTTAGCATGTACTAACCGTTATAAAAACAAATTTTAATGGCATTGACATGTATAGTTGTATTGTATACTATGAAACAGTAATTAATTAGCACGCGCGGCTGGGTGTTAGCAATGCATGCTCGAGTGCGTATGTTGGGGACCCATCTATGCATGCCATCCTTAATCTATTTTGCACCAATTATCCTTACTTATTCCTCTATTTGTGACTACTATTTTATATAAACAAATTCATCCGAATACTAGTAGAATTTACAAAATGACACGTATACAGTTTTGTGCTTCCTAATTTTGTTTGTATTGGTTTCCATCAACTACATGATACACAACCTTAGTTTATACATATATATATCTTCTAACATTGATGGACGTAATTATCCGCAATGGATAATATGTAACACATAAGATTACAGTAGATACTTAACCAACAAATATGTCAATATACACATGATGTTCCTAATCATGTACATGATAACAAGATTCAAGTCATACTAATCATTCGTATATTGCGTAAATTCAAAACCAACATTAATTATTAGCCTAGGTCATTAATTACCACATATTTATCTTGAATATCACAATTTAATTACCATAGGTCATATGTGTGTGCGCGCGTGTGGTTCTCACACAATTAGATGGCATTTATTGCATATTTGGATCATCTGGTCAGACTTGGTAGTGTGATCTCTATGCATTATTGCGATTTCTATAAAAACACACACACACATACACACACGGTTTTGAATTTTTGTGCTCAAAATGTCGATGTGCACTTCTTTTTACTGAACGATACTGAAATGGTGGTTGGCTTCAGAGAAGGCCACTCGTGAGATTCCGATACAAATATTAAGTTAGTACAAACCAAAACCAATACTATAAAAGTTAAAATACAAAAATAAAGCCAAAGAGGCTGGCGGATATCATTTGGCGGTTAACTTGACATAGAAACAAAAGAGAATCGCCTTTAATTGCATCTTAATTCGTGGACATTGCCAAATTCCGGTCGAGCGTATCTTAGTCCAAAAATTATTCGGTAACAAATTTCTTTTTGATTATATTTATCGATATACTTCATTTTTTGTTTTGTTTTTGATTTTCCTACAGTTTTGAAACTGTTGTCTATAGCTTGCCTAGGTTATGTAGATTTCTTTGGATCATCTAACTTGCCTAACAGTTCACCCAAGTCTCATATAGAAAAAACATTAAGTAGTCTCTTGCTGGACCACTGAAACGACAAGCAGTTTTCCGATACACTTAACCTAAGAAACTACAAGAAGCAAAAGGTGGAGAAGCTTCCAGCTCCAGTAACAGTGGCTGTTTACATCTTAATGGTGAATGCCAAATGTTCTTGTACTACACAATTTCGCCATCTATATATGCTTATGCTTTATACTCTTTGCTTATAGAGCAATGAAAGAAGTTCACTGGACAGAGAACATAAACGTACACAATGATGAGAAGTGATCGGAGAATTTGATCACACTTGCGGTCGTGTCTGGACCACATAGAGCTTCCCGTCTCTGATCACACCTTCAATGTCCTGTGGAGTTCCATACAGTTTCTCGATTGCATCTCCTGCACGTGCGATGTCTGAGAGAATCTTTTTCTGGAAGCTCTGGTCAGTGATCAGAGGATCTGTTGTGTAATCGAGCACGACTTTGTCTTCCTCGTCCATTGGCACACTGCAAAGAAAAACGGAAAGAGAAGTTTCATTGGTACTCCAAGTTTTGTTAAAATGATGAAATCAAGACGGTGTTTAGAGATTGTTTATGTTACCTGTCGTAGAGTCCTGCACCTGCATAGCCTTCGAGATCTTCTCCGTTGGAATCGGATCTAAAGATGATGGAGCGTCTTATGAACAGCCCAATCGGTTTGCTCGGGTAACCTAGCACCTGAATGATGTTTTAAACTTCATCAGCTTGACAATATCTTATTCACAGTTATTACACTTGTGGTTAGCTTCTTAGTACCAGAGGCGAATCGAGGTTGTTTTTCTTGGAGATGAAACTCAGAGACCGACCAGGATATGCTCCTACAAGAGTTTCACCAAGGCCTTTGACAACCTGAAACCGAAAAACAATAGTCATGTGAAGGTTGGAATAAGCACCAGTTGAAACGGTTTAAAGAGTTGAGATGAAAGGGACATAAGGATGTTTTACCTCGGCGTAAATCTCTGATGAATCTCCGGAAGAAGGGTTGGTTGTGTGAATGACGAAAGCGTAATCCGCGTTGATGACTTCTTGAACCAAAACAGCCATGCAGAGATAGTCATGATCCAGTTTTACTTTCTTCGTGCTGAAGTACGCTCTCTCGTTCCATTTCGAAGCCCAGACCTGAAAATTTAAATACCCGGTTAGTGAGATTTGACATGTTCATATTGAGCAGAAATGCACTTTACTCCAAGATTTGACCTTTTTAATGGCTGCCCAAGCTTGCTCCCATCTCTCTTCACCTTCATCACCAGGCCATGGCATGTCAGAACTTTTCATAGTACTTTTTAATTCTTCCACCTGAGGACCAGAACCATTACAGAGGCATTTTTCTTAGCAAATCTCTACATTTCACCTCATTTCCACAGAGGATATTTTAGCTTTACTGAACACATGCACTTCGATTTATGAATTAAAAGCATCAAGCTTGTATCATTGGCCTTAAGCAGATAACATCCAAACTCAAGCCATGTAGTATCAATGAAAAGCATGGTGATTTTCTTGGATAAAGGAAAGTTGGCCAAAGAGAAGAGGTTTATTGAGTCCCAAGGTCCTAAGAAAAGCAGCAATATGACATACCAGTTCTGGAGGTGCAACTAGCCCCAACAATGTCTTGCGGATTTCTCCGAGGGCACCTTGGTCCCCCTCATCAAGAATTTTCTTTAATACTTGCAATTTCTCGCTCACCACCTGCCACATCCAGAGGGAGAGAGAGTGAGTGGAAAGTGAGATTGGGTGAAGGTAATCATAAAAAAGCAAAGTCTCAAGATATATTGGTTTTGACAGCAACAACTTCATGATAGTCATTAGTCATGTACACAAAGGCACCATGGTTTGGAACTATCTCCAGATAAATACCACCAGTAAAGGATAGCTAAGTATTAAGGTGGCCAAAGTGTCTTCATATTTTGTTGCGCCTAAATTAGTTTGGTATTGTACCTGATTTTCCTTTTCGGAGATAACTTTTTCAAACACACCAAATGGCAGCGCAACTGAAGTTGGGATACCAACCCAAGAAGGAACTTTTCCTTTCAGATATCCAATATTTCTTGATTTAGCACCAACCTAGGAAAAGATAATGAGGGGTGTGTAATCACACACAAAAAAAAGACAAGACGAGAAATTTAAAATCCAGCAACATTACACACTAACCAAGTCACTTGTGAACTCTTCAGATGATATAGCATATCTACCCGC